TCTTCACCTTATGTAGAAATGGTATTTTAAAAAAATTCTCCAAGGCTGAGCTAGTCTCAAATGATGTCTGGGAAATGTAGTGCTTGGCATAATACTGAAAAAAAATGCATCATAAATATGGCTCTGGGATTTTTTCTTCAGGTAGCAAGTCTTCCTAAAACCAATATATTCAAATGTTTAAGTTAGCCAGAGAGACAAACAGAGAGAGAAACAGAGACAGACAGAGAAACAGACAGAGAGAGAGAGACACAGAGAGAGTGGGAGGGGGAGAGAGACAGATAAAATGAGAGAGAGAGAAAATCACTATATTTCAACACTGGCTATGTGAGAATGTAAAAAAACAAACATTAAATATGTCCCAAGTTTCCATTAGTGTATATGAAAAAGTGAAAACATCCAACAGTATCATGTAATAAAATCCACAGAAACACTTTTCAATTTAACAGTTGGGAGAATTCGGTTTCAATAGCTTTACAGATGAGTTTCAATCATTTTCCTGCACTGAACCACTGACATAACAAGGCTTTTGTGTTAGTAAGAAAAAGAGCTTGTCACTTCACCTCACAAAGCCAGACATGTACAGTGACATTCTTTCATATGTAGAATGATATGGCCCCATCTTTTTTTGGGTGTGGGTTTGACAGTAACTAAATCAAAGAATGATTACTGGGTATGGGACTCTCAGATGAAGGTAACAGGACTGGTTTATTGCACTGAGTGTTACCCCAATCTGGCTCAGTCTCTCTCCGCAGAGGGAGTGGCAGGTCTGTTGAGAGTATTGAGCAAAGTCTGAACTCCATGGCATCAGTAACTTATCATCACAGATTCTGGTATACACACATATTGGTTCTTGCTGGGGCTAGAGTTTGTGCGCTGTGATGTGATTATCCACATGTGATCTACGGGAAGAGATTGGTGCACTCTGGGAGATTTCTGTGCTCAACAGGAGTAAACCTTTACACCCCCACACCCCAATAATTTCATAAATTCAGATAATAAATTAAAAAAAAAAATCTGAGTATCTGATATGCTGAAGAATCAGTAAATATCAATTGGTCCACTAAAATGTCCACCCTATCATGTAGTTACATGATTTCGGAGGCTACATTTTTATGGAATAAGATAAAATCTAGCACTGGAAGTACAGGTAAAAGTGGGAAGCTACATTTGTATGGAATGAGAGAAAATCTAGCACTGGAAGTACAGGCAAAAGTGGGAAGCTACATTTCTATGGAATGAGAGAAAATCTAGCACTGGAAGTACAGGCAAAAGTGGGAAGCTACATTTCTATGGAATGAGAGAATATCTAGCACTGGAAGTACAGGCAAAAGTGGGAAGCTACATTTCTATGGAATGAGAGAATATCTAGCACTGGAAGTACAGGTAAAAGTGGGAAGCTACATTTCTATGGAATAAGAGAAAATCTAGCACTGGAAGTACAGGCAAAAGTGGGAAGCTACATTTCTATGGAATGAGAGAAAATCTAGCACTGAAAGTACAGGCAAAAGTGGGAAGCTACATTTCTATGGAATGAGAGAAAATCTAGCACTGGAAGTACAGGTAAAAGTGGGAGGTTACATTTCTATGGAATAAGAGAATATCTAGCACTGGAAGTACAGGTAAAAGTGGGAGGTTACATTTCTATGGAATAAGAGAATATCTAGCACTGGAAGTACAGATAAAATAAATTCCATTATTATTGTTTAGCCCACTGAATGCCAAGCCTGTTAACCCTTGTACTTTCCTAGATACTGCATAATCTTTCTGGTGTGTACTAAACATTCTAACTGCTTCACAACTATTTAACATAAACTCATAATATTGTTTGTTTTTGCACCAAACTGAATGGAACACAAATTTCAAGAATTAAAAATGGTGTAATTTAATGTTACATCATTATCATGTGGCTGCAGATTTGTGCAACAGTGACCAAAAAATCTTCCATCTCAAAAACTAATTCTTTGCTTTGTTTTGTTTGGCGGAAATAATCCTGGATGAGAGCTCTGCCTAACTGTGAAAAACATTGTGCAAACTCAGTCTTCATGAGCTGATGTAATAAAATACTTACCTCTGACTTTTGCTGATAAGTGAAACGTCATTATTTCAGTTTCAATGATGTTTTTGTTGGTAGTTCGTAAGAATTATCAAAGTTGCAGTCATCAAAATGTTCAGAAAAATCTTTAGCTTCACTTTCCGATTTCAAAGAATAAAGAAAATCTCCCACAGCATCAGAAATATTCAAATCATTTTGCCACCATACTAGCTCTGACGATCGGTCACCATTATCAAAACATCTGCCTAACATTTCATTGACACGAGAGCTAATTTAAAAAAAAAAACTTTCACCAAAACAAACAAAAAGTTCATAAAAATTACTTTAAGCACTGCAGAATTCTTTCCCTTAAAGAAACAGAGAAGTAAATAGACTAATTAATGACTTTAACTACATTTATCGCAAAAGTAATGATTTTAACAGGGCGGCGAAAGTTACAATCGCAGGGGGTGGGATCGTGACAGTCAGTGGGTTAGAGGTAAAAACTGTGGTTATTGTTTAGACACCAGGAATTAGTTTCAGAATGAAGTTATAAAAACATGGCTAGACATAGAAAAACCTGTATTCTTGTACTCAGCAGTAAACTGCAGGCTAGGAATTATATCAAATCATTGCAATTTAAACAGAAAAAGGGAAAACAGGTCCAAGATGTTGAAACAGGCATGAATAAAGCATACAAAAATTTGCGCATCTTTTACTAGAATTAAATGCACCATTAAAATATATCTTAAACACAAAATCTAAATACTGATTGTGCACATATGATACAATTGAATGCACCACAAAACTATACAATCTAACATTTATAAAAATATTTAAAAAAAAAAAATACAGCAGGAACATCAGGAATGAATAAACATTTCTTAAAGATGACAACAGGTGTCAGTCGATAGAAAATGAAAATACAAACATCAGAAGCCAGAAGGAAACTTTGAAGACAGTTCCAGACCTGACAACTAACCAAGGAACGAAGCAGGCTTTAGAAGGCTGCAAGAAACACCAGTTGTGACACACAGAAACATCAGCATATCTATGTAAAAATGTAATAAAGATTCTCTAGTTTGGTCAGCTGTGTGCTATAAGTGTCACTCATGGACCATTGCTACTACTACTACTGAGCTGGACATTTATGCCAGAGATGAGATGTCTTACTGCCACAATAAAAATGGGAGATCAAAGTAACAATAAAGAAATGAGAAAGAACCAGACATAGAATTCATGCAAGAAAACAACAGTATTTAAAGGTAAGTAACATTTATTGCACTGAGTTGTATCCCATATGGCTTAGTTTTTCTCTGCAGAGAAACTGGTTGTTTAAAGAAAGCTGTAAAAAGCACAAGCCATATAGCTCCAGCAACACACCTCCCCCCCCCCCCCCCCCCCCCCCCCCCCCCCCCCCACCCTTTTATATTAGCCACAGTAAGCGTAAACACTCCATTACTGAAGTAGTTACTACATCATTGGTGTTGCCAAACAGAATGAAAATGTAAGTACACTTAACAGTAAAGCATCTTTTTCACACTTTTGGCCAATCAGGCATATAGTGTTAAACCTAACTTTTAGACAGCCAATTGGTAATGTGTTCAACATCACGCTGGTTGCTTTTATTTCATTTTTCCAATGATATACCTAGGTACCAATTTTTGGCTGGACAGACCTGGATGCCAAAATCAATCCTACACACACACACACACACACACACACACACACAAACTATATGCCCATGATTTGCATTTGAACCCTAGAAATTCAGGCCAGCAGGCAACTGATGTTATGCTAGCTTAGCTAAAATTAAAATGGCTGCAGCTTAAATGGTTTTTATTGGTCACATCATAATGTGAATGCCAGATTTTTTTCAATCTACAATGAATAAAGAACCTCACTATATCATCACATCATCAAAAGACTTAACAAATGGGCAAAGAAAACAGCTGGCCTTATTTATTAATGTTAATGTATCACCTAAATCAAAAGACAATGATGACATCAATGACCTTTCAGAAATAATCTTCACCTGATATTTCTGATTATGGCATGGTTGAATCAAGTCACATAACCCATAATAATTTCACATCACATGAAACAGCTGATCAAAATCTCTTCAAGTTTCCATTTATCTACCATGGAAAGCTACTACAGAAGTCTCCATAAGCAACCAATTCTTTCTCCGGGTGTTTAGAACACCAGCAGTGAACCTATAAGGGCAGATAACAACTCAAAGTTACAGTCAAGAGGATCCACTTCACTGCCCTTGGTTAACCCATATGGCCTCGGGCTTTCTCCCTGGAACGGTTAGTAACACATCGAGGGTGTCCCATGAAGCACTAAATCTGTAACTTCAGCAACAATTCCCAGGGACCCCCACAAAAACTGCCCCTATTACTGAAGCAGGTGTCCATGAAATGAATCCACAAACATCAGAGAGCTAGCGCAAAATGCTTCAAAAATAAAGAATTCAACAGCAGGAGGGTCAGCAACAACAACAATGAAAGGCTGATAGTTTTCCTTTAAAAAAAAGTTTCAGAACCATTCTATAACCATTCTAGGTAATGTGAGATTAGCAGCACAGTAATGGTTCTATATATATAATCAATACATTAATAAATATCACAAGAATCTTGTGCATAATTGATTCACATCTGTCCTCAGACAAATCATAGCAAATACAATCTAGTTTCCCATCAGCAGAAATGTTCAACAATAAAACCGGTCTTAATTTCTGTTTTAGTGTGAAATAAACAAACACAGAGGCCTCAATGTCTCATTATCTTTTTCAACCTCCAGAGAATGTTAAGATTTTGGAGGTCGAAAACTGGAAATATTTCCCCATGAGGGACTGACCAGATAGCAGACAGAATGTCTGGACAGGTACGAGGTTGCTTTTAATTCTGAGAAATGTCACGTGAAACAAACAAATATGTACATATAAGGTTACAATGGATTTTGGTTATAAGGTTAGTCTACGAGACGTTTCACACAGCTCCTTCCTTTTCTTGGACCAGTCAGAAAGCTGTTTGAATGTCTGAGGAAAATCAGCATCCCAGACTCCAATGCACCCATACTGAATGTCTGCAATAAAACACATGACAAGAAATATGATGTTTCATTTCTGTCATAAAACAGTGTGTCCATCTGTTTGTTTGTCTACTGTCTTTCCTAGTATTTAATGTCAGTGCCTGTGAGTCAGTAGGGAAGAAAACAGTATCAAAGAAGCATCACTTGATCTTGAAGGAGACCAAAATGAGGGTAGATGTGAGACTAGCTACCTCATCTCACAGAAGACAGCTGCAAAATCCAACCGACTATCAGGAAGTCAACAATGGGTGTGGTATTAGATGAAGGTATATGCTTTACTTGGGAATGAAAGACAGGAGAGGAATCACAGACTTGGTTAACCTGAGTTCCAGTCAATGCTGAACAAGTCCCATTCTTAAAAGGAACCCTTGGCCATCAGACTGGCAGGCCAGTGAGCTAACTATCGTTAATGTATCGGTTTGGTGACATCAGCTGCATGGCCTGTCAGATGGAGACGGTGTTGGTACTAAGCAACTCACCAGGCATTTATTTGAGTTGCTTAGTATGCTATGTGTTTCTGAGAGTGCTGCGCCCTCAGCTGTAACCTACTCTATTTGAGTCGTTACTTCATTTAGATTTTTTTTTTTAAAAACTTTAAAAAAAAAAAAAACTTTGAGAAATTACTGCACAGGAAATGTGTTTAAGAAGCACAAATCTAGGACTCAAAATATTAGGTATATATGAATTCAACATAACCACATTAGTTAAACAGATATTTTTGTCTTGGAAATGTTGCCATTTATCCAGTCTTCTTTCTTCTTCTTCTTCTGCCTTTCTATCCCCAATGGAGCATAGGCTCTCAACCAACTCGTGCCAAGTCGTTCTATCCTTCGCCATTGCACGGAGCTCTCCCAATGTCCTCCCCATCTTTCTAACTTCATTCTCCAGCTCTCTTCTTCATATGTTTTTTGGCCTTCCTTTATTCCTATGCCCCTGTGGGTTCCAATGCAAAGACATTCTAGTTATGCTGTTCTCCTGTTTTCTCATTGTGTGTCCTATTCAACGCCAGCATCTTTTCCTCACCTCTTGGTCCACTGGAGCCTGTTTAGTTCTCTCCCAAAGTTCTACATTAGTTATTCTATCATACCATATTATTCCCTCTATTCTGCGCAGGCACCAGTTAATGAATGTCTGTAATTTATTAGTAATTGTCTTAGTTGTTCTCCATGTTTCAGCCCCACACAAGAGTACTGATTTGACATTAGAATAAAAAATTTTTAGTTTAGTATTTCTTTTTATTTCTTTTGACCTCCACAAATTCTCTAGTGCTATGAAAGCCCCTCTAGGGAATTCTGCCTTTCTATCCCCCACTGGAGCATTTATCCAGTACTACACATTAATGTTTATATTACTTTTGTATTTGGAACTGACTGCCATTTGACCTCAACAAGCTAAATTGATCTGTTCATCAACAAAACTGTCTGCTACAACTGGAGAAGTGTACAGGACAGTGAGAAGGCTTTCTTTCTGAATTGTTTATTTTCAGTATTTGAGACAATGAACACCCAAAAGAAACATACACAATACAATAGAGATTCAACTCCTTCAGTGTGGAGTATGGCTCTTCCTTGTGAGTTACATCATTCTCACAAGTCTTGTACCTTTTCTCATTTGTCTTCTCCTCTTCTTCTGCCACAGAGGTTCCAGAATTAGCACCATATCTGGCTGTACCTACACAAGTAAATCACAAGAAACATTGACACAATCACAAGAAAATATTCCTCCCTATACAGTCTTGTGTTGAAGATGCCCATGTGGTTACTGTACTGTTTTCTCTACTGACAAAGAGGTGGATGCAGCAAGAAAGGTCCTCTGAGAGGGAAAATATGATGTGTGTACCGCCAGTGTGTGTACCGCCAGTGTGTGTACCGCCAGTGTGTGTACCGCCAGTGTGTGTACCGCCAGTGTGTGTACCGCCAGTGTGTGTACCGCCAGTGTGTGTACCGCCAGTGTGTGTACCGCCAGTGTGTGTACCGCCAGTGTGTGTACCGCCGGTGTGTGTACCGCCGGTGTGTGTACCGCCGGTGTGTGTACCGCCGGTGTGTGTACCGCCAGTGTGTGTACCGCCAGTGTGTGTACCGCCAGTGTGTGTACCGCCAGTGTGTGTACCGCCAGTGTGTGTACCGCCAGTGTGTGTACCGCCAGTGTGTGTACCGCCAGTGTGTGTACCGCCAGTGTGTGTACCGCCGGTGTGTGTACCGTCGATGTGTGTACCGCCAGTGTGTGTACCGCCAGTGTGTGTACCGCCGGTGTGTGTACCGTCGATGTGTGTACCGCCAGTGTGTGTACCGTCAGTGTGTGTACCGCCAGTGTGTGTACCGTCAGTGTGTGTACCGCCAGTGTGTGTACCGCCAGTGTGTGTACCGCCAGTGTGTGTAACGCCAGTGTGTGTACCGTCAGTGTGTGTACCGCCAGTGTGTGTACCGTCAGTGTGTGTACCGTCAGTGTGTGTACCGTCAGTGTGTGTACCGCCAGTGTGTGTACCGCCAGTGTGCTTCAAGAACAGTGAGTATCTAGGTCTTCAGAAATCTGCTGCAGTAGACGCAGCATCTGTGGCTATGCTATGATGTCGATTCTTAAATCATTAATTAGCCATCTTTAGGTATGCTATGGTGTAGATTCTTAAATCAGTAATTAGCCATCTTTAGGTATGCCATGATGTCGATTCTTAAATTAGTAATTAGCCATCTGTGGCTTTGCTATGTTGTTTGATTCCTAAATCAGTAACTAGCCATCTGTTTACTGAATGGTGTGGTTCATGTTTTGAGGCTGCCACTAGAGACATCTCAAAATCAATCATTTCTAGGCAGGAGTATGATCAGTCTTAGTCTTAGTTGAGGTTTCAACTCCAATGCCGTCAGGTCACCACATACTTGCTCTGTTCCTGCGGCAGTGAAAATCAAATGAAATGTTTCTCAATGTCCCATTTGAAAAACTGGTAAACAAATAATTGTCCTAGCACAATCCACAAATATGTGCATACAGTAAATGCATATGGCAGTTGCTAGAGGTGCCAAAGCCAAGTCACCACCAGAAATTCAATTTGTCGTTGATGGAAGTAATCGGTCACAATAAATTAGCTACAAACAGGTCACATTTTTACATAAGGTATTTCACCAGCCAATCCGCAAACCAAGAATTGGCCACACTGAGTACCATGACACAACCGCTAAACATATGAAAGGCATTCTACGTGAAAAACACAGCTCAAAGGGCTGCTCCAAGCGCTAAACTCAGTAGTTTGGGAAATGAAACCGTAGACTTCCGCGAATACATGGAAACTGCATTAGTGAAGTGGTGTCTGAAGCAAAATTAACTTTGAAGCTAAACATTCTGCCAGGCCTAGTCCTCTATTTTGGATCTGAGGTCTGATAAGTTGTCTTCGAGCTCTAATCTATTTCAAAATATCTCTTTTTAGCTGCAGAAGGAATCCTAAGCCTAAGAATTCTTCTGTAAAAGTAATAAAACCAAATCTCAAAAACACTATATTTATCCCAAAATTATAACATTGATGGGTTGAACATGATATTGTTGTTGAAATTACTACTACTGCCATACCTCAAGGGATGTAGAAATTGTTGACATATTTATTAATTGTCCAGGATTCAAGGCCATATGTTAAAACTGGCTCTATATAACAGGAGAGAACACCTTTTTCCAAGCTACAGTGATATGGATTTAATGCATCAGGAAAGCCCAAAGACACACATTTTGCAGCCAAGCTGTAAAGTGCAATATATCAATCTTCCTTTAAAGAGTCAATGCATAAGAAGAAGCAGAAGGTAAGAAGAAAAATGACCAATCAGTCTAGGGCAGAGATGCTAGATACATATAAAAAAAATATTTTAAAAAGTGGAGTGGACAAGATGTCTAGATTTTTACGAAGCCATGATACCATCCATTAATTTCTTGGAAGTTGACTGTGTGTCTCATTTGCTCATCAATGAAAACAGGAGCTCCTCATATACAGAGGCAATTAATTCATAGTTTACTGAGAACACAGATGTTGGGCTGAAAGGCGAACATACCACAGAATAGCTCTAAGCTACAAATTATCAGTCAATTTTTTAAAAGTGTATGCAGAAGAAGGAAATGAAAACAAGGAAGAAGACAAAAGAAGTAGAAAAAGTAAAAATAATAATGACAAATCAGTCCTGGGCAGAGATCCATGATATTTAAAAAAACAAAAACATTTAAACAATTTTTGTTTGGCTTTATTCAATCATGTGATGAGAATCTGTCAGATGGATTAGAAAAAAAACAGTCACACAAACCGACAGTCACACAAACCAACAGTCACACAAACTGACAATCACCCAAACCAACAGTCACACAATTTAACAGTCACACAAACCGACAGTCACACAATTTAACAGTCACACAAACCGACAGTCACACAATTTAACAGTCACACAAACCGACAGTCACACAAACCTACAGTCACCCAAACCAACAGTCACACAAACTGACAGACACACAAACCGACAGTCACACAATTTAACAGTCACACAAACCGACAGTCACACAAACCTACAGTCACCCAAACCAACAGTCACACAAACCGACAGTCACACAAACCGACAGTCACACAAACCGACAGTCACTCAAACTGACAGTAACACAAACTGACTGTCACACAAACTGACAGTCACTCAAACCAACAGTCACACAAACCAACAGTCACACAAATTAAGAGACACACCAACCACAGTCACTCAAAACAACAGTCACACAAACCAACAGTCACACAAACTGACAGTCACTCAAACCGACAGTCACTCAAACCAACAGTCACACAAACTGACAGTCACTCAAAACAACAGTCACACAAACCAACAGTCACACAAACTGACAGTCACACAAACTGACAGTCACACGACAATGTCAGCAACAAGAAACAGAATGCTGTACTCACTCTTGAGTTTGACAGTGAGAAGAGACCTGATAGAGCCAGTGTGCCTGTGAGTACAAATGATTGGAGCCCAGCTGGTGACATCAATCAAAGCCATGTGGCCACCGCCGGTGCCCACCCACAAAGTCTTCTGCTCATGGAGCACCAGAGAGGTGATACGAGCATCTTTCACTGGCAGTCTGCAATACACACAACATAGAGGTGATACGAGCATCTTTCACTGGTAGTCTGCAATACAAACAACATAGGGGTGATACGAGCATCTTTCACTGGCAGTCTGCAATACACACAACATAGAGGTGATACGAGCATCTTTCACTGGCAGTCTGAAATACACACAACAGAGAGGTGATATGAGCATCTTTCACTGGTAGTCTGCAATACACACAACATAGAGGTGATACGAGCATCTTTCACTGGTAGTCTGCAATACACACAACATATGGCCAAATGTTACTATACTGTCATAGCGTGATCTTCTTCTTCTTTAGTATTCCAAACCCATGAGTTTCACTGCTGTAGATATTATATTTACATCATATTCATAGGATGATACTGACAGGCACATTAAGGGTAAAAATGGAAAACAGATATTGAAGATTAAGTTGAAGAAGAATCGGGAGGGACAAGTGGTGGACGAGTTAGAGGAGGAGGAACAAAGAAGAAGAAATAACAGAAACAGAAGAGGAGGATGAGAGGAAGGAAAGAAAGGGAAAAAAATAAGAAGAAAAAAGATGGAGAAAGAGAAGAAAAAGGTACAGAATATGTAAAAGCCAAAAAAGCAGAAGAAGATGCAGAATATATAAGAGCAAAGACAAATAATACTAAAAGTCTTCTTCTTCTTCTTTGTGTTCACCAGCAGTAATCTCAGACAGAAAGTCCTGGATGTTCGTCCACTACCTCCTAGATAGATACATTCTGAATGTGAAAGTTTTTTTTTTTTTAATGTGAAAAAGTTTTTTTTTTTTAATGTGAAAAAGTTTTTTTTTTTTTAAATGTGAAAAAAGTTTTAAAAAAGAGCAAAAAGAGAAGAGAAGAAAAGAAAAGGAAAGGACCATTTTGGCATGTCTTCAACCATATAGTGCTAGACCTATATTTTATAGACCAGTCAGCACTCGGGAGTTGATGTGGTCAACTTCACGTCAGCCCCCTTTACATGAAAGGACTTGACCTGGTATCCATTTAAGGCTGAGTCGACCTGAGAGCTAAGCTCATTTCTGAAAAAAAGTCTGCCTCTGTCAGGATTTGAACCCATGGCCTTTGGATCTGCAGCGAGCGTCTAGCCATTACACTACAATGGCTTCCATCTGAAGGAAACAGACCCTAGCTAAGCTGCCCAGACCCCTGGTTTGGAACCTGTTTATGGGATGACCATGGAGAGGTGCAGATCGCTCTTGATCAGTATAAGCCCTGGTTCAAGTTCAACATTTCCGCATCCCAAAGTGAAAGCAAACTGTACATATAAAACAATAGGAAAATATTTACTCACTTGAAAGTGTCACTGATATTGAGAGAGATTTTCTTCCTGGTCCGTGCAACATCCCAGGCTTCAAGCACGTCGCTGCCACGATGGGCAAGGAACAGCTGACGACCACACGCCATGGAGGTGATCGGAGCTGAGGCTGGGTTGCTATTAGTGTCAATGACAAAACAAGTTAAGATCACTTAACAGAGTAGGGGAACCTTTTTTTCTGGCTATGGATGTCTGAATATTTATTAAGCATTTGTAGGCATTATAATATATCTCTTTTTTGAAGGCTGTATAAAATTATTAATTTAAAAACTAGCCTGCAATACAATCTGGTCAAACTAATGGTGGTTGCTTTTACATCAATTAATTTTGAAAGCCTCGAAAAATGAATCTTTATCACATATTATAAAAAGTTTAACCTTACCAGACCACTGGCCAGGTTCACCTGGAATTTCGTAACCTGTCTCTATACCGCTGGCCCTAATTTTCGGCTTTTTGCGTAGTACAGGAAAACGATGCGTCACGGACTAAAAATAACCACCCAATCGTTATCAATCCTTTTTGTTAGACATTGAAAATGTCTGCCCGCATGTGTTTGGATTATATTTGTGTTGTTTTATGTGGAAAAATTCTGAAAATTCACAATGAAACGAGCGGCTGATGAAGCAAGTTTTAGGCTTTTCACAGTCCAACAGGTGATCGTTATTTTGGTTTATTTAGACTGTGATATATATATATACATACATCATTATATATTCATTATCTGTGATAATTTCATAAAGAATATGTTCGTGAAATGAGACTGTCAGTGAGAGCGCAAATGATGAGGAAAATATTGAAATTTATAAATCTTGAAATAGTTCAATAGTAGGAGAAGGGGGTGTGTCCATCAAACGGCAACATCTGGTGTTTACTTTGTGAAACAAAGTTGATTCTGATGAGTGAATTTGCACACAAAGGTGGAATATTGGCGCTAGATAAAAGGTAAGCCTATTTTCTACAATGTCTCCAAGCTTCATCATATTCTAGCTACTCGTTTGCATGTAACTAATATTTTTGTACATCAAGTTGGTTTTTTTGCGGTATTTCCCAGGATCTCAGGTTATAGGGACAGTTAGGTTCAGGGCCTCAGGTCTGGTAGGGTTAATAAAAGAGTTAATACTAACCTAAATACATAAACTGCTACTATTTGCAGATGATCAGGGCCTGTTCTACAACGAGGGGAGTAGACTGCAAGACCATTTGAACAGGCTAAGAACAAACTGCACAAGATTTAACACAAAAATAAATACTACTAAAACTGAAGTGATGCAGGCCAGTAGAATTCCTAGTAAGCTTGTAGGGTTGAGAATGGTACTTGTCTGATGCAAGTTAAAGAATTTTAATATCATGAAAGAATATTCTCTGGGGATGGGAGAATAGATGGGGAAATATAAACAAGATGCCAATGAGCCAGTGCACTTATATACCAACTGACACTGTTATTAGGATATCCAAACATAGGTATTAGCACCAAAAAACAGATTACAAACAGTACATTCATACCTACACTATGTTAAGGTGCCGGACTTGGACATCATCAAAGGGGCTAACCTACGTAAATTAACACCTGTAAAATGAGATGCCTGAGAAAAGACACCAATTTAACCATCCATGACTAAGAAGTGGAAATTGATGATGACTAACCTAAAGAAGTTCCCCCAAGCAATCACTACATATATAAAAAGTATATTTGCTATAAGACAGCTAAGGAATAGGTCACCACCAACATAAAACACATTTCTACAGCAAGATAACCAGGGAATAGGACAATGAACATACAAGTATGATATCTGTTATAAAACAGCCGAGCAATGAATCAGTACAAACATATAAATATGATATTTGTTATAAAACAGCCGAGGAATGAATCAGTACAAGCATATAAATATGATATTAGCAGCAGACAGCTGAGAAATGAGTCACTAAAATACAAGTATCCTAACATTAAAACATTTAAGGAATAAGTAACAACCTACTCATAAATAGGATATTTACATCAACACAGTTAAAGATTGGGCCCCTATTACATACAACTACAGCAAGACAGATCAGGAATAAGTCATTAGTGAATATACAAGTATGATATATACAGCAAGACATTTCAGGAATTAACCGTTACCAATACACAAGTATGAAATTGACAACAAAACAGAGCTTAACCCCCCCCCCCCCCCCCCCCCCACCCGCCTAAAAAAAATTTGGTCACTACCTTCCTTCAACTGTATCAAAAATATTCTCTACTGCCACACAGATTCTGGTATCCAGGACGACGACCTTTGTTCCACATGATGCAATGACCTTACGATCAGAACCACTGCGCATGATACATCGAACTGGCTCATGTGCTTCACCAAGTTTCATTTCTATTGGGTCCATGGTTGGTTCCTGAAGAGAAAATTTTCCACTCCGTTTTAATGCTTACAAGAAATAAGTCAAAGAACCCATCAACATGACATTATAACAATTTAAAGGTATCAGTTACATCCATAATTTTCATGACAATACTACATCAATAAAGTGGGTTGGAAACCACCTGAGAAGTAAACCTATTGGTTTGTGCTACAATTAAATACGCTATTGCTGCAGACATAAAAGCAGATCAAGAAACAAATGGACAGAAAAGGCATTTAGAAACAAGAGGATCGCTTAAGTTTTTCAGTATAGGAAACATGAGATGTGTTTCTGCACCTGAAAATGCTGAGCATGTATTCTAACACTGTAGGCTGTATGCTGTCAACAGAGAGGCCATCTGGCCTGTTCAAATCTCAATTAAAACAAAGCTATAGGAAGGAGCCGGAGGGGTGCTGAACAGTCTTAGGAATAAAAACAAGTATGCTAACTCCCCTGAATACCGGAAACTATCGTGAAGGCACAGGGACTCAGGACGTGACAATCCAGTTGCCCCAACTACCTATGCTTAGGCCATGCTTAGAGCCAAGAAGAGCTCAGCGAAACCAGCAGGCAATCTGGTGGCGGGTAATGAGCACACTGTGAGCCCCACCTTTGCTACATGTCAAAGGGGAAGGCAGAAACACAATCCATATTTCCCTAAGAACTGACACAGCACACTTCTGGCTGCTGTCCGGGGAGGGAGGTAATCCACAGACACCCCAGCACCACTATGCCATAAACATGGACACACAGGGAGATATGGATTGCAAGATTGTTGTCATTCAGGCTCATGCTTCCTGATTTAAGGTTTTCTTACAGTAGAAGGATTGAAGAAAAAGAGGAAACAGAAAAGCTTTATTGCACCAGGTTTTATTTCACAAGACTCAGTCTCTCCTCCCAGAGCATCTGTTCACCAGTCTACAGCACTGCAGAGAGCCTAGAACTCTGCAGAGTGATGATCTTCAACACACCTGCACTCTTGAACAACAGGACAGAGTCCATGCCAAACCCATGACGTTCAGAGTGCATGGTAAATAGCTTAATCACATCGCCACAGAAATAGGCATGCTACATATAAACTCAGGCAGATGAGACATCACATTTAGCTCAAGTTAACAGTAAAAGTTTTCTTCCCCTAGCATGCTAAAAACAACTCGACTACCTGAACATGATATTCTCTGTTCAATTAGCACTTGTCTCCTGTTTTGAGTAAGAGTGTCTAATTGGTTTTTCTCCAAGTCTAATGTATTCCTTCCTATCTCCATAGTGTTTTTCAGCTTTTCTGTTTACTGTCCTGATGTCATATGCATACAAAGATAGTATAGTAAATTCATGTAAATAAAAACATCAATCAGCTCTCTGAAAGAATCATATCCAAAAAAAAAAAAAAAAGGTAAATTACTGTTGAGGAAGCTGGTTTGCAAGGGAACAAACTGCAGGGAAGAGTTACATTTCCTTGAACTCCTCAACTGTTAGAATGTAATTACAATAGCTTAATGGTGACAGTAACAACATTATTACAAGGCCTTACTTTCACAACAGATGACCATATGACCCACTGAGTGCCAATTGTTCTATAAAATATAGTTCTAGCACTATTTGCCCAATACATCGGAAGGTGTGGAAAAAAGGTCTGTTACTTTTTCACTTCAAACATATACATAGAAATATGGTTCATAAGCAGCATCATGTGTCAGAGACTGAAGTGCTTCAGCCTACCTACCTGTAAAATCTCCGAAATGGGATACAAAGCTACCTTTCCATTGGCCAAGCCTGCTAGCACTAAAGGATCATCTACACGACTGTAGAAAAAAACAAACATATATATATATACATACACATGATATCAACACATGAAAGACAGTTTAGTTTGCGAAAGTTTAAAAACAAACTCCACAAAATCATATCTAGAGTTACAATGTGAAAGAGACTAAGGCACAAAGACAACTCACCAAAATCCTCACAAACAAGCCGTCAGTATTTCTGGTCATATGCAAAGAAACCACTAAAACATAAATTTGGCATTATGCCGGTCAATTAAGTGCTAAATCTTTGTTTCAAGAAAAGTGCATTCTTCTTCTTCTTTCACCCAAAGATGCAATTGTGTTGTGCCCGTTTACAGCAAGGCTGAGATTTTTGCATCTTTCTTGGCCGACACGTCCAATTCCTGGAGGCATTTGTTGACTAGGTTAGCCTGCATGGCTTTGAAATCTGAAAACTGTATAGATGCATGCAAATTAGTACTTCATTTTAACCTGTTTGGAGTATAAATTCACATTGTGATGACTTTGGCATACTGTAGAGGGACAAATAACAGCCCTGAAAAACATCTAGGTGAAAGTTGCCTAAATTACTTTTAGGTGATGCGGGTGTAGTACCAAAGAATGGTAACAGCTGGAAATATGTAAAGATAAAGAGACGAAGGAAACCAAGGGAAGATTCTTGAAAGACTTGTATTGTGGCACGGACAAATATCAGCACAGGATCAAGCACACTGGTTGGAGAGGCTTGATCCTCAACACTAACTGGCAAAGCACTTTATGACACTCTTCATGTAATTATCCTGACATTATCTTGTTATAATCCATGTGTTTTGACATAATTTAAAAAAAAATATATGTACCATATAAATACACATACGTATATAAACTCATAAACTATGTGATAAAAACATTTATACATCAATGTACACATATAAACACATATTTGCACAAAGACACTCATAAAAACTCATACATATAAAATAAATCCTTTACACATATATGTATAATTGGTAAGAAAACATAATCCTTTTTCATATATTGAGGTATGATGGGTATTTAGAGTTAGCCATTATTCTTGTGTGCTCATTGACTCTATCAATATAACACTGCTCACTTTTACTTCCTGGACAATTTCCTGGACCCACCCTTTAAACTGGGTAAATTTTTAAGTGCAAGTTAATGTTGCAATTGGATTTCAAATACGGGACCACTGGGTTGACATGCAAGTGTGCTAATTACTGCACCACCATTGCTCCTCAGACCAACAGATCTGCTGCGTAATGTAATTTAAAATGAGCATTCCTTTGAAACCCATTCCACTGGCTTTATTACAAAAGGATGAAAGAAACATCAAAAGACATGGCAGAATAAAATAAAGCATTCATTCTGAATGAAATGTGTCCCATCGGTTGGCTAGAAAAGTCACTATAGGCATTCAGGCAAGCATTCTATTGCTGAAGTATGTGGCGAATGCCATCCACAAGAGAAAGAGACTACTCGCTCATTTCTGGTGGTTGGTCAACATCTGTGAATACATGTTCAGATATTGCACTTTCTCACCAAAATCTTTTCAACTGTCCTAACTAATACATTGAATTCCTTCGCTAGTGAATAGATGCTTTGACAAAGGTTTTGGGTTTTGACGATGGTTTAATCTGCTGCAAAAATACATGCTTGACCGGCTGTCAAAGGTCAGTCATGAACCTCTCTGCTATCATAAACATTTGTACCCATTCTGTCATATTTGTCTTTGACACCTATCTGTTATTGTCGCTTTCCTTTATGAATGTCCACTGGTCGAGATCCTTCAAGCGAAAGAAGCTGAATCAACATTTTATGAGCTTCTTTAGACAGATTTGAGATGAACCCAGCTATTTTCTCAACAATGAGAAACAGATACTATGCACCATAGGACGACGAGCATGTGCTCTCCCATTCACTGGCCAGCACTTATTCCAGGACTATGACACAATCATCTTCAAGGCAATTTCGCATCTTGCAGCACAGAAGGATTTCAAATGAATGCTCCTTATACATAAATATTACTTCATTAAGCACAAAACTTCAGGTTGATAGAATGCAAATAATCAGAATGTTTATGGCACAGCCAGCAATATTATTTGGTGTATTAAGTGCTGTACATTTTCCACTAAGCTGCTTCTTCATACCATGATCAATTACATTCCTAGGCATACACGTGTTTACATTATTGCAATGTGGCATCTTTAAAGTTCCCAACTACTGTCTCCCCTACAAGCATGTCACATGAGCCAACTAACTGGAGGCTTCCTTCGAAGTCAGAATGCATCTACTCAAGTGGCAAGGAGCAAACGACTGCACACAAATAAGCCAGTTAAACGGATGTACATGCTTAACTCAGGCCCTGGCGCAAAGCCAAAGTCTAAATGGACAAACAACGAGGACTTTCAGCTGGAGCTTACGCCGGTGAAGAAAGAAGAGGAAGAATTTTTAAAGCACACTCAGTAATAATAGTATATGTTAGCAAGTACAGCACGTTATCATGGAAAGGTCAGTGGCTACTGTATTTTATCATAGCAGGGTCAGTGGCAACTGTATGTTATCATGACAGGGTCAGTGGCTACTGTATTTTATCATGGCAGGGTCAGTGGCTACTGTATGTTATTATGGCAGGGTCAGTGGCTACTGTATTTTATCATGGCAGGGGCAGTGGCTACTATATGTTATTATGGCAGGGTCAGTGGCTACTGTATGTTATCATGACAGGGTCAGTGGCTACTATATGTTATCATGGCAGGGTCAATGGCTACTATATGTTATCATGGCAGGGTCAGTGGCTACTGTATGTTATTATGGCAGGGTCAGTGGCTTCTATATGTTATCATGGCAAGGTCAATAGCTACTATATGTTATCATGGCAAGGTCAATAGCTACTATATGTTATCATGGCAGGGTCAATGGCTACTGTATGTTATTATGGCAGGGTCAGTGGCTACTGTATGCTATCATGGCAAGGTCAATAGCTACTGTATGCTATCATGGCAGGGTCAGTGGCTATTGTATGCTATCATGGAAGGGTCAATGCCTGCTTAATGTTGTTATGGCAAGGTCAATGGCTACTGTATGCTATCATGGCAAGGTCAATAGCTACTGTATGCTATCATGGCAGGGTCAGTGGCTATTGTAAATTATCATGGCAGGGTCAACAGCTCATGTATATTATCATACACGGTCAATGGCTACTATACATTATCATGGCAAAGTGTATGGCTACTGTATGTTATCATGGCAAGATCAATGGCTACTGTATCTTAACATGCCAAGTAAATGGCTACTGTATGTTATCATGCCAATAAATGGCTACTGTATGTTATCATGCCAAGTAAATGGCTACTGTATTTTATCAGGGCAGGGTCAGTGGCTACTGTATGTTATCATGGCAGGGTCAGTGGCTACTGTATGCTATCATGGCAAGGTCAACAGCTCATGTATATTTTCATACACGGTCAATGGCTACTATACATTATCATGGCAAAGTGTATATCTGCTGAATATTATCATGGCAGGGTCAGTGGCTACTGTATATTATCATGGCAAGATCAATGGCTACTGTATGTTATCATGCCAAGTAAATGCCTACTGTATGTTATCATGCCAAGTAAATAGCTACCGCCGTATGTTATCATGCCAAGTAAATGGCTACTGTATGTTATCATGCCAAGTAAATAGCTACTGTATATTATCATGCCAAGTAAATGGCTACTGTATTTTATCATAGCAGGGTCAGTGGCTTCTGTATGTTATCATGGCAAGATCAATGGCTTCTGTATGTTAACATGCCAAGTAAATGGCTACTGTATGTTATCATGCCAATAAATGGCTACTGTATGTTATCATGCCAAGTAAATAGCTACTGTATGTTATCATGCCAAGTAAATAGCTACTGTGTGTTAACATGCCAAGTAAATGGCTACTGTATGTTATCATGCCAATAAATGGCTACTGTATGTTATCATGCCAAGTAAATAGCTACTGTATGTTATCATGCCAAGTAAATAGCTACTGTGTGTTATCATGCCAAGTAAACAGCTACTGTATGTTATCATGCCAAGTAAATGGCTACTGTATTTTATCATAGCAGGGTCAGTGGCTACTGTATGTTATCATGGCAAGGTCAGTGGCTACTGTATGTTAACATGGCAAGGTCAGTGGCTACTGTATGCTATCATGGCAAGGTCAATGGCTACTGTATGTTATCATGGCAAGGTCAGTGGCTACTGTATACTATCATGGCAGGGTCAATGCCTGCTAAATGTTGTTATGGCAAGGTCAATGGCTACTGCTTGCTATCATGACAAGGCCAATAGTTACAGTATATTATCATGCCAGGTCAATGGCTAATGGATGTTACTGTGGCAAGGTTAGAATGTACTTATCATTCAAGGTCTACAGGCACTGTATGTTATCATGCAAGGTCAATGGCTATCAAGAGGCACTGTATATTATCATGCAAAGTCAATGGCTACTATATGTTATTGTGCTAAGTCAGAAGGTACCATAATTTTTCAAGCAAGGCCAACAGGGACTGTTCATCAACAGATGTGTGCTACATTGATTATGCAGTAACATAAAGCTGCTACATTTAAATACTGAAATACAGACACAAGTGACCTGAACAAAGAAACAATATTTGAGTGCTACACTGAACACACACAACAACTAGTGCTAATATTACTGTGTATCAAATACAAGTGCTATATTCACTACACACAAACATAAATATTACATTCATTGAGCAAAGAAAAAAAAAACAGCCACTTTAATGAGCCAACAAAAATCCATATCTAGCCTCCAGCATGCAAGTGCCAAACAAACCAGCGTGCTTTTAAAAATGGCAGTAATGATGACTGTTATTCAAATATGCAATTACCGATATGGTGCCCGGGTATCATCCCTAAGGAGCAACAATAAAAAAACATGATGCCTGTTCATATTTATAAGCTGAATAACTGGAAGTAAATACGAATATCAGGGCACATGATAATGATAGTAAAACTTGTGTAGAAACAGACCTCTAAACACTACCAAAAAAATCTCTACTCAACTGGTTTATATTATGCTCAGTAGTGCAAACAAATTGAGAACACTGGCTGTGTGGGTTCTGGGGATCTATTTTAGGAGGAAAACAAATAACAGACCCAATGTCCTTGAAAAAGTAAGTCATAAATAGCAATTAGCTAAGGATTTACTGAAACTGGATGTTTTGGGCTAAAAGGTGCAGATATCTCAGCCTAGCTGTAAACTACAACATTATTTGCCAACCATCCTTTACAAGTAAATGCAGAAGAAGAGGAAAAAGAAGTTGACAACACATTTCTACTAATATAAATGAATGCAGGAGTGAAGTGTATACATCCCTGTGTGATTCTGAGGCCCTATAGTGGTGAAAACATGAACAGACTCACTACTTCCTCAAAAAAGGATGTAGTATGAGTCAACTAACTGAAGCCTCCTTCGAAGTCAGAGTAAATCTGCCTGAGAGACAAGGAATCAACAGTCTGCATATAAATAAGCCAGATCTGTTAAACAGATGTGTTCACAACACTCAGGTTGTGAAACACGATTAAAGTTTAAAGATAGAGGAATGACCAGAACTTGTTGCTGGAATTTATAGCCAGAGAACACGAAGAAGACAACCATATAATCTCAACAACAACACATTCTTAGTAATATTAAGGAATACATGGCGGAAGGGGTAATGTCATAGCCATGCGATCTCAACTGACAAAAGGGTATACAGAACACGGTATAGGAAGGTGCAACTGTATACAAAATTAATCCCGTTTCTCTCCTTTTGGTAAGTCCAAGGACCCATGTGGGGAAGAAGGGGGAGGGGGGGGGGGGGAATGGCCTCACTACGCCCCTTAACAAGCATACCATAAAAGGCAACCAACTAAGGGCTTGCTAAAGAATATGTGTTGGTCAAAAAGGTGCAGATATTGCAGCTTAGCTGTAAACCACAACACAAGCTGCCAATTCCCCTTTTAAAGGAGAATGTCAAAGAAGAAAAAAATCTGTTACTGTTTTTTCAAGTTCTTCAACTATTAAAATATTTCTAAACAATTTTGGCAGAGGCCAGTATTTGTGCTTGGCAAATAGCTTTTTAATTCTTTCTTGGTCACATTTAATGAGCATCTAAAAACCATCAATATCCCTGATATAGAAGTTCGAGCAGCATCAGTTAGGTTCAAACCTGCAGGAGACAAGGGGAGAGCCCTTGTATGTGCTTATAATAAAAGCAGCATTAAAGAGCTGTAAGAGTTTAAACCTGTAGGAGACAAGGGAAAAACCACTGGATGTCTTAATATTTAAAGCAGCATTAGAGAACAAAGAGTTTAAACCTGCAAGAGACAAACGGAAAACCTTTGTACTGTTCATAATTAAAAGAGCACAAAAGCACCATAAGAGTTTAAACCTACAAGAAACAAGGCGAGGACTCTCACCTGTTTAAAACTGTGGCAGAATAAGAACTGTAAAATACAGTTCATTACAGTTGCCATCTGTACCTGCCTACAATTGATGCTAAATGTTATTAAGGTTCTTTGGGAGCAGGTTAACAGTGTGGTGCAATGGGGAGTGACCATGGGATGTGGCGGATCCTGAAAACTCAGGGGAAAGGCAAGATGGACATACAACCTGACTGCTACTGAAACACTCAACATCTCAGCTCTGTGCTGGCTGCTAAAGATGGGACCGCAGCATTTACAGGAACATCTCAAGTGCTACGATGCCAGTTACTAACTCAGCTCTGTGCCAACAAAAAAAACCACACCATATCGACCCGGCAAAACATATTTTGCGTAAATTTTTCCACTTGCCATATGTATCTACCATTAAGGCTTAATGTATTTCACATAATGTGGTTAAGTTGACGTCTGTACCTACTAAATAAAATAACATACTTCATACACATTGCTCGACTTATTTGTTTACTCACCTCTGAACAAGATACAGGGAGAGAACTGAGTCCTGCAACTGTCGCGAGGAATGCTCCAACTCATTGCTGATTGCATTGAACACCCAAATTTTGCCTGCCTGGGTACCCAGCAAGATGTGATCTTTGTTAACTGGCAGCATACACAGAACCCTTCCGTCCCTGAACATTGTGCCTTGATTCTGTGAATGATCCATCATTTGTTAACAGGACTGATATTAACAGCACTCTTGGTAAACATACAGATACTCAGCTGTTTCGGTACCCACTGACTCATCATACATTATGAGCCCTTGATTGCTTCAGATATCACCTGCCTACATTTATCTCTGAGGCTAATCTTCTCCATCCAGTTGGTGACTCCAAGTGTTTGTAAGTCTGCCTGTAAATATCTCCACTGCCTTCGTAGTCTACCTTCTTGGTTTGCTCCCATTCAACTCTTTCATGGCAAGTTTGCCTAATTTCTTGTGTCTCATCCAGACATGTAACATTCTCCAACTCTGTCTCAACTGTTACCGTACTCCTTCTATTATTATTTGACATCGTTAGTCCTCGTGATCACCATCACGTGCTGACTGGCGTAGGTGTTAATGCATCTCCACAGATCTTGGTCCCGTGTCTTCTGGATCAGTTCCACCGATGAAATCCCTCCGTGCCACCATCGCAGTCTATCCATCATCATCTCTCTCGGTCTGTCTTTCCCACTGTTACCATTATCTTCCCAGTGGTCACAATATTCTCCAAAGCCTCCCCTCTCATCACAGAACCAAAGAACAGTGCTTTAGTGCATTGGACCTATAACTTTAAAAATAAAACTGTTTCACATAGTAAGAGTTACAGCAACCATTGTATGGGCTGAAAGAGTTGTGTCCCCCTGCTCACCGAGAACAACACAGGATGCTACAAGGTTATTCTTGTAACAGACATATGGTAGAACACATGTGACCCAATTAACAGGACCAGATTAGGTCCAATGTCCCACAATATATGAGAGAGATTAGATCCCATATCCCACAGTAGATAATAGAGATTAGATCACATATCCTGCAGTATATAAGAGAGATTAGATCCCATATCCCGCAGTATATGAGAGAGATTAGATCCCATATCTCACAGTATATGACAGGGATTAGATCCCATATCCCACAGTATAAAACAGAGATTAGATCCCATATCCTGCAGTATATAAGAGAGATTAGATCCCATATCCCGCAGTATATAAGAGAGATTAGATCCCATATCCCGCAGTATATAAGAGAGATTAGATCCCATATCCCGCAGTATATAAGAGAGATTAGATCCCATATCCCGCAGTATATAAGAGAGATTAGATCCCATATCCCACAGTATAAAACAGAGATTAGATCCCATATCTTGCAGTATATAAGAGAGATTAGATCCCATATCCCGCAGTATATAAGAGAGATTAGATCCCATATCCCACAGTATAAAAGAGAGATTAGATCACATATCCCACAGTATAAAAGAGAGATTAGATCACATATCCCACAGTATAAAAGAGAGATTAGAATACATATCCCACTGTATAATACAAAGATTATTGGATCCCATATCCCACAGTATATAAGAGAGATTAGATCCCATATCCCGCAGTATATAAGAGAGATTAGATCCCATATCCCGCAGTATATAAGAGAGATTAGATCCCATATCCCACAGTATAAAACAGAGATTAGATCCCATATCCCACAGTATAAAACAGAGATTAGATCCCATATCCCACAGTATAAAACAGAGATTAGATCCCATATCCCACAGTATAAAAGAGAGATTAGATCACATATCCTGCAGTATATAAGAGAGATTAGATCCCATATCCTGCAGTATAAAACAGAGATTAGATCCCATATCCTGCAGTATAAAACAGAGATTAGATCCCATATCCTGCAGTATAAAACAGAGATTAGATCCCATATCCTGCAGTATAAAACAGAGATTAGATCCCATATCCCACAGTATAAAAGAGAGATTAGATCACATATCCCACAGTATAAAAGAGAGATTAGATCACATATCCTGCAGTATATAAGAGAGATTAGATCACATATCCCACAGTATAAAACAGAGATTAGATCCCATATCCCGCAGTATATAAGAGAGATTAGATCCCATATCCCACAGTATAAAACAGAGATTAGATCCCATATCCCACAGTATAAAAGAGAGATTAGATCCCATATCCTGCAGTATAAAACAGAGATTAGATCCCATATCCTGCAGTATAAAACAGAGATTAGATCCCATATCCTGCAGTATAAAACAGAGATTAGATCCCATATCCCACAGTATAAAAGAGAGATTAGATCCCATATCCCACAGTATAAAAGAGAGATTAGATCACATATCCTGCAGTATATAAGAGAGATTAGATCCCATATCCCACAGTATAAAACAGAGATTAGATCCCATATCCTGCAGTATAAAACAGAGATTAGATCCCACATCCTGCAGTATAAAACAGAGATTAGATCCCATATCCTGCAGTATATAAGAGAGATTAGATCCCATATCCCACAGTATAAAACAGAGATTAGATCCCATATCCTGCAGTATAAAACAGAGATTAGATCCCATATCCCACAGTATAAAACAGAGATTAGATCCCATATCCTGCAGTATATAAGAGAGATTAGATCCCATATCCCACAGTATAAAACAGAGATTAGATCCCATATCCTGCAGTATAAAACAGAGATTAGATCCCATATCCTGCAGTATAAAACAGAGATTAGATCCCATATCCCACAGTATAAAACAGAGATTAGATCCCATATCCCAAAATATATGAAACAGATTAGATCCCATGTCCCGCTGTTTATGAGAGAGATTAGATACCATATCCCACAGTATATGAAGTAGAATAGATTTTAAAACTTACAAGGCTGACAACACAATGAAAGCTATTGCGATGTAGATCTTCAGAAGACAAACAAGGAAACCATACATCATCATCATCATTAAATACACAAATATAATCCAATACACTTGGCACCAATAAACCAGACCACAAACATAACCAAATGCTGCTTTGGTACATATGGTACAGTTGGAATTAGAATATGGCCACTGTGTCACTGGTACTGTAAAAGGTCCTTTCAGTACTCAAGAGGTCTGGATAGAAGAGCAGTAACTTACATAATAATCCACCGACCGTCTGGAGCGGTTTAAGTGAAGGCTATCATTTCTGTAGTCCAGTAAGTTGAGCCAGCTGAGCTGCATGTATTCGTTGTCGCCACTGGCCACCCACAAGCGGATGTTTCTACTGTCCAGTTGCTGGAATACAGAGAAAAAAGTGGCCGCACATCCGAAGGACAGAAACTGCACTAGCACACTGGCATGTATAACTGCTGGCTGGCCCCTGCTGATGTGTTAGATCCCTAATAAAGTGTTGTGGTGTGGTTTACAGTTAGGTTGCGATATCTTTACCTTTTGGCCTAACACATCCTAGTTCAGAAAATGGACGCCAGACATGGCCACATTTTTTTTTTAAGCTGTGGCAACTTTTTTTGCTTCTGCCAGTCGGTGGCCGTTCCATTTTTGCTCCATTTGTAGACTGGAAGGATATAGTTTCGTCGCCCAGCTTCTGAGCTGAGTGCAAGGCGTGTCACTGTCAGCTACGGATTTCATTTGAACTGTGATAAACATTTTGTGTGTTTTTCGTTAGCACAGGAGCTGAGCTACTATGGGGTGACCCATTTGCTATGAAGCTGAAACTAAGATTACCAGATTACCAGTTCAGAAAACTCCTAATTAATCTTCTTTTAGGACATGCTTGTTGAGGTAGTGCATCCGTTCTTCCTACTCCCTTCTTCCCCAATGGGTCCCAGTACCTTCAAGACTAAAAATTAGTACCAGGAAATGTTAAAGGAAATAAAGGTGGCCAGCATGATACTGACCATATCATTTATTAACTATTTGAGTCCCAGGGAACGCATTGCGCACTAATTTGTTACAACCGCTCGGCCCAATCGACACGTGACAAGTGAAGGTTTTTAATTTACCGCTGACCGGTCATAAAACGCGGACCGCTCAATTTCATCTTCCTTTCGAGTTCATTGTGTATGATATCAGGCATGCTCCTTTAAAAACGTGGTCTGAGAGCCAAAAATATAGTATATTTGCGAGATTTAAAGGGTTACTAAGCGTTTGTTTGAAGAGAATATGGCCACCAAGCAATATTCTACAGGCATGCCAACATGATTTACGGCTTTAGAAGCCTCAAATTCAAATATAGTACGTGTTTATTCTATTTATCCGAAGTTTGATAGATAACGTTGCGAATTAGACGTGTTTCAGTCATTTATAGACTCTAGCTTTGATGAGGGATATGTCTAATGTGTACCTCAGGCGAAGGTACAACGACAGCAAAATCAGCTGGCACAAATAGAATTAACATTAGTGAAAACTGGATTTTCTTCAGTGTCAGTTAGTTCTAGTGCTATTCCCCTTATTATTTAGGAACATAGCTACAAAATTACTGGCAAATTGAGTATTATATAAACTTTGTTTTGTGTGAAGATACTTATTGTTTTGGGAGTCAGTTTTCTTTACCAAATAAGGGTGCTATGTTATGATAAATGCATTTGAATATAAATGTTACAGACAGGTTCTAAGAATATCTTGGGTAAAGAAAAGAACAAATGCATCCATACTTCAAGAGCTGAATATTGAAGAGGGTTGGCTAGTAAAGACAATAAAACAAAGAAAATTGAAATATTTTGGTCACTTGAAACGTCATGGAAGTCTAGAGAGAACAATAATGGAGGGGTATATGCCTGGGAAGAGAGGAAGAGGAAGGCCAAGGAGAAGATGGGTGCAGGATGTGGCAGATGATCTCCAGATGGGTGTATCAGACGCAGGACATCTTGCTCAGGATAGGAAGGTTTTCCGGAGGGTTGTTATGGCAGCGAGGTTCCGCGAGGGACATGCTACTGAATGAATGAATGAATGTTATGATTTTCAAAAGATTCTTTGGAACAAAATCTAACGTACAGATTGAGTTTATATTTTACTTATACATTACTAGGTGGTTCATATTCATTTGTGATTCATTTTGGATATATTTCAACCAGTTTTCCTTGAGTGCCATGATGGTAAGTAGGATTTTTTTTTAAATTTCATTTTACTAATTTTTGTAAACATACTGTCTGTTTATTTACTAATATTTAATTACTAAAGCAATTATTAGTTGTAGCTGTATTCTATAATTATTCCTCAACAATCCCTGGTCCCTTTGATGTATAATATGTGTATATTGCGTGACAATTAAATTAATATGGTCTGTTTTAATGTGTTACACTTGTGAAAAAAACAAATTTGAATTACCACCCCTTAGGCCTCTGATGCTAAACTCCCTGGGACTCAAAGAGTTAAGTGCTGACATGTATAGAAGTTAGAGGCTCAAGTTATCTCCCTTACTGTTTCTTTTTGCCTTAGATTAGGACCAAGTCATGAGTCTTCATTTTTTTTTTTTTTGGGTGTTATAAACTCTAGAAATGATTCATTTTTTTCAGGTTTTTTTTTTTTTTTTTACAAACTGATAAAGTGGACAACAAAAAGAAAGCTACTGTGATGTTGTTCTTTAGAAGATTTGGTGAAGTTTCTAAGACAGAAAGAAAGACAAACAGGGAAGTCATACATCATCATCATCCTCTTGAGCCTTGAAGATAAGCAATTGGCTGTTATGTTTCACCATCTCACACAAACTGATAAGGTCAGTGTTCTTGTCTTGCTCCTTCCTATTCACATGGCTAAGCCATCCAGGTATTTATTTCTCTGCCTTCTTCTTGACTTATTTCCATCATTCTCCTTGGCTTCTTTCTATCAATTTTGCCAGCTGTTAACAACTTCCTGTATCCATTCCTAATCATAACATGTCAAAAACACCAACAGTCTGCATCTAATTTCTCTAACTAGTTTACAGTTTTCATCTGTCTCAAGGAGGACTGCCTCATCTGTTTTTCTACCATTCAAGGATAGTCGCTGCATACTTCTCTAAAAACCACATTTCCTCTGCGAGTTAATATTTCTCAGCTTGTTTGCAACTCAATAAAAAAATGGAATCGATGAAACAAATCTTCCAAAGGAGTATGGTCCATCAACCAACACACACCACCCCCTAGGTGAACCTGTCTATTACTGGCTGGACTGTGCAGTTCAAGTTCTCTAAGGGCTGAGGTTGCTGGTCCTACGTCAACACTCGCATAATGATAAATGTACATTATTCAGACAATTATCACTGAAATTTAATCACCACAAAGAATCATCTCCTACAAAGCATATTCATTCCCACCCTATAATACCAGTGTCAGACATGGTCATTCACAACAAACCATAAAATAAAATTAGTAGCTATGGGAATGAGATGTCTGAGAAGGGCTGCAGGAGTGATAGGAACAGATCTTTTAGGAATGAGGTCATAAGAGAAAAAGTCAGCACAGAAGCCATTCTAAATTACATACAAAGGCAGCCACTTAGCACAAGGCAGACCAAGAACCACGTGGAAAGATAATATCAGAGAAACTCAACAACTATGTATATGTTTAAGGCAGCCAGAAGCGCAAGATGCAGAACCTTATAACTCCTACACTGAAATAATAACAAATGAGGAAAGTGACCAACCTGTGCTACCATACACTCCACTGTGGTTCTCACAGAGACAGGAAGCACCTCTCTCAGGCTGAACAACTCGGCCGAGCTCAGCCGGTCAAACACTTCCTTAGCCTGTGGAGTTAATCAGTTAGACATTTCTCATGCATTTTAACCTGAACGAACAAGGCTTTCAAGTGTTGATGATGGGTTATGAAAGGTTTTCAAGTGTTAATGATGGGTTATGAAAGGCTTTCAAGTGTTGGTGATGGGTTATGAAACAGATAAAAACCATAAACTGCTTAGGGAGTATAGATGTAGACAGTGTTTTTCGAACATGTTATGAGGAGTGGACTTGAGAACTTGATAATGACTGGCAAGATTGATGGAAAAACAGCAAACAGATAAAAAGAGATAAATATTTGGATGACCTGGTCATTATGATGGGGTGAGATAAGAACACTGACCTGATTTGTGATCCTGGTGATCATATTAGATAGTGAGACATGAAAGCCACACTGACTGGCACAGTATATGATGATGACTGGTTAAATTGTACTGAACATTTAGTTTGATTTTACTGTTTATACAATGAAATGTAATACTGTCACCTGGAGAAAGCTGTTTTCCAGCATTTACAGGTTAGGGATGACATGAAATCTTTTGACAGTGGCTACTACACCTATAGAACAGCTTTGTTACTGTATGCAGCTGCACAGTGTGTAGACATGGTGTGTTTTATTGGATTTTTTTAAATTTTAAAAGTTATTGACAAGATATTATTTAGGGTGAAGAAAATCATACAAGTTCAAAAACTCTGAGATCATTATAATCTCCAGATGATGTCACTTTGCTCCATGTGGCTAGGTCAACAAAAACACACTCATGATGATCAAAGGCAAGCAAGTGGAGCAGTGAATTCTTTGCTGATATGATGGTCCTGATGCTGCAATGGCTATCATGTATGCCCGACTGCTCAGTGGTCATAGATTTCAGCCCCTGGAGTTGTTTCAAAACTGATCAGTGCTCAACATGTCTTCTGCTTCTTCTCTTTCTAGTTTCTCAGGGCAGAGTTTTCAGGCAATTATCAGATGCATTTCTTTTTAGTGATCATTTTGAAAATTAAAATGTTTCTTCTTCAGATTCTTACAGCCTGAAAGAGTTAAATATATTTTTGTTAAGCCCTGATAAAAGTAACCTCCTAATCTTGATGAATTAAAATCATTTAGGAGTTGTTACTCCGGGTAAAATATTAGATAATACATATGTCATTAAATTGGTATTTGTTTGAAAAACCAGAAAACCAAAAACAAAACCACAGAACTGAAAGACAGATAGTTGCAGAAAACCAGACAAAAACAAAGAAATACAAATACATGAGAGAGAGAGAGCGAGAGAGTGAGAAAGAGAGAGATAGAAGGATAGACAGACATAAAAAGATAGAAACAGGAAAATGCAGATACATGTATGCGTGAGAGAGAGAGAGAGAGAGAGAGAGAGAGAGAGAGAGAGAGAGAGAGAGAGAGAGAGAGAGAGAGAGAGAGAGAGAGAGAGAGAGAGAGAGAGAGAGAGAGAGAGAGAGAGAGAGAGAGCGAGAGAGACATAAAGAAGAGTCAGTGATAGAGACAAAGAGACGGCAATCATAGATTTCAAGAAAAAACATAACAACCTTTGGCCTGTAGTCTGGAACCTGGTTGAGACATTGAGTGACCAAGTCCTGGTAGTCTGGCCAAGGAGGACAACCTCTTTTTGTAAAAGGAGGAATAGGGAGGTTCTGGTGACACAAATAGGACAAATAACCACACAGTCATTCAACTTTGACTCAATAGGATAGCAATCAAGTTTGACTCTATCTGGCAGTAGTGTCTTTATCTGTATGTGTCTATACATTCATGTGCGTAAATGTGCATATGCAGTATGTTTTTGTGGTTCATTAGCTAGCTGTGGGCTATTTTTTCACTGTGGAAATCTTGTCTGATGCTGCGTATGAGTGATTTATATTGAGTGCACAAATAAATACCCAGTGGTTTGAAACTGATGATGAACTGCAGACAGGAGTTAATGAATGGTTCAAGACACTGGCGGCAGACTTCTATGACACTAGAATTAAGAACCTGGTGCCACGATACCAAAAATGTGTTGAAGTCAATGGTGACTATGTTGAGAAATAAGTGGTTAACTTTTGGCTGCAATAAAACATTTTTATATATGATGGTTTTTCTAGAAAATTGTTTATACAGGGACATACTTAAAAAGCGCACCTCATATATATATATATACATATATATATCTTTATAGAAAAGAAAGAAACATGTCTAAAAAGGAAGTATTTCCCTACATCCATGAGTGACACATAACACAGCAGCAGTTGCCCAGACATCCATACATCTCTTCACTTCTGTTGAATTCACGCCATTTAATGCTCATGAGTTTTAGGCACTCGTTTTCAAAGGAAATGTCATAGTCCTGTTTAATTGTGACAGCTCACTGTAACCAAGAGGAAACTCCTAATTGTCCCAGTCCCTGACTCAATGAAAACAAGACAATTCCTTTTGTATTTATTGGTTACTCTGCTTTGGTTTAAGGCAGCCCCAGTGGTGTAGTGGCTAGATGCTCGCCTGTCATGTGAAGGTCTAGGGTCCAATCCGCATCATGGCATATCTTTTCCTAAAACTGACATTGGCTACCAGTATGATCCAACCTAAACTAGGTACCAAGTTATGTCCTGGGAAGCAAAAGTGGTCGGCGTGATGTTGACCATTTCACCCATTGAAAAGCTGATTGGTCTATAAAAATATCAGACACTTTATGCCAATGTGCTACTGACACAAAAATGGTCCTCTCCTTTGCTGCTGTAGTACATACTCCTTAGTTCAACAGCTGGCTAAGATGGTCATCAGGTCTGGTTTAACCCTCAGAGTAGGCAGGATTACTTCTTTGCTTGCCAGCAAGGCTCTAGGGTCTACCCAGCCTCACAAAAATTCGTTCAGACCATTTTCATACTTTTCTGAAAAGGAAAGGCAATAAGGAAGGTAACAGAGCACCCAGTCTCATATGTTATGGTCTAGAACAGGATAAGGTCTAACAGTTCACACCCCAAGAGCAATATCTGCTATGGAAGTACCTTCACTTATCTGTTGTTTCTTTTAAACGTCAACTTTTTAACCAATTTTCTGTTCCAATGCAGTTGTTTATTAATACTCTCTAGCACATTTTGTGTGTGAGTGTGTGTGTGTGTGTGTTAACTCTGTAGAGTAAATAATTTTTTGATGAGGATACATTCTGACTTTGAAAAATAAACAGTCAGTCAGTCAGTCAGTCAGTCAGTCAGTCAGTCAGTCAGTCAGTCAGTCAGTAGTATGTCCTTTGCAGAACCGTGCTCCCATAACAACCCTCCGCAAACCTCTTGATCACAAGCAAGATGTCACGCGTCTGATACACCTATCTGGAGATCATCTGCCATTTCCTGCACCCATCTTCTCTTTGGCCTTCCTCTTCCTTTCTTTCCAGGCATATACCCCTCACTAATGTTCTCAAACTTTCATGACATTTCAAGTCACCAAAATTTTTTAATTTTCTGTGTTTTATCATTTTTAATAGCCAACCTTGTTCAACAACAACTAATTCGCCGTTGACGACACGCTGGTAGGGGAGTGGGGGCTGTGTGTCTGCTTATATGCTGCCCAATATGGGGCCCTGGAACCCACCGGAAGATAGCAATCATTTTAACAAATGGGGGGAAAATATAAAAAGAGAACTCACATCAGCAAAAGCCTTGTCAATTTCACCGTTGAACTCCAAACCATCAAAAGGGTGGATACCTCCAGTCACAACCATGTACATGAGTATTCCAAGAGAGAAAATGTCTGCCTGCGGACACACATACAACACGAAGAACTGGCAAATAAGATCATAATCACAATCCCTTTAGGACATCACTAAAAGACAAAGGTATAATACCTGCTTAAAGATAAGAACAAAAGTCAAAACAAGGTAGCAGTTAGATCAGTGATTCTAAACCTGCCGGTGGTGACCCTTTTTTGGTTCGAATGACCCTTTCACAGGGGTCGCCTAAGACCATTGGATAACATATATTCATTGAAGTTGGAAGGAAAATAATTCTTTCGGGGTCGCCACAACATGAGGGAACTTAATTAAAGGGTCGTGGCATCAGGAAGGTTGACAGCAACTGAGTTAAATGCTTAACTGCTGGCTCGTAGAGGTCGTAAGTTCAAGTCCTATGTTTTGTTGGTCTCCTTGGTTGACTCAGTCTAAAATGGGCACTAGGTTATGTTCTGTAGAGACAGCCAGCAAGTTTGGTCCTTGGAACTTGGGAAAAAAGAAAAAAGAAAATGTCAAGCTTTGTCCTCTTTCAGCCGCCCGAAGGCCTGCTTTATTGAGGATGGTTTCTTTGCTATCTGAATTTAGTTCCTCTCTTTGTGGCAATCATTTTCACCTAAGTTTGATTTTTTGCATGATGGGTCCTTCCCTGTTTTTCTACTTTTATAAGAAAAAAAAATGATTTACAAAATTATGAGTATTTTTCCAAACAACTGAAAAACAAAACAATCTTTCTCACTACAGTGACTCAACGGGCATTTGGTGCTTAACGCATATTGTTTATAGACCTAACACTGATGGTTATCTTTACGTCCTTTTTAGGACGACATTTTTTGTTATTTGAAGCTCTACTCTGGCTCTTGCCAGGGGCCGCAATATAGCCTGGCCATAAATATGGCCTAAAGGCTGAACGCGGTTTCTGTGACCTCTCCACAGTGATCCTCACCCATATAGTAGCACATTGTGTCATCGGGTGTTTATTGCTAGTGTGATGTTCTGGTAAGGTAGAAAGTCAGTCAGTCAGTCAGTAAAGAGTTAAAAAACATGGAAGTCACCTTTGCTACCCAGGACATTTCCTGGCACCCATTTTAGGATGTAGTGACTTGTTTAATCACTCTTCTCTTTTCTATGTAGAGGTACCTTTTTGTCCAGTTTTACCAGTTACTGTCTTTCCTTTTCTGCTGTACCAAGTTGTAGAGGTACGCTTGCAGTCCAGATTACCATTTACTGCTTCCCCTTCTACCTTAGAAGGCTGTGATGTCTTAAGGTTTTACTTTATTATTCAATCAGAAAGCAAACTATGACAACAGGTGGTGATCAATGTACCTGGGAGGAGTAAGTCTCCCCTCTGATGACTTCTGGAGCTCTGTAAGCTGGGGTACCTTCCTGAGCTGTGAGGCCAAACAAGGTGGTGAACTGGGAGATGCCATAATCTGCAATCTTTGCATTGATCTGAAATTGCAGGATTATAAATAAACCTAAACTATTTCTCTACCATGCTACACTCTATAGGTTGACTAGTAAATCCAAAGAGAGTATACTCTTATGACTCTTCTTCTGTATTTAGCTATTACATTAAACGACTACATCTAAATGGTTAATTGTCATTCAATCTTCTTCTCCGTGTTCACACTGGCTGTTATAGTTCTTTGTACATGTCTGCATTTTCGTCTTGTTCATGAACTTGAATTTTGCATGCAAATCCATTTTACTTACCTGGCTAATTTGTGTGCAGATTGTTGGTTACTTGCCTGTCAGGCAGATGTACTCTGACTTTGAAGGAAACACACCCTAATATGACATGCTTGTTGGGGGAGGGGGAGGGGGGCAGTGGCTATTCCCCCCCCCCTCACCACCTTCATACAATGGGACCCTGAAACCCACATGGGAAAAGTTCCTTGTGACAGAAATAGTGTTATTAATTTAAGAACTTTGAACTTACACATTTCCTCTTGAAATTAAAATATCAAAATAAAGTGTGTTTGAAAGTGGAGAAAACAATTACAAGGAGTTAACAGACCTCAGATGATTACCCCACACCTAACACTCTACACTGAAAAGCCACTTTGTCCTGTGGCAATTTTTTTTGCCTCATAAATGTTTCTACAAAAGATGAGAAGCAGTTGGGATTTTCCTTTCCTCAAGTTATGGGACAATAGAGGCACTTCCCAAACTCTCCAGTACTTTCTAGAGAACATCACTGTCATAGATGGGACTTTATATAACTTCTTCAGCCTGTCTAAGAGGAGGACACACACTCTCAACTGTATAATGGTAATATACCCTCTGCACACCTGTCCATCACCAGCTGCAGTTTGCTGGTGCAGTTACCTATGATCTATTGCATGGTAAGTTTATGGGTTCCTATTCTTTGTAGGTGTGAGTAGTATACATAACACTGTGATCACTGCACTCGGGCCATCCTCACATGTGTTAAATTCCCTTGCTAAGAAGCCAATGAAAAGTTCCTATAGTGATACTGCCAGTTACAACCTGACTGAAAATCTACCTGCAGATAATACCTGTAGAAAGGCCACAGCTGAGCTATAAGGACATATGCAAACACAATCTGAAATACATAAAATCAACACTGACACAGACATTTGGTAGATTAGCTGCAGACAGACTCTTTTTGAGGCAAACAGTGAAGGATAGACTGGGGCAATTTGAAAGGCCATCTGAGAGAAAACCAGCCTCAGAATGATAGTGTGTCAATGTTTTTGTGTGAACTATGTGACAAAGACTGCCACTTCCACATTAAACTTTACAGACATAGCAGACACTGTTCCCATAACCAGCAGCACAATTCCATGGTCCCCAAGGACTGGCAGTTGCCAACTATGAAGCCTACCTGACCCTTCCTCTGCACAATGAAAACTGTATAGATCTTCTGCTTACTTTCCACAGAATGAACCATTAGAGGAATGGATACTCTGTTCTGGTGGACTGTCCACTTGATTCCGGACAGCCCTAAACTATGTCTACTTTATCATAAAGCAGCTCACTGCCAACAGGAATGACATCAGTCCATCTACCAGCCTGCTCATTTCCCTGAGCACCAGAACGTCCTGGGCAGAAAACCCCTGATATACTATTGAGACCATGAAATAAATGTAGTAACCGTAGTGACAACTCTACACACAAGCATAAGTTGTTAGAGAAACATGAAATAGGGACTAGCTTAGATGCACTGTTGTTACAGCTCTGTTCTACAGAGAAGGTTGACACATGATGTACTGATAATGATGATCACTGTGGTGGTTGAAGTGTCATGGTGATGCTACTGTTGAAATAAGTCCCAATGCTGCTGCTACTGATAATGTACTGTATATGGTACATACCAGGGCATCAGGAGATTATATGGTACATACCAGGGCATCAGGAGATTATATGCTTCATACCAGGGCATCAGGAGATTATATGCTTCATACCAGGGCATCAGGAGATTATATGCTACACACCAGGGCATCAGGAGATTATATGGTACATACCAGGGCATCAAGAGATTTTTTTCTACATACCAGGGCATCAGGAGATTATATGCTACATACCAGGGCTTCAGGAGATTATATGGTACATACTAGGACATCAGGAGATTATATGCTACATACCAGGGCATCAGGAGATTATATGCTACATACCAGGGCATCAGGAGATTATATGGTACATACCAGGGCATCAGGAGATTATATGCTTCATACCAGGGCATCAGGAGATTATATGCTTCATACCAGGGCATCAAGAGATTATTTTCTACATACCAGGGCATCAGGAGATTATATGCTACATACCAGGGCATCAGGAGATTATATGCTACATACCAGGGCATCAAGAGATTATATGCTGTATACCAGGGCTTCAGGAGTTTATATGCTACATACCAGGGCATCAGGAGATTATATGCTACATACCAGGGCATCAAGAGATTATATGCTGTATACCAGGGCTTCAGGAGATTATATGCTACATACCAGGGCATCGGGAGATTATATGCTACATACCAGGGCATCAGGAGCCAAGCTAAAAACTAAGACATTGTCAGGCTTGAGGTCCCTGTAGACAATCAAGAGACTGTGGAGATAGTCCAGTCCTTCCGCAACCTTAGGGGACACAGAGAGCAAATGTCAAGACCAGTCATCAATTATAAATCAATTCATGCACAATAACAAGAAAGGGGGGGGGAGGGGGGGGGGAAGGGGGAAACAACAAGGACAGGTTTCTCATAATGCTCACTAAGGTGTACAGCATATGGTGCTAACTCCATATTTTTATAGATCAACTGCATTCAATGTGAAATGTGGTCAATATCAGGCTGCTGATCTTTATTTTCTAGCGCCCATGTTTAGACTGCGTCGATCTGGGAGCTTATTTCATTTTCGAAATCCATGTCAACAGGGATTCGATTCTGAGACCACTGTGTCAGCAGGCAAGGGAGCTGTTATAGCAAAATTTTATATTTTAAGAAAAATATGTAATGAATTATAGTCTCACTTTCCATCTGGGTTCTTTCACCCAAGTTTTTTTCCTTTTTTTTGGTACCGAAGGGAAAAAACACTGATCCGATAAAGCATGCAGTAAAATGTAACCAATTAATCATTTGCTGAAACAGAATATGCTGGGCTGAAAAGCTTTGTAAAATGGGCTGTAAACCGCAACATAATGATTCAACAGCCATGTTATGGGTAAACACAGCAGAAGAAGAATAGTCTCTTGAACACAGAAGAAGAATAGTCTCTTGAACAATAATCAACATCATCATCAGTGTCCTGTTGTGCCATTATCTGTCACATAGAGCTCACAGTCTATGCCTCCAGTTTGTTCTATTACGTGCAGTCACATCAACATCATGGATGAAGTTCAGTCCAGCACCTTTAGCCTCTCTCATCAACGTCTGTTTTAGGGTTTCCTGTAGATGACCTCATTTCCTCAATCCTTAGATTTGCCATTTTAGTGCCTCCTCAGTGATTCTCTGCTTATGTTTTCTCTCAGGATCTGTCTAATACAGCACTGCAGTCTTAGTCGTATAAATGAAACGGACTCAAGAACTTGGTGACAACTGGCAAGACTGATGGGGAAAGAGTGAGGGGAAGGCAAAAAAATCATTACCTAGATGGTTTAACCATATGGATGGGGTTAGACTAGAAGACTAAAATCTGATCCAATATTCTAGCGATGGTGTGAGATGAAGAAACAAGACTGCCTGTGCTTATCAGCACAGCATGTGACGATGATGAAAGATTGTGAAATAAAAAAGCTGTTGTTATATTACAAATGATAAAGGATATGATGATGAAAAATTGTGAACATATAAAGTTGTTGTTGTATTACAAAGGATTAGGGATATGATGATGATGAAAGATTGTGAACATATAAAGTTGTTGTATTACAAATGATTAAGGATATGACAATGATGAAAGATTGTGAACATATAAAGTTGTTGTTGTATTACAAATGATTAAGGATATGACAATGATGAAAGATTGTGAACATATAAAGAAGGTTTATGATTATGGACATTAGGAACATGAATCTTTTTTTTTAAACTACCTGTTGAGAAATTTTTAGCTGCAGAGTCCGGCTGAGGTTATGGCTGGATTTGAACACATCACCAAGAGACTGATTTGAGGCAAACTCCAAGACAACCAGGCGGACTGGCCTAAGAGATACACCCACCAGGGCAATAACGCTGGGATGTTTCAGTCTTCGCAGTATGGTGGCCTGAAGTAACCAAGCTTGGTCTTAGGTAATGTCACACAACAGAGGTAAGTGACTGTTGTGATGATGTTTTTTTTGGCAAATGTCTATGTATAATTTTTCAACATTGTTTATTGAAAAAAAAAAAAAAAAATAAGCACCACAGGATAAGAAAAAGAAGTATGGATCTGAAATATGGAGAACAAATAAAACAATTACTAATGGACAATAAACATTTATTAACTAGGGCCTGTGCATACTTGCATGCACGCTCATGTGTGTGTATATGTATAAATAGATATATACATACTGATTCCATTCTCAGATGCTTTCAACGGGCTCAAATGATCTATAAAGCAGAGTGACAGACAACAATGACAACCAAATCATATGTGTCATTCCTCTCTCAGATGTCATTCAGAAAAACAAGTTGTGTTTTTTATGTTAGAGAACTGAAGAAGAAACATTACCTCCTGCCTCAACATTTTGTGTGGGTGGATGTCTCCAATGGCAGAGAACACTTTAACTGCCACCACCTGTGAAACAAATCAAACACAGGGTGTCCCTAAAATGCATACAGACTTATCTTTAAAGAATATAGATATTTTAAATATATTCAAATATTTAACTCCCTAAAATTCTCCATAAACAGAAGAAACTTAAATGAAGCAATCATAGAAGTCAGACTAAGCTTTGAGAAATGAAAATATTTCATAAAGTGTGAAAAATAGCCGAAGTGCAAAGAGATTTTACACACTAGTGTCAAACAGATCCATCAAAGCAAGTTGCACTATACCTCAGTATGAAACAAATCCATCAAAGCAAGTCACCAATAGTTACACTATACCTCAGTATGAAACAAATCCATCAAAGTAAGTCACCAATAGTTGCACTATACCTCAGTATGAAACAAATCCATCAAAGCAAGTCAACAATAGTTACACTATACCTCAGTATGAAACATATCCATCAAAGCAAATCACCAATAGTTGCACTATACCTCAGTATGAAACAAATCCATCAAAGCAAGTCACCAATAGTTGCACTATACCTCAGTATGAAACAGATCTATCAAAGTAAGTCACCAATAGTTGCACTATACCTCAGTATGAAACAAATCCATCAAAGTAAGTCACCAATAGTTGCACTATACCTCAGTATGAAACAGATCTATCAAAGTAAGTCACCAATAGTTGCACTATACCTCAGTATGAAACAGATCCATCAAAGCAAGTTGCACTATACCTCAGTATGAAACAAATCCATCAAAGTAAGTCACCAATAGTTGCACTATACCTCAGTATGAAATAGATCCATCAAAGCAAGTCACCAATAGTTGCACTATACCTCAGTATGAAATAGATCCATCAAAGCAAGTCACCAATAGTTGCACTATACCTCAGTATGAAACAGATCCATCAAAGCAAGTCACCAATAGTTACACTATACCTCAGTATGAAACAAATCCATCAAAGTAAGTCACCAATAGTTGCACTATACCTCAGTATAAAACAGATCTATCAAAGTAAGTCACCAATAGTTGCACTATACCTCAGTATGAAATAGATCCATCAAAGCAAGTCACCAATAGTTGCACTATACCTCAGTATGAAATAGATCCATCAAAGCAAGTCACCAATAGTTGCACTATACCTCAGTATGAAATAGATCCATCAAAGCAAGTCACCAATAGTTGCACTATACCTCAGTATGAAACAGATCAATCAAAGCAAGTCACCAATAGTTGCACTATACCTCAGTATGAAATAGATCCATCAAAGCAAGTCACCAATAGTTGCACTATACCTCAGTATGAAACAGATCAATCAAAGCAAGTCACCAATAGTTGCACTATACCTCAGTATGAAACATATCCATCAAAGCAAGTCACCAATAGTTGCACTAAACCTAAGTATGAAACCGATCCATCAAAGAAAGTCACCAATAGTTGCACTATACCTCAGTATGAAACAGATCCATCAAAGCAAGTTGAACTATACCTCAGTATGAAACAAATCCATCAAAGCAAGTCACCAATAGTTGCACTATACCTCAGTATGAAACAAATCCATCAAAGTAAGTCACCAATAGTTGCACTATACCTCAGTATGAAACAGATCTATCAAAGTAAGTCACCAATACTTGCACTATACCTCAGTATGAAACAGATCCATCAAAGCAAGTTGCACTATACCTCAGTATGAAACAGATCCATCAAAGCATGTCACCGATAGTTTCACTATATCTCAGTATGAAACAGATCCATCAAAGCATGTCACCGATAGTTTCACTATATCTCAGTATGAAACAGATCCATCAAAGCAAGTCACCGATAGTTTCACTATACCTCAGTATGAAACAGATCCATCAAAGCATGTCACCGATAGTTTCACTATATCTCAGTATGAAACAGATCCATCAAAGCATGTCACCGATAGTTTCACTATACCTCAGTATGAAACCGATCCATCAAAGCAAGTCACCAATAGTTTCACTATACCTCAGTATGAAACAGATCCATCAAAGCAAGTCACCAATAGTTACACTATACCTCAGTATGAAACAGATCCATCAAAGCAAGTCACCAATAGTTACACTATACCTCAGTATGAAACAAATCCATCAAAGCAAGTCACCAATAGTTGCACTATACCTCAGTATGAAACAAATCCATCAAAGTAAGTCACCAATAGTTGCACTATACCTCAGTATGAAACAAATCCATCAAAGCAAGTCACCAATAGTTGCACTATACCTCAGTATGAAACAGATCCATCAAAGTAAGTCAACAATAGTTACACTATACCTCAGTATGAAACAAATCCATCAAAGCAAGTCACCAATAGTTGCACTATACCTCAGTATGAAACAGATCCATCAAAGCAAGTCACCAATAGTTGCACTATACCTCAGTATGAAACAAATCCATTAAAGCAAGTCACCAATAGTTGCACTATACCTCAGTATGAAACAAATCCATCAAAGCAAGTCACCAATAGTTGCACTATACCTCAGTATGAAACAAATCCATCAAAGCAAGTCACCAATAGTTGCAACATACCTCAGTATGAAACAGATCCATCAAAGCAAGTCACCAATAGTTACACTATACCTCAGTATGAAACAGATCCATCAAAGCAAGTTACCAATAGTTGCACTATACCTCAGTATGAAACAAATCCATCAAAGTAAGTCACCAATACTTGCACTATACCTCAGTATGAAACAGATCCATCAAAGCAAGTCACCAATAGTTACACTATACCCCAGTATGAAAAAGATCCATCAAAGCAAGTCACCAATAGTTGCACTATACCTCAGTATGAAACAAATCCATCAAAGCAAGTCACCAATAGTTGCAACATACCTCAGTATGAAACAGATCAATCAAAGCAAGTCACCAATAGTTGCACTATACCTCAGTATGAAACAAATCCATCAAAGCAAGTTGCACTATACCTCAGTATGAAACAAATCCATCAAAGCAAGTCACCAATAGTTGCACTATACCTCAGTATGAAACAGATCCATCAAAGCAAGTCACCAATAGTTACACTATACTCCAGTATGAAAAAGATCCATCAAAGCAAGTCACCAATAGTTGCACTATAGCTCAGCATGAAACAAATCCATCAAAGCAAGTCACCAATAGTTGCACTATACCTCAGTATGAAACAAATCCATCAAAGCAAGTCACCAATAGTAGCACTATACATGAGTATGCAACTGTTCAAGGTATCCACAAAAGTTATTAGGGAACACCACTGTTATCTACCAACCCCACAAGACTTTTAAACCCAATTATATGTCTTCTTATAAATCAAGATGTGTAAACATGTTTTTCAAACACCCTGCATATGTCAATCTAGGATCAGTTCCAAACTGTAGAAAGTTCTACATCATCGTGTAATGATGATGTGTTGCTGTATTTGACAGTTTAATGAGACTTCACAATAATTTGGTCTCCATGGACTAACATAACATAAGCTTTGACCCATTAGGGTCATGTAGGTGCATTGATGGAAGCACTAGCACATAAAACCTGCCATCTTTCTCTGTCTTCTGCTTGATGAATAACTGTATGATAACTTAGTCCTGTCCATTTCTTGATGTCATTTTCAAGTTCTTCTTTGCCATCCTCTTCTTCGACTACTCCCCAATGTTCCTTGAAGTACAGTCTTTGCAATTGAATCATGTCTCACCATGTGCCCAAAACAAACTAGCTTGCGATGTTTCACCACTGCCAAGAGAGGCTCCTGATGTCCTGCAAATTTGTATATTTTGTCTCTGACATATTTATTAGTTTTGTGTTCTAAATAACGAATTCGTAGAATGCGTCTGTAGCATTTACAATCCAAAGCCTGAATCCTCCTTTCCATTTCTACAGTGAGAGTCCAACTCTCACACCCATATAAGAAAACAGATAACTCCTGTGATTTGTAAATACTGATCTTGACTGCGATGCTGATTTTGCTCTTCCACATTGTATTCAGCTGTGACATCGTGGCTAAGTTTAGTTCGCAATTAATGAAACAACATTCTTGCAAGAGACGTTCAGCTGCTGTTTTTTGTTTGGCCACTAACTTTAGCCTGAGTGGCTGTCAAGTCTGTAGTTAGTAAAAGTAAGAAACGGACCCTTTTTACACCAGCAGTGAATCTGGCACATGATGCTAGATGTAAATTTCTACAGACTTATCCGTAATCCACACTTGTGGGTGATGTGGTCAACATACACAAGTTGGCTTTATCGCAAGACATTTTCTGGTACCTATTTTAAGCTGGGTCAATCTGGATGTTTTAGGTCTGTTTATCCAAAATATAAAGCAGTTAAAAAAATATATCTGACACAGTTTGTCAAACATATTTAGTTGTTTGTAAAAAAACTATTTCTTCTTTAGCGTTTACCAGATGTAAACTCAGCCAAAATGTCTTGGTTTTATGTCCACTTCTGGACTTTGGTCCTGTTCTAGAACTCTGAGTTTTGCATGCACATCTGTTTTTAAAGATCTGACTTATCTGTATGCAGGGACTTCTGGTTCCTCGCCTCTAAGACAGACGCACTCCAACATTAAAGGAAACATCCCTAAGCAGTCAAGCGTTACGACAGGCTTGCAGATAAAAACCACCTGAGACTGTCAAATACTATTCAACAGCTTGTATAAATATTAGAGACATTTTTCAAAATTACTGAACAGGTTTTTTTTAAAAATATTTGAGATGATTTGTACAAAAAAATATTTCAATTACCTCTAAAATGTACCTATTATAATGGCTACTGACCTTTCCTCTGTACAAAGCCTTGTAAACTGATCCAAACCCCCCATCTCCACACAGGTTTTCTGGACTGAGGAGAGACAAGTATTTGTGTGATTAAAATTACAAATGTAATCACTGGTGTCAGGGCAAAAGAGAAGGAATAAGGAATAAAAGAGAATTAGAGGCAAAGAAAAAAAAGACCAATACAGGGAGAAAATAAGCTGGCAATAAGAGAAGACAGCCTGATATGAAATGGTTGAAGGAAGGTGTAAAACCATTTCTGTACACTTTCTAATGCATTGTGCAAGTTGATCTCCATTTCTCTAAAAGATATAAACTGGTTGAAGGGAGACGTAAGGATCTTATCTGAGCTCTATCTAATGCCTTGTGCAAGTTGTTCTTCATTTCTCTAAGGCTGTTCTTGATGACGACATTCCATCATTTGTGTACACTTCCCTTTGCCTGAGTTCACGATACCTCTTCAACATAATTTGATTAGCAGTTGATAAGAGGGCATTCTCACCAGAGTGGCCAAACAATCTTATCTGCTATATTTTGACTACTCTCATTCCAGGAAATGTTTACTTCAACACTTCATATCTCAAAGTATCACTATTTGAGATATCACCATTTGAGAGTAAAATGGCATGAAACAAGGAGGCAGATCAACTTTAGCGCGCGCGCGCACAACCACCCACCCACCACTATTTCACATCTGAAAAACACTAATAACTAGCAGGTCCACACTTGAAAAAACACTAATAAGTTTCTTAATCAGCACACCTGACAGAAACACCAATCAATAGATAACCCCACAATCAACCTGCATAAATGGTTACCTTTCCCTGAAATCAAACTGATCCATGTCCAGATGAAAGTGAGGCTCAACATCTGCCAGCATCACATCTGGGGCCTGCAGACACACACAGACAGGTTATTTACCTAGCAACACTGGAAGAGTACTGTCTTCAAAAAGGTGACCAACTACCACTGCACTGACTGGGCAAGGGTGTTATAACTCAGATCACTTATTAATGTGTGAGACAAATTTTATATTACAAATGTTATTAGGAAAAGACACTGTTTTCAGTCCCTAATGATGCTTGAAACTTGTCGTGATTTCTACTGCACTCAGTCTTTCTCGAGCTCATATCTCCTTCCTCCTTCCACGTTTCTTTTTTGATAGCAAATTTTTTTGCGAGTTTCTTGTAAAAAAGTAAAGTAAAAGGACCCTTTTTCATGTCTTTAGGAGTATAGGGCACATAGGGCTAGGTCTATATTTTAAAGACCAATCGGCACAAGATGGGTGGTAATTTCAGAGACCGACCGCCTGGAAAATGGAATCCAAAATTGACACCACCACCACCAGCGGTAAGAAATACCACCCGACCATCCCCACCTGGGAGCTTAAAACACCATACACCGACGAAAGCCTCGCCCACGTGATAGACAGAAACCAGGACATACTCGATGCAAGGTCGAGAGTCGAACAGTACATCCGTGACGCAGAAATAGACACAATGATCACATACACAGACGGCTCAAAAACCAGCACAGGAGAAGTCAGGGCAGAAGTTTACATACCGGCCTGGAAATCAACACATGAATACAAACTCACTAACGATATGGCAGTCTCCTCAGCTGAGCTGGTAGAAATTCTAAAAGCACTGGAGCTAGCCTGCGAACGGCCCCCTATAAAACTCCTAATCCTTACCGACTCACTGTCAGCTGTAAAAGCACTGAAAGACTTATCGAAAGTGAGCAGACAAGACATTAAAGAATAAATTCTGACCACTTCAACCAGACTCAGATTATGATATTCCAAATTACCATTAGTTGGATCCCAGCACACATAGGCATTGAAGGCAATGAAGCAGCAGACAGAGCAGCGAAAAGGGGCACCTTCAGCCCCAACACAGTATTCGCGGGACTGGGTAAAACTTAACTTAAAGCGGCAATTAAAAGCAAAATGTGTAGAGAATGGACCCAGGAGTGGTCATCCAGCAACAAAGGCAGAGCAGCCTACAAACTACTCAACAAACCCAGTTTCAAGAATCAAGTGACTAAACTGACCAAAATTCCGGCCATTCAAAAACTGTGGAAGATGCGACTAGGGTGTTGGCCAGACCGATTCCGCAATCCTGTGTGCGAGGAATGCAGGGCCCCTAACTCCATGGAGCACTTCTTACTAACTTGTAACCACCACGAAATAGAGAGACAAGAGCTCGTGCTGCACTTCAGAGCCACAAAGCAACCAATGACAATTGAAAACTGCTTCAGTGTAAGCTGCGACGACAAGGTCCAGCGACTTGTGAAGCAGTTTATATCCAGAACTGGGAAAGCGATCTGAGAGCCACCCCTCATCAATGATGTGACTGACCAGATCCAGCGAGTACCAGCACCCTCAGCAGAGCCAGCTATCCCTCACTCTCACTCTACCGACCTCACTGTATGTCCTCTAAAAAGCATTCCTGCAATTCTACCTTTGCTAATTCCACTCCTTATCTACCACAGGCGAATAACACAGACTAAAACAAACCAATTAACATACATTTCTTTTAGTGTATTTTCAGAAAGATAAAAACGACGGAACCCACCAAAGGCCACCCGACGCTCCGAGGCAAACCAGCTAAAAGGGCATAGCACACGAAGGGAGCCAGCCCTCGTGGATTCCAGTCTATTATGCATTTCATTTTTTACCTCCCGCGCCCCTCCCCACATATGTTTAAAATGTAAATCAGTTTATTTTCAGTTAACAAATAACGGAACACACCAAAGGCCACCAGACGCTCTGAGGCAAGCCAGCTAAAAGGGCATAGCACAAGAAGGGGACCAGCTCTCGTGGATTCCAGTCTATTTAAGGGACCTCTTTATCAATCTAGCAAGCTATTTCTCTCCATCTTCCGACCTAACTATAAAATATCTTGGCACCTTCGGGTGCTCAAATTTTTTTGCAAATCTTTGTTACCTCCTCTTCATATTAAAAAAAAAACTAAAAAAAAAAACGGCTGCGCACAACAAGTAGATTGTGACAGTCGTCCTGATGGGTGCCTTGTGTGGCACATTCAATCTGCGGAACTGTTTGCTTCGCGGTTGTGTGACTGAGGACTGACTTGGTGCTCGTACAGATGAACAGTGCAACAGGAGCTAGCGGACAGCTAACTAAAAAAGGGAACCAGGACCCATGAAACCAGAACTTAGGCAACAAAAGAACAAACTCAGGTGTAACTGCTCACCACAAAGGGAAATAACCAAAATAAGGTAGCAAAGGAACCGTCCTTGATAAAGCAGGCCATCAGGCTGCTAAAAAAAGGACTAAGCTTGGAATTTTTGTTTGATTTTATACGATATGAAGATGGGTGATGTGGTCAGCATCACGCCAGCCGCCTTTATTTGCCGGGACTGCACCTGGTACCCACTCAAGGCTGGGTAGACCTGGGAGCCAATGTCATTTTTGAAAAAAGTCTGGCTCTGCCAGGGAGAGAACCTACGACCTTCCAATCCGCGGCGAGCGTTGAGTTTCTTGTATCTGATTAAAACAATTGCCTTCAAGAGCTCCTCTCTGACTCCAGCTTGCTCCTACAATCTCACACCTGAGACAATCTTTTCCCTAAAAATCTCCCATCTTGCTCCTAGAATCTTACAGCTGAGACATCACCTCGCCCTACCACCCCTTCTACCTAACAACCCCTTCAGTCTATAACCTCTTTCATGCAACAGCACCTATAGCAAAACAGCACCCACCAGTTTCCCCAGATCAACCATCCCCTGATGTTCTGGGCAGAAAATTTCCGTGTGGTTCTCAGATGCCTTCAGCAGATCTTCAAATCTGAAGCTGTACAGCTGAGGACCTGCACCAAAAAGTACAAAGAGGTGAAATTATGTTTGTACAGGGACAATCTTGCACAACTCATCACGGTAATGAGAACATGTACAGTGAATAAATGTGATGAAAAACATTAGGAGACATTTGAGACAAATTACCAGAAAATGATAAGAATCAACTGGATGTCTTATTTTTTTTTATTGTGCTCAACCAGAATTGTTTCTGTCCCAAACAATGCACTATGTATAGAGGCTAACACTCACCTAGATAGGTCATTTGATGTCTTTTATATATTTATACATCTTGAGTCGAGTCAGGCAAACTCATTCAACCCAACAATACAAGTCACCCACAATGTGCCATGTATTTGGACCCTGTGGGTGCTGAGCTGTATAGGACAAATGGTTCTATCAGATTACTGATTACAATGTAGCCAACTGATTTCTGTAAACATACTCACCAGGACACATGGTACAGGGTACATGTTTTTCCAAGAGCTCCCTACCAAGCATAGGATCAATAGTGGTGAGACCAGGGTACCACTCATCCACCAATGAGTCCACATGATCCACAAGATATCCCATCAGTCTGGAAGCACCAGAAGCAGAAAGATTATTACATGCAGATCTTCAAATGTCTGTCTGGAATTTAACTTTTCAACCTTGTCTGTAACCTTGCTTATAACCTATTCACTTTCCATTAGTCCCAACTCAACTCAACACCTATGTAATCATATGGCGAATGCTTGTGGCCAGAGAAACAATATAAAACATTAACAAAAACTGCCTGATTGGCACTCACAGAAAAAAAAAATATATACTCTCTTTAATTAGAGACATCTAGAGGTGTCCTAGTTGGTCATGCATCTAAGTACACTTGCATCTAAGTACACTTGTTCCTGCAGTGAGGTGCTGTCATTTGAAGGTGATAAGTTTAATTCCTGATATAATATCTATAGCTTTTGGTTCTTATTCTGTCTAGTGTGTCCATCTTTCGACTTCTTTCTGTGAGCGTGGATCAATACATGTCCATTTGTTTTTTATATAAACTATATCATTGATGTAAATCTATTGATCAGATGTTATACCCAATACACTTAAAATGTTAACTGTATAATCATATATACATACATGTTTCTCTGTGAGTGTTTTGTTGTTGTTTGTGTGGGTGCATGTCTGTGTCACAGATGTTGCTCCAGTTACCTCATGTGAAGGGCAGAATGCAAGACAGACCAGTGTGCCAGAATGGATAAGACCAGACTTCTTCATCAAGCCCCCATATGGACACCGGAAGGGAAGAGAAAACGAGGAAGACCAAGAGACTATGTAGAACCATCGTCAGGGAAGGCTCAACCATGGGCCTAACAAACACCAAAGAACTATGACCTCTGCCCGATACACTGCCCTCGGCCAAAGAGAAAAGACTAACTAATTAACTAACTTCAAATTTTAGAAATAATCCTTATACTGAAATCCATGCTTCTCTCATATTTAAAGGAGAATGAAATAAGTGAAGGGGTGGCTGAGAAATACAGAGAGAGAGAGAGAGAGAGAGAGAGACAGAGAGAGAGACAGACAGAAACAGAGAGACAGTGAGAAAGACACAGAGAGAGACAAAGAAAGGCACACATAGAGAGAGAGACAGACACACAGAAAGACACACACACACACAGAGAAGTAAACCTATTCTTGGTCATCACCCTCAAGACAGAGCAAGATGACAAACACAACTGACCTGCTGCCATGAGCTGTGTTACAGACTGTTAGGTGAATCTCTTCATGGTCACTCTTGTGGCTGTCCACCAGAAAAAATGCCGTCTGTGGGGGGAGGGTATATCAGATGTAGAAACAAACTCTGCTCAGAAAGACTATCATCATCATGCAGCAGTCATTGACAGAACTTGCTCCCATCACAGCATGTCTGGAAGGCAACAGGTCCCTCACCAGCACTCCCACCTCATGCACTTTCATGCCCAAGGTGTCTCTTATGTCCTGTGCATATCTTCATTATTGTTGGTTCCAGTGCCTTTTACCAGGGACTATGCTCCCCCCCCCCCCCTAACCTTTACTGTTCTCTCCAAATATGGCCAGTATTTCAGTCAGAACGTTTGGCATTTCATATGCTCTAAATCAGTGTTTCCCAACCTTTCTTGTGCTATACCCCACTGAAGCCTTTCTAAAATTATCTCCGCCCTATGTAACTTAGATGAGTCCACTTTCAAAATACCCCCCTGCTTGTCCCCAATAATCAAATTGGGGGGTGCAGGCCCAAGTTTGGAACCAATGCTCTAAATCATCTTACGCCAATAGTGTCTTTCTTCTGCTATTTTTGTTGTTGCACCTTTAATGTTCTTCCAATTATAACTCTGTCTATTCCTTCCCCCATGATTTTGAGTTCTCTTTATCTATAATAAAGTCTTATTTCATCTTATAGTTATTAAAAGCAGAGGGAGGGCAGTCCAAATGGTCTACATCAATTCACTGAAGACAAACTATCACTGGGCAGCTCAATGAGGTGGGAGGGTAAAATAGACACAGAAGCAATCAAACATTTCAGCCATAGCCTTTATCGTTGACTGACTGGCACCTTTCCGTCTTTCCAGACAAGAGTGTTATTTTGCGCAATGAGGAGGCATGAGACTCACAGCCCATGGTGATGGTGAGTGTTACTAGCAAGACCTGCCCGTGTCAAGAAAAGTCTTCCACAATGATAGCATGGGATTTCAGGACCATTGTTGTCAACATTTGTGTTTAATCCGTTGCTTTTCAGACACTAAGCTCTCATCCTTTCTGCAATAATTTCTTCCTTCACTCTCATTCCCTTCCTGCTATGCCGTTTTAACACAACACGGTTCATGACATTTTGTTACCATGAGTCCACCTCAATACCTGTATCATTCATGTCCCACTTGCACACATCTTTATTTCGCAGTAGAGGTCCGCCTTGACATCTTCTTTCTGTCTTTAATTCACCATAAAGGATATCCTTAGGGACTCTGCCATCCTCCATTCTCCAGGTGTGACCCAGCCACCTCAGCCTTCGTAAAGGAAAAGACCTGCTCTTTCCAGTACATTAGTGTTAGTGATTTTGTCCTGCCCCTTAATGCCAAATATTCTTCTTAGGCATCGCATGTGAAAGCTATTAAGCCGTCTCTCTTGGCGCAAATAGGTTGACCTAGTTTTACTGCCATAAAGCAGAGTGCTGAGAACACAAGCCTGATAGACAAGGGTTTTTGTTTTAATTGTGAGCTTTCTGTTCTCCCAAACTCTCTTCGTCAGTCTGCTCATTGTTGTTGCTGCCTTACCTATCCTGATGTTGATTTATTGGTCCCGCGATAGTTTACTATTCACTGTGGAACCCAGATAGGTAAAATGGTCTACTGTCTCAAGCTCTTCACCGTCAATGTAGACTGTAGGTCTGTTATTAACACCTTGCACCATAACCTTTGTCTTCTTTTTAATTGAGTGAGTGGAGTGGAGTGGACTGAGGCTGCTGATAAAGACTATGGCAAAATGTTCAAATATTTCTGTGTGTGCTTTTCACAACTCTCTCACTCAACTTTCTAGTCAAAGTCTGTGCTCAGTGAACTCTTTCAGGTCATCAGCGCCTATGCCACCTGACAAGGCACATGATGATAATCTAAATTAAAGTAACAAGTAAAGGACATTTTTTACTCATATAATGCTACAGTTATATATTCAGACCAATCAACTCTTGGCAGTGGTGTGATCAGCACCCCACCAGCAATCTTTACTTCCCAGGACATTTTCTGGTACCCATTTTAGGCTGGTTAGTCTCATGTGCAGATCAAAATAAGTAAGAGCTGTGTACTATATACCTGAGACAGACATAGGCATCCAGTTTTCAGCATCTGACATCTTGTTGGACTCTAATAACAGCAGAAGGCTTTTCTCTACGCTCATGCCAGTCTTCGTTTCCAGAGGTTCCATGTTAGAGGCAAACAGAACAGCAGAACAGATTACCCCCCCTCCCAGCAGGCAGGTCATAGAAGACAAACAATTATGGGTGTTTCTTTAAAGTCACAGTGCATCTGCCTGAGAGGTGAAGAACCAATAGCCTGCATACAAATAAGCTAGATTTGTAAAATGGATGTGAATGTAAAAACTCAAAATCTAGAACAAAGTCCAAAGTAGATGAAAAATAGAACTTTCTGCCAAAAGTTACACCTGAATGTTAAATGTTGTTGAATGTTGTTGAATGTTGAATTAAGAATCAACATCATAGCACTCGGTGTACTCCAATAGGTGCTCCGTCCCCATTTTCGGCAGCAAACGAAGAGTTCCAATTCCGATGGCACCAGGAACTGTCTGATTGTATATCCGTCTCACCTTTCCTTTGAGTGTTAGGCATCAGACAGATCCCCTGGCAACTCCTCGTAACGCCTTTCTCCTCAGACCGTAATGATCTATTTGCGCTTCCACATTGTTCACTCACTCTCAGAACGCTCTTACAACATCTAGCTTGTAATACATCAGTTCACCACCAAGTGGTGCAGAACTGGCAGGTCTATCTGCCTGCTCATTTCCCAACACACTGGCATAACGTGGAGAGAATATCCAAAGGATGTTAACTACCCGGGACCTCTGAAGTAATGCTTGCCACTCTGCACAGAGCATACTTGTCTACACTTTTCTCAAGATGCTCTGTGAGCCAGTTATAATCATAGCAAGTTACACCTGGTGAAACCTAAGCAGAAGCAAAAGAAGAGCTCTGGCTGCCCTGCCACAGAAATGCCTTATCTACCAGAATCATGATTTGTAAATGTTGAAATCAATTACCTGGCTCCATTTGACAAATATTCCTTCCTTCCAAAACTGAACTTGGGGCTTTTCTTGTAGACAGAGCATAGTCTGAAATTATGAACATATATCATAAAACATGCAAGGTAAATAATTAATAAAATTAAAATAATTACTGTCTACTACAGTAGTACACTGGATACTTTCTTGCTGGCTCAAAGGTCTTGGTTTCAAATCTGCATTAGATAGATTTGTATAAAAGACTTTAGCTCCCAAGCAGGGTTGCCGAAATTGGTACTTTCATACAAATTTTGGCTATCCTCCGAATAATGGCCCAAATTATCGAGGCCAAAAATATACCCTAACAGAGCCTCAGTCACATGTAAATTGCGGACTTCCGGCGACTACCGCCACCGCCTAGAGTATCTCCCACGTCGCTATTCTTCTGTAAAATGGAATTTTAAGTTTTCTTCTGTGAAACAAAATTTCTGAGGAAAGAAACTGTTTTGTTTATTCATTAATTGTCTAAGATTTGCAACTATATGTTGAAACAGCCTCTGTATAGCGTACACACTCTCTTTTTTTTCCAGTCTCCCATGCCCTCTGGCGGAACGCAGGACAAGAACATAGTCCTGGTCTGTGATTCTGGTGATGGTATCCATGACCATCTACGCTCATCAGCTCAACATTTGATGATGATAACAAAGACGCTGCATAATGTACATACCTCAGCAAACTTGCTCTCCGAGAAGACAATCAGCCTGGTCAGCAGGCGGGACCAGAATCCGATGGGTGTGTGCGGCATGACGTAGCACCGGATCACCAGCTCTGTGGTAAAGAATTCTAACATCGTTAGTCACCAGTCCGAAATATAAAATAAGGGAGATTTTGTGGCAAAGTAGTCAGCCCATTTGCTTCGTGCTCTGAAGGCTGTAGGGTCGATTCATAGACTGCACAGTTCGATTTGCAAGTGCAGATTTTACTTAAATCCATGGGAGGGGGGGGGGGGGTTGTTGTGTGACCACTGCAGCTATGGAGTTAATGCTTTGTGTGATGCTTTAGGCAGACAGCTAATCATTCTGCAGAAAGAGAGACTGAGCCATATGGGATTAAATGCTGGTGCACTGAAGTTGATCCTCGTGACTTCTAACTTAACTTTAATATACAATTTGTTTTCTGCACATGACTTCTAAAATGTTTGACACATAAACAATTATGCTGTAAAGCAGTGAGTTAACATTCATTTCCCATTACCTTCTTACATACCAAACTTTGAAAAACTTCAGTGAAATCTCATGAAAAAAAATGCTATGACCTGATTTTAAACAGGGAGGCATGGCAGCGTAGTGGTCAGGTGCTTGCTGTCTGCCCAAAGCTCTTGGGTTTAAATCCACAAAAAGGCAAAACTTTGAAGAACTTCAGTGAATTCTCATGAAAAAAATGCAATGACCTGATTTTAAAGGCATGAAAGCGTAGTGGTCAAGTGCTTGCTGTCTGCCCAAAGCTCTTGGGTTTAAATCCACATAAAGGCAAAACTTTGAAGAACTTCAGTGAAATTCTCATGAAAAAATGCAATGACCTGATTTTAAACGGGAAGGCATGAAAGCGTAGTGGTCAAGTGCTTGCTGTCTGCCCAAAGCTCTTGGGTTCAAATGCACATTAAGACAGTTAATTTCTTTCAGAATCATCTCTAGCTACCCAAGCTGAAACAACACAAAATGGCTACCAGGTACAGGTAATGTTCCACAAAGTGAAGATATTGACCACATCTCTCATCCAGTGCTGACTGGTCCATACAAATATGATTCCAGCATCATATGCCCTATATGCCAATGGTGTAAAGAGAGTCCTTTCCCTGTCAGGTTTTTAATCAACCAAGCTGGCAACAACCAGAACCATATTTAAGCGTGTGCAACATGTATAGCTATAGAGGGCGGTAACATTTCTGGGGGCTGCTAAAATTTAAGGGGGTAAAATATAACTAGTAGTATTAAAATGTTTATGGTTTTATTGCTTTTATCATTCTTCTTCTTCTTCTTCTTCGCGTTCACCGGCTGTAAACTCCAGCGGAAAGTTCTGGTTGTTCGTCCACTTCGGGACTGCAGTCCTGTTCTAGAACCTGAGGGTTGCGTGTGCATCCGTTTTACAGATCTGTATGCAGACTGTTGGTTCCTTGCCTCTCAGGCAGATGCACTCGGACGTCAAAGGAAGCTCCCAATTAGTCGACTCTTACGACATGTTTTTGGGTAGACAGTGGGTCAATTCTTATTTTTCCCATAGTAGGGCTGCGGAACCCACACGTTTTTTTTTTTTTTTATCATTCTGAAACTCACATTAGATTTAGCATTCTGGCACAAAAATAGCATGGTGAAAGTGATGTTCACGATTAGCTGAGGAAAAGGAGGGGGCATAAAATAAATGACTGCACAGGGGCATCATAGTAAAGTAAAGATCTCTTTTCATGCCTTTAGGCGCATTGGGCATATGGGACCAAATCGGCACTATGTGGGTAATGTAGTCAGCATTATGCCGGCTGCCTTTACTTCCCCAGGACACACATCCTGGGACCCGTTTTAGACTGGGTCGACCTGCGACGCCCCATACCATGATAATAATCCACGCAGCCAGCAGTGGGTTTCATATGCAGTATGTCAGAATTACGAGGGACTCTCAACGCCTAAGCCATGGACGCCGTACAAGGGCATCATACATCCTTAATGTGGCCCTGGTAGCAACTACCTACATTTTTGTCCGTTCATATAACCTCCTTCTGAAACTACTGTGGCAGATTTCCAATGTCTGTCACAGCAGTTACTTGGTTTAATCCTCGGGAGAGACAGGATTATGTTTTAGCAACAGAATAGTCATGGGTTCAATCCAGCCTCTAGAGGAAAGGCAAGACAGACATACAATCTGACTGTTGCTGGTCCCATCAGAGTTTGATCTCTGCACTGGCTGCTGGCAATGTGGACCTTGCACTTATGGGAATTTTATGAATGCTGTGGTGTCAATTCTTAACTTAACTCAACTCTAGCCTCATAAAAATGGGTTCAAACAGCTTTCCCAATTTTATGGGAATTGATTCAGAAATGAGAAGTAGAACTCACTCCCTCCCATCATAAGCTGTCACCTAATACAGACAAAGGCCTAACTCTTCACGGCCAAAGGCAGAAGAGACTATTTTAACTTTATACTTATTTTGAAAGTGTGGGTCTGTATTCTGTGTCTCCTCACATGGGTTCTGGAACCCCATTTTTGGGAAAAAAGAATAGACCCACTAGCCCCCAACTCCAAATAAGCGTGTCAAAGTGCAAATACCTGAGACGTGAGGAGCCAACAGTTTGCATACAAATAAGCTAGATCTGTAAAACAGATGTCAATACAAAACTCAAGTTCTGAAACAAGACCAAAGTTCAGGAGTGGACAAATAACCAGGCCTCTCAGGGAGAGTTTACAGCACGTGAATGCGAAGATGAGGAAGTATTCTTTTACTTTCTATCAAAACCTACCTCTGCGATCTGGAACTGGCATCTCAATGTTGGGTTTTCTATGTGGCAGTCGGCAGGGTATGAGAAGCTCTTCTTCATTTCTTGGCAATGCAATCTCAAATCTACACAGTGATTCAGAGAGAGAACATGAGGAGAAACAAAGTGATTCAGAGAGAGAACATCAGGAGAAACAAAGTGATTCAGAGAGAGAACATGAGGAGAAACAAAGTGATTCAGAGAGAGAACATCAGGAGAAACAAAGTGATTCAGAGACAGAACATGAGAAGAAACAAAGCGATTCAGAGAGAGAACATCAGGAGAAACAAAGTGATTCAAAGAGAGAGAACATGAGGAGAAACAAAGTGATTCAGAGAGAGAACATCAGGAGAAACAAAGTGATTCAGAGAGAGAACATGAGGAGAAACAAAGTGATTCAAAGAGAGAACATGAGGAGAAAGAAAGTGATTCAGAGAGAGAGAGAACATCAGGAGAAACAAAGTGATTCAGAGATAGAACATGATGAGAACTTTCATCTGTTTACAGCCCTATCACAAATGCTCTGTGTTTTAAAACATAACAGTACCATTATATATCAATTAATCATCCATAGTGTGGCTCTGTGGCATACAGGTTAGTGAAATCATTTCACAAGGCAATGCTCAATGTTTACCAAGGTACAATTCTCATGGTGGATGGTGTTAAAACCAGTACTTGTGGCTTTCAGACATTGGTAAAAGAGTCACACTGTGGAAGAGACTGGAGCCTCACAACACAATATTCTCAAAATTAGCAACTGAAACTAACAACTATTCTTCTACATCTCACTCCCAAGTCTATGTAGTTAAGCTGTTTGCCTCATACAATGAATGTTGTAGGCTTGCATCCTAACCCCATGCTTTGATTTGAGAGTGCAGGTGTGTTAAAGACACCAAGTGTCCTCACTGTAGCAACAGTTTTTTGCTGTACTCTAAGCAGGTTAACACCAGCCACTGATTTCAGAGCCGACATCACAGCACTCAGGACACTCCCATAAATGCTCCTTCTCCATCTTACGCAGCCAAGCAAAGAGTTCCAGTTTTGATGGTGCCAGTAGGAGTCTGACTGCATGTCTGTCCTGCCAGTCCCCTGAGTCCAGAGTATTGGCGAGACTGATCCCCTGGTCCCTCCCCTCCTGCCCTATTCACTTCAGATCATATGATCTATTTGTGCCTCAGCAATGTTTACTCTCTCCCAAAGGGCCTTAATAACATCTAGCTTGTTATGCCTAAATTTACAACCAAGTGGTGCAGAACCGGTCAATGTGTCTGCCTGTTTATTTTCCAACACACCTGCATAACCTGGAGAAAATATCTAAAGGACCAGCCACTCTGCAGAGAGACTAATTTAAATGAGGTAAACTGAAGTTAATCCTCTCATTTTTAAAATCTAAAATTTTCAAAGACAAAATGAATCGGATATTTGAAGAAGAAAAAAAGTGACTGACTTTTCTAACAGATGAAGGTAATGGGGGATCAGTGTTGAAGGAAATGAGAAACTGTTGTGTCCAGACATCTCCTTGCCTGTAAACAACAGATGTACTGAGGACCTCTTCATCACCTGAAAGTTAATAAAACAGCAATTATGACAAAGTTGATTATAGAATCATGCTTACCTGCAGGCCTGAAGGTTTTGAGTTCAAATACACACTTAAATTTTTTTTTAGCCTGACCTTGACTTCTGGATCAACCCAGCCTAAAATGGGTACCAGGTAATGTCCTGGGAAGCAAAGGCGGCTGGCCTGATGCTGACTACAAAAGTAGACTTGTATTTTTTACAGACCAATCGACACTTGATGGGTCTATGAAGAATACAGGTCTGGTACTATATACCCTATGTGCATCAGAATTACTTATACTACATAGTGCCAAAGATCAAGTACAGTAGGTCTGCCACATAAGAAGATGACCACAAATAGCTTTCAATAGAAAATAATACAAAACTGGATCACAAACAATCAGAAACACCAACTGTGTGCACTCAGTGAAGACCATTTCAGTAAAAGGCCCTTTTTCTTCCACTCAAATAAATTTCTCCCAGCAAGGGTGAGGATTCCCTTGTGTAGGTTCCTAGATACCATAAAAAGGGGAAGGTGGGGGGGGGGGGGGGGGGGGGGGGGAGGAGTGGCAGACCATGCTCTCTTAACAAGCATGTCACAAAGGGTGACTATAAAGAAGTTAGCTGAAATCAATTGTGCTGGGTCAAAAGATGCAGATCTTGCAACCTAGCTGTAAACCACAACACAATGTGCCAAAAACTTTTTTGGGGGGAAATCCTTTCACCCTGGTTACCTAGCAAAAAACATTGCCAAGATCCTGTAACTCCTGCATTTCAGGAATACTCAGAAAAAAATTCTATTAAAAACCCATTTTATATATGTCACAAGAAAAATAGCACAACATCAATTTACAGACACAACAGCAATAAAAACTGTACAGGCGAATGAGAGTAATCAACAAAAACAAATGCAGCAGTGAATAACCAGCTTAGGTTTCTCTGAACCTTGAATAACAACTTATGGTGTAACAATTACTTGACCCCATGATCAGATCACCTGGTAACCTCAGGCAAACAGGGACATTTCAGAATTTCTTTAAAAAAAAAAAAACGGCAATTTTTACATCACAAAGAAATCCCTTTAAATGCTGTTTCTTTTCATAATTCCTGCTGTATGGCAATTTTAATCATGTATCCATAACCTTTTGCCTCAGGTACTTTCAGTCATTTCTGACACAGAACATCATCTATGCCATGATGTCAAACTGCCCTGACTGTTCAGGTTAGGATGTTTATTTCTGCCTTTGATAAAAACCTCCATCGTCCTACAAAGGATTTAAACCTAGGTCTCCTGTATGAGATCCCAGCATTCTAACCATTTGGTCAGCGACTGCTCATGTAAAATGCCCTAAACTATAAATCAGAGAAAAATGATACAGACCCCATTCCTGTCAATGAAAGGATTGATCTGTGGCACAGTGACCACTTGGGCCATCATGCGGCACAACCAGCCAGGGTTGATGAAGTAGAAGTCTCGCATCTGAAGGGTGGACTCGTTGTAGTGCAGCAGGACACCACTTTCATGGAGGAAGTTCACAGCCTGGGGACAGACAACTTCACTCAGCAAACAAAACGAAGCCAGTCAGAGACCAGAGCTGAGCTTTGTTTAGTCAAGGACCAACATCACAGCCTGGGGACAGAGAACTTCACTCAGCAAACATAACGAAGCCAGTCCAGAGCTGATGTCAAGGACCAACTCTCAGAGAACTTTCAGCCTAACGAAGCTAATCAGATAGCACAGTTTTGTTTAGTCAAGAACCAACATCACAGCACTCACAATAATCCCATATGCGCTCTGTCTTCCTCTTCAGCAGCCCCGAAGATCTGATACCAATGTAACATGATCAATAAATTCACAAACACTGACTGGCATTTACAAAAGTAGGGGAAACTAAGATTACAACATTCAAATCTGGATGTGGTAACTCCACTTCTCATCATCACCATAAGTCGTGCTGACAAGTGTAGGAAGCCATGACATGCTTCTTTGAAAATAAGATCAGGTCTTACCTTAACTTTTGCTCCAAAAGACACTTTAGGTTTTATTTTCAGGGGGTGTCGTATTTTCTCATGTTAAAATATACATTACATTTATTTAACTTAAGAAAAAAAATATATCAACAAATCCACTTATTTAAACATTATGTATAATTAATCAGTAGGTTGGTGGTGTGTTACAAGTGACAAACGGAATCTGTCCATCTGGTTATCATATCGTATTGTATAAAATCAAACAAAAATTCCAAGCTTAGTCCTTTTTTGACGCTGATGGATGTTTTCAAGGATGGTTCCTTTGCTATCTTATTTATATATCTTCTTTGTAGGTAGGAATTTGTTCTATGCCTAACTGGTATGATGGGCCTTTTTTTAGTTGGCTATCCGCAGCTGTTGCACTGCTCATCAAATCCAAATTAGTCCTCAGTGAATAATATTAAACAATCAGTCCCGCTGTATAAATTAAGGCCCATACAGGGACGACTGTATCTTGTTGGTGTGTGTTTCAAATGATGTAAGGAGGTAACAAAGGTTTGCCAAAACTGGCTCATCTTAACTAGGGTTTTTATTGGGGAAAGGCTTAAATTATGAGCATCCTGAAAAATTATGCTAGGACTTTTTTTTTCTCCAGGAAACACTGTAGTTCACTATCTTATATGATCAACACAATTATGGATAAGTTCCGTGTTCTTGTCCCACCCCCATCCATGTAGCCAAGCAATTTAGGATGATGTTACATAACTAATGAGAATACTTAAAATGACTAGTGAGAACTTCCACAATAATAAGTAATGGAAGTACATATCTTTCTCTTCTTCAGCGATCTTTAATCGAGTGCTTAATCCACTATGGGCCAAAAACTGGGATGTCACGTCAAAGTCTTTTAGGTTTCCCTAAAGCTTAGTTGTCAGGCCTACTGGGTGTGGCCACATGTTGCTGCGCAGCTCCTCCAGGAGAGTGCATTTTCCCATGACATGTTATAGGCTCTGTTCAGCTTGAGGACACTGACAGAGAGCTGTCTGACTCCTAACTAATTTATATGAGTCTTTGTTGAGGCTGAAATGTCCAATGTGTAGGCAAAAACATGATCTTGCTCTGTTCTGTTTATATCACTGAAGAAATCTTTTTCATTGTTATAACCAGTGTTTGTTTTCTAATCTGTTTCTGACAGAACGCATGTGCTATTGCTGAATACTGGTGATATACCCACCTGCTTGAGTTCGTCATCTTCGTCTAGCCCCAAGTTCTCCATCTTGATGAGACGCACCAGCTGTGAGTGTGTCAGCACAGGAAAACTCTTCTCAATTTTCTTGGCCTCCTCATTCAGCAAATCAGCCAGTTTCTATAGAAATATTGTAACATTCACAGGTCTGAAGTTTAAATCCACACAATGCTAAACCTATGCAGTGGTAAACCTACACAATGCTAAACCTGTGCAATGTTAAACCTACACAATGCTAAACCCATGCAATGTTGAACTTAGTTAGTTAGTTAGTTAGTTATTCCTCTTGTGCCAAAGATGGCGCATAGGGCAGAGGTCATAGCTTTCCACGTCTGTCGGTTCGTTGCCACTTGATGTAGGTCTTGAGTGCGACTGAGACCTATGGTTGAGCTCTCTCTTGTGATGGTTCTACGGAGAGTTTCTTTTGGTCTTCCCTGTTTTCTTTTACCCTCTGGTGACCATATGAAGGCTTGGTGGGGAAGTCTCTGAATGTCCATTCTGAGTACGTGACCGATGTAATTCCAGCGACGCATTCTAAATAAATCAGACACATATTTTTGTTTTGTTTCTGTCTTATAGATGTATTGGACCTAAAGTCCGACCAGTGAACATTCAATAGCTTTCGGAGGCATCTATTCTCGAAGCGACTAGTTTCTTATCGATTGATACTGATGATTTCCAACTCTCACAACCATAAGTTAGCATGGGGATCACACAGGAATTGAAGACCTTAAGTTTCGTGTTGTTGCTGAGTGATCTTGACTTCCAAATGTTTGACAGTTTGTTAAAGGCACTTGATGCTAACGCGATTCGAGTCGTTATTTCTGATGTTGTATCTCCCGCAGAGGTTATCTTGCTCCCTAAGTATGTGAAGCTGGTGATTTTTTCAAGAACAATATCCTTTAGTTTGATGTCTTTCGACTCGTTGGTAAGATCGATGATTTTCGTTTTGACTGCGTTGACCTGAAGGCCGATTTGGCTTGAAATATTCTGGAGGCGGTCCATTTTTTCCTGAGCTTCTAGATGTGTTGTGCTCAGGAGTGCTAGGTCGTCAGCAAAGTCAAGATCTTCGAGAACTTTGTCGACCCATTTGATGCCTAGATGTGTGTCCTGTGTGCATTTGCGCATGACCCAATCGAGTGTTATTCTGAAAAGCATCGGTGACAAGACACATCCTTGTTTCACGCCTGTTTCTACTGGGAACCAATCAGAGTTACCAGATTCCGTTCTAACAAGGCAGCGGGAATCGGTGTAGAAGGCCTTTATAATATTGACATATTTATCTTGGAAACCATAGATTGAATATAACACCTTCTTTCCACTGTTGCGGTGGGGATTCATTTAGCCAAACATCATTGAATAGCTGTAGCAAATATTCTAAGGTGTTTTCGTCTGCTGCCTTTAACATTTCAGCTGAGATTTCATCGGCACCAGTACCCTTGTTCTTCTTTAGTTTTTTTATTGCTGATTTAAGTTCTAACATTGTGAATGGTTCACAGGTAGCATCTAGAGGTGGCATAGTTTCTTCTTCGTCTATGTTGGGAACAGTGTCGGGTTGTGGCCTATTTAATATTTCTCTGAAATGTTCTGCCCATCGTTGCTTTTGTTGTTCTTCAGATAATAATAATTTACCCTGTTTGTCTTTGATGGGTGCGTTTGCTGTAGGTGTATGGTTGCACAGCTGTTTCATGATGTGGAATACAGCTTTATTGTTCCCAGTTCTGGCAGCCGTTGCAGCATCGCAAGCTAGGTTGTGTATGAAATCTTGTTTATCTTTCCGTGCACTATGTTTCACTTCTTTATCTAGCAAGGTGTACCTTTGTTTGACTTTTTCATATACAGATGTTGAACTTACACAACGCTAAACCTATGTAAAGCTATAGCATACAAGCCTTAGGGGGCTGCGTTAGCACAGTGGATAAGAGGCTTGCTTTCAAATCCAGCTGCGACTCGCTGCAGCCCACGGTCGGTGTTCGAAACCGGGCGGCTCCTGGGGTTCACCCAGCCTATAGGAAATGGGTACCAGTGTTGACACTCTGGGGTAAATGGAGGAATGTCGCTGTAGCTACAGAGTTACGTGCGAACAGTGACACAGGCGGACAATTCTTATCAGCTGTCCGTACTGGTGGCAGAGCCCTTATGGTTTATAACCATGTGCAATGACGCTGGTCACATCTCCCCACTTTACCTTTACCTTTAAGGCTATAGCAGCTTTTTAAAGCCTGAACAAAAAGTGGAATTCCAAATTATATACTTTTAAAACCAAGTAAAATATATCAGAGATGACTTAACAACCACAGAAGTATCTCACAGTTGAGACCACACAAGAGATGGTTTAACAGCTATAAATCACATAAGTGAGATCAGACAGGAGACAAAGAAGAAGCAGATGTGCTACCACTTGTATATTCCAATTTATTGCCAAGCACTAACAATCTACTTACCACATAACTGGCTGGAACTTTCTGTCCCATGACTGGCTGCTTTTTGATTTTAAAACTGTAAAACAGAAGAAAATATAATGATAGCAAAGATACAAAGTACTAAACAAGTGATATTTACTTACTTGAGAAATAATTTTATACTTAAGTACAAGCCTTAAAAAATAAAATGGCTTTTTGAGGCCATTATGACATCATAATTTATCCTGACTTAATCAGAACTCGAGTTTTGCATGCACATCTATTTTACAGATCCAGACTATTTGCATGCAGACTGTTGGTTCCTCATCTCTCAGGCAGATGCACTCTGACTTTGAACACCTAATTAGTTGCCTTTTATGACATGCTTTTTAGGAAGCCAGTGGGTCTCTTCCTTTTGTACCTGAAAATGAAGCCCAAGAACCCACTCTAGGGTTTTTAACTGACTAATAAACTGACTCGATCACCAAGGTGTCCTAGACATGGAGGTGACAGCCATTAAATCCAGCATTCCAGTCACAGAGTCCTGAAGTCTCTTGAGAATCGCTTTTTTTATACTCTGGGGACTTTAACATCCTCTGGACTGAACTGCCAACACAGTTTCATTTAAACTCCCAGGGGATTGAACTGCCCTCACAGTTTTATCCCCAACACCCCAGTTATGGCCCCTGGTACTCCACAGGGGGTATTTATTCCCCTAGCCCACACGTGTAGGCAGTCTGCTGAGAAACCACCAACCCGGCTGCTTCAGAGATACCAGCTAAGTGATTTTGTGTATCTGTGTAGTATTGTTTAATTTGTATGTGCTGATGAAGGCTCAATAGCCGCAACGTTCACGTTGTTTGTATTTGTTATATTGTGAAGCTTGCTAATATACTTTTCGTTTGGTTTTATATCTTTTCTTAATAAACGGACTTACTCATCAACAATGTCTTTTACTTTGTTTCGGAGCTGCTCCAGTTCTCTGGTTTCCTTGTTCAAGGCAACAATAGCAAAACAGCTGATCACTGGGAAACCTGTTGAAGAATATCATCATCATCATGTTTCATGCCAATAACAATGGTTCACTCTCTGATAGCTTTAATGGGTCTCAGGCAGAGATGACTGAACTACAGTATAACATTAGTCAGGGTTACCTGACCATAGCCAGAGCTACGGACTGCGTGCTCTGTGCTTGATACCATCATCACTCACAGAGAGTGCTGTGAAAGGTGGAGACAGGCATGCTCCGTGCAGAGTGGTAAGCATCGCTTCAAATGTCCCGGATGGTTAGCACCCTTTGGACAGTTTCTCCAGGTCATGCAGGTGTGTTGGGCAGAAAGGCAGATGGATTGGCCAGTTCTGCACCAATTGATGGTGAATTGATGTTGAATTGATGTTGACAAGCTAGATATTGTGAGGGCCCTTTGGAAGTGAGTGAACAGGCGGAGACACAAACAGATCACTATGGCCTGAGGAGAATGGCGCTGCGAGGAGTAGCTAAGGAATCTGGCTGACGCTCAGCACTCAGGGGAAAGGTGAGATGGAAATACAATCAGACAGTTACTGGTGCCATCAGAACTGGAACTCTTTGCCTGTTACTCAAGATGGGAATGCAGCATTATGAGAGTGTCCCAAGTGCTGTGATGTCGATTCTTAATTCAGCATTCAGTCAGTATTACCTGTTCTCTGTGAATGTTGTATGCTGGTCAACATATACTAAATCTGACATCCCACTTCTGCCAACAGCCTGACATGCAATCTGACAAACTTAATGTTACTGCAAGGCAAACAAAGCCCTCGGCCTTGGCTGGCAGTTATTCATGGAGGTACAGTAAAACGGCAAGTGTTCAGAACACTGCTTTTCTTAGTCAGCAGGTTTATTCCAAATATATAGGTGTTACCTTTTCTCTGGAGTTAGAGAGTACAGGCAATACACGATCTCCATAATAATACCCAGGCTCTGCACTACGGAGAAAAGGAACTTTACTTCTGGCCTTAACTGGTAATTCCATGGGCTGTGATTCCTGGGCCGCTCTACAGCGCAATGGAGAGTATCATGGAGACATAGCAAAGTGTAAACAGAAAAATCTGAAGCACTGTTAACAAGAACATGGATAAAAACACAGTCAGCACTTCACGAATGGCTGCCCTAACCTTGATCTTTGTGCCAGATCATGCAGGTGTTCAAGAGAACGAGCATGCAGATTATCTTGCTGATACTACAGTTGCTATGGCTAGTCCAGTACTGGACAGAAGCGATATTATCAATGCCATGCCCAGCACTTACGGTGACAACGAGCCCGTCAAAGCTCACGACTCCGTATCCCTGTCTAGGCTGATGGACTAGAGGATGTTGCATGGAGCTGCAAAGAAATGAACATTTCCCTAAGAGGAGAAGAAGGTTTCTTAACCAACACATAACAGGCCTCATTAGTCACTTTACACTTGTGAAGCTTTTGAGGAGGAGATTGGAGCAGCTATAGATTTGTCCGGGGTGTGTGATGATAATCCTTACTAATCACTAATTACTAATAAAAACATCAACATAAATCAGTGTCAAATAACAAAAGAAACAATTACCAATAACTAGTAATTTAATTTTTAGATACCAGTGTGATCGTTGACACTTTGTTGTCTGGATGATACCTGCTTTTTTGTGTCAATGTTTTGTGGGGAGCATCTTATAATTTAAACCGGTCTCATTGCAGTTGTACAACTGCTCCTGAGAAATTCTCTCTTTTTTTAATAAGTTTAAAAAGATAGTCTCTGAATGCATTTCACACACAATTGAAAGGTAAAAAGTAGGTAGCAGAGCTGAGAAAATCTGCGCTTTGCATGTCTCAACTTGTGTTAAAACATGGGAGGCAGGATGAATGTAGCTTGCAACCTCTTTGGCAAAAATAAACTAGTCCTCATTTTATTATGGAGAATATATATATATATATATATATATATATATATATATATATATATATATATATATATATATTATATATGGGTGGGGGGGGGGGGGGGGATTCGCTGGAGAGTACAATTAGTCAGCAGCCAGCTAGTTGAGAGTTTACTGTACTTACAAATACATTAAGTTCTCCCCTATGATTACTATTAAGTATGGAGCAAGTGGTAAACCTCTGGGAAGACAGGGGGGTCTGCAGGTCTTAGCTAACTGAGAACCCCTGAACTATACAACAAAGATGACAGTACCTGGCTTGTGCATCAGTTCCTTTAGCTTCACCTCAAAATCTGCAACAACATCCTCCCGGCTCTCTGCAAGTATGGGAAAGGATTAGACAAAACATCTTAACTCTCTCATTACCAAACAACTCAGTGTCAATTTATCAAAGCTCTTATACATATGTTTGAGCACAGTTCTAGCAAAAGTATTTTGCAGGACCTATTTCAATGGCTTGAAGTATGTTAGGTATACAATGTTAGTCCAAAACTGTAGAGCCCAAATTGCACATAAAGTGTGATGCAGTCAGTATTACTCTAGCCACCTTTACTTCACATATTTCCTGGTACACAGTTTAGACTGGGTCTGGACGGCCAGGTCAATTTGTGTGTGTAAACTGCTACTTCAAGGGTGATGTGAATACACGGCTTGCTTTGTTGTTTCACTAACCACTACACCAACATATGTGATAAATCAACTTCATCAGTGCTTGTTCTTTTAAAAAAAAGTGGTTGGCATGTTGTGTTATTGTTTACAGCTAAGCTAGGATACCTGCATCTTTCAACCCAACACATCTTATTTTAGCAAAACCTTAATTAGCCACCTTTTGAAACATGCTTGTTAAGAGACAGTGGATTTATCCTGTTGTCCTCCAAAATGGAGCCTCAAAACCTAAATGGGTGGTAAGTTAGATTATTCAAACTGAAGGTTTTTCTAACAACCTGAGCCACTGGCATGGCCTTGAAAGCTCACCTTCTGGTAGGAGGTCATAATGGGTGCCGACAACAATCACTGGACAGCCTGGAGCTCTAGCATGAATATTGGACAGCCATGGTTTCAGCTTGTCTATCTCATCTGTACCCATACTGATGTCATACACAACCTGGACAGGAAGATAATCAGACAATAACATGTCAGACTAACACAGAAACAATCGAGTCAATATAAAAACTTTACAAGAGGTCAACTGGAGCATAACATAAACCAATTTAACAACTTCATAACAGGTATTTGAGGCCTAATACAGAGCCAATTGAACAACTTTACAAGAGGTAGATGGGAGCCTAACACACAGCCAATATAATAACTTTACCAGAAGTAGATAGGAGCCTAACACACAGCCAATATAATAACTTTACAAGAAGTAGATGGGAGCCTAACACAGAGACAAAATAATAACATTACAAGAAGTAGTTGGAAGCCTAACACACAGCCAATATAACTTTACAAGAGGTAGAAGGGAGCTTAGCACATAGCAAGTATAATAATTTTACAAGAAGTAGATGGGAGCCTAACGCACAGCCAATATAACTTTACAAGAGGTAGAAGGGAGCTTAACACACAGCAAGTATAATAATTTTACAAGAGGTAGTTTTGAGCCTAAAACACAGTCAATACAATAACTTTACAAGAAGTAGATGGGAGCCTAACACACAGCCAAAATAATAACTTTATAACAGGCAGATGGGAGCCGCTATAGCCTACCAGCACAAAGGTTTTGGCTTCAATTTGTTAACTGGCCAAATTCAATGGCAGGTAGCTTTTTTTTTTTTTAACTCACCGTAGGCGCCTCTTTATGAAATAGTTATATTGAAGCAGCCAACAGCTTAAACAAAAATTAAATCAAACTGGGTGGGTAAGTACCATACAATATTATACTTTCCCATGAGGAACTGATGAACTCATACTCTATATTAAAAAACAATAGCAAATCAGATATCACATACTCTTATTAAGAAATCTAATGATCTCATACTCTTTTCTGATGAACATCGCTTCAGAATCTTCCCTGGCTGCTTAATACTCTTCCTTAAGTAACTAAATGATCACATATTATTACCTGAGGAGCCAAATGATCTCATAATCTCAAATGATAAACCTAATTGCCTCAAAGCCTTCATTAAGTAACTAAATGATCTCCTATTCTCCCTGAGGAGGGAGATGATCTCATATTCTCCTTGAGGAGGGAGATGATCTCATATTCTTCCTGAGGAAGGAGATGATCTCATATTCTCCCTGAGGAGGGAGATGATCTCATATTCTTCCTGAGGAAGGAGATGATCTCATATTCTCCCTGAGGAGGGAGATGATCTCATATTCTTCCCAAGGAGGGAAATCATCTCTTAACTTTCTTTAGGAGTCAGATGATTTCATATTCTCCTCTGAGATTCCAGGTGTATTTTTAACTCATATTCTGCTCTGAGATTCCGGGTGTATTTTTAACTCATATTCTCTGCTGAGATTTCAGGTGTATATTTAACTCATATTCTCCGCTGAGATTCCAAGCGTATATTTAACTCATATTCTCCGCTGAGATTCCAGGTGTATTTTTAACTCATATTCTCCGCTGAGATTCCAGGTGTATATTTAACTCATATTCTCCGCTGAGATTCCAGGTGTATATTTAACTCATATTCTCCTCTGAGATTCCAGGTGTATATTTAACTCATATTCTCCCACAAGACTTATACAGCTAACACTGATGAATTCTTAAAATAAATGTGTGACAAATGAACATTAACCCTTTCGCTGCTACGTTTCCGGCCGTAGCTGTCTGCCCTGTGCTAAGCAATGTGGGGAAAAAAGTCTCTGCTGTGCGCAATACTTTTCTATCCTCTAAACGCAAAAGATTCGTCGGCGGTGAGGGCTATATTTTGTACACCTAAAACATTTTACCCTGGGGAGTTCTGTGGTTGGCCCGAGTGGTGACAAGTCAGATCGTGCCCCACAAACTTGACTAACGAAGCTATCACCACCTGGGGGAGAGTGAGGAATTAATGGGAAGAACTGTTCCTAGTCCGTATCCCAAAATTTGATTGACGAACCTACTACGGCTCCCACTTTAATCATAGTTATTTGTAGTAACCATGTTATTACATACCAAAATAATAATAATAATAATAATACTTGAGTTTACCGTTGCTGAAAAGTAGAAGGAACTGAAAGGAAAATTTACAAATAATAAAATAATTTATAATAATTTAAAAAAAAAGTTGGGGGGTTGAACACACGACCCTCCGATTCTGAGGCGGACGTGATACCAACTACACTAAACTACCGCTTGACGCGTTGTGCGGTGTGAATGATGATAATGAATGATGTGCGCAGACTATCAATAATAAGTCTAATTTTGTAGTCTATCGGTCTGCATGAGCACTGTTGTCTGATAAATGTTTTAGATTCTCAACAATAGTAAAAAATCTGTCCCTCGACATTATTTCACGGGAGTTTTTAGCAAACAGTCTTTGCTCAAGTACTCTATTTTGAGTTTCTTTGTTCTAAGCATTAGCAGACAGACAAAAAAAAAAAAAGAATTTCGTCCGAATCTGTGTTTGTTCATCGGGACAGACGAGAATTTATAGTGACTGAACTGTTTGAATTTACAGTAGCAGAAATACAGCCAGAATTATGCACTACTGGTTTCAAATCATCGGTTGACCAAGACACCTGATCAATTTATTGCCGTTTTAATGGCGCTTCATTGTCGCTGCCTTCTTATTCCGATGATGAGGACGTCGGACAGGCAAACAGCTTTTTATGGGACACGCCGGTTTGAGCCGTCGATATTGATGGCCAAATCTTCTTGTTCACTGTCAGAAGTACACATTTCAAAGTCATCTTCGCTATCACCTTTTTACAGAAACTCCATCAATTATCAACTTCAAAGTGTTCTTGCCATTTAGTACTATCGAAGTGTAGAATAATCCAAACCCACAAATATATATCAGGGCACAAAATACACAGATCACCGACTACGCTGTCACGGTAAACAAAGCAACGGGATAACGCGGAATGCAGTAAACACACCTTAAACGCACGTGCCAGTGCTTTTAATCGTATGTAAATGGGTCAGTTGAATCTAAATATAGCTAGTGCATATTGCCCTTTGGCCCGTGAGACAAGAGGTCACAGAAATCTGTAAGGAAAGTCCAAAAACGGGTTGGTACGTCCATAGCACTGGGGGTCAGAAAAAAAATAACGACCAAAGATGGGCGTAGCAGCGTACGGAAAACGGGAAAAGACGTCCATAGCAGCGAAAGGGTTAACAGTAAAAAAACGTGACAATAACAAATACAGTTTACAAATATAGTCAAATACAATCACACACAGACTTCAACAAGCCGAGAATCTCACCAGGTACAAAGTCCTGTTGGACAGAAAGCACTGGTGGGTGCTATAGAAGTCCTCCTGCCCAGCAAAGTCCCAAGTGTTGAGGGTATAAGTCACAGTCTTATTAAACCTCTGTCTGTCATATCTGTTGCACAGAACCAACATAACCATGATATTGTAACAACTGTTCATACATCACTAACAGGAACTTATTAAACCTCTGTCTGTCATATCTGTTGCACAGAACCAACATAACCCTGATATTGTAACAACTGTTCATACATCACTAACAGGAACTTATTAAACCTCTGTCTGTCATATCTGTTGCACAGAACCAACATAACCATGATATTGTAACAACTGTTCATACATCACTAACAGGAACTTATTAATAAAGGAAACAGGGCAGAGTAGGAGATTGTTTGACTCTTAAGGAGAAAGTATAAGATAATTTAGTGGCTCAGGAAGTATGAAGTAGTTTGCTTTATTATCAGGGGAGAGAAGGAGATATTATAGTTACTAAGGGGACAGTAAAAAGTAATCGAGTTCATAAAGGAAGATAGGGGAAGACTATCAGATAATTTGGTTACTCAAAGAGTATGAGTTTCAATTTCGTTTTGATAAGAGTGCTATGATTTTTATGTAGCCACTATATTTTCTGTGCTTTATTTCTTTAAAATACAATTTTTTTTTCCATATATCACATATCGGGACAGGGGGCAGGAGCGAGTTGCACAAAACATAAACTCTGTAATTCTACTTGTGAAGGGAGCAATAAAGTCCTGGAAAGGAACTCACAAGCTTCAGCGCGTGAGGAAAAAGGTTTGATGACTTCATCACTCCTGCCCAGGAAGATTGTGCCATACGGGATAAACATTTGGAGTGTTGAAGAATTTACTCTTAAAAATAAATTTTAATTATACTAATAGCAACAACAGAATAGTTTATATTATGCCCACCAACCACAAAAGAATTGTCGTTGATGGGCATAATATAAACAATTTATGTTACATTGATGACACAGTCATGATAGCAACATGTCAGAAAGAACTACAGGAAATGACAGACATAGTGGTGGTAGAAAGTGGAAGAATGGGCCTTAGTTTGAATAATGGAAAGACAGAAGTAATGGTGGTATCAAAGAAAAGAATTATTCCTAAATGTTAAATAAAAGTCAATGGTGTTATTTTGGGACAAGTACAGAAATATAAGTATGTGGGCACATGGATAACATCAGATGGAAGATGCATCACTGAGATAAGAAACAGAACAGGACAGGCAAAAACTGCATTTTATAAAATGAAGAACATCTTATGCAATATATCTCTGTCACTGAAGGTTAGAAAAAGAATTATTGATTGCTACATTTTTGACATATGGCTGTGAGTCCTGGACAATCGGGAGGCAGGCCAAACAATTTATTGAGACCTCAGAGATGTGGTTTTACAGAAGAATGATAAAAATATCTTGAACAGCCAAAAAGAGCAACCAAGAGATTTTGAAAGAGGTGGGAGCCGAATATCACAGGCATCAGAAGGAGACAGCCATCATTTTTCGGCCATGTTATGAGAAGAGGAAAAACCGAACATATTGTAACCACTGGAAAGATCTGTGGAAGAAGGGATAGAGGAAGACAACGAGAGAAGATTCATGACAGTCTTGTTGCATGGCATGGAGGTGTGTCAGCACATGAACTGATACACGCTGCTGGAGATCGCAGACTGTGGAGAGGCGTGATCGCCCAAGCCAGTCGTCAGGGCACCTGATGATGATGATGAATAGCAACAACAAGAACAACATAAATCTTTTTCAGCTGATTCTACATTAGGAGATGTTACATGAGAGATATACCTCCAGTCTTCAACAATCACACCAACAGTGACTGCTGGCTTCTCCGAAGGGATGTTCCGAATTTTCCTCTTTAGCGCCTGTAGAAGACTTGTCTTTCCTCTCCCACCAAAGCCCACAACCATGAGTTTCATCCTATAGTATCGCTGGGCCTATAAAATATGACACACGAGTTACCAATGACAAGTTTTGATTTTCATTCTATAACCATAAAAGTTTAAATTAAGAGGCTTGACTCGATTACACAGCTGATCCTATATGGCTCAGTCTCTCTCCGCAGAATGGAAAACTGCCTGTCCAGAGCATCACACAATGCACAAACTCTGAAGCTCAACTGGTGATCCCCATGGATCTATACAGAACTACAATCCTGAACTGAAAGAGATGTCTGTGAAATGAGTCCTCAACCTACAAAATGTGAGGTAAATGGCTTGATCACTTCACTCTATGTTATGTTACATGTTTGACAGTGGTGATTCACTCACTTTATCTTTTTCTTTGCTACAGTTCTTAAGCAAAAGTTGTATAGTTGTTTACAGCTAGGCTGCAATATCTGCACCCATCAGCCCAAAACATGCAATTTCAGCACACTTCTAATTATTCACTTTTTTACACAATGGGCAGTGGGTCTACCACCCCCCCCCCCCCCCACACCCCAATGGAGCCTAGAAGCCCATACTGGAAGGCTGCCTGTACTTCCCTGAACAATTCCTAATATCCATTTTTAGACTGGGTTGATATAGAAGCTTGGGTTGGTTTTAAAAGTGTCCCATTTGAACCCATGACCTGGAAGTCCTGAATAATCTATAGACAAATAAGAAACTAACACTAGAACTCAAGAGGCCTCTGGGCAAGGATAAGCACTCTCTGTTGACTTCTTCATGTCCTCTTTCATCACTTCTGGTGTCCAGGCAAATATCAGTTCCTGCTTCTTGCTCTTCAGCCCACCTTGACCACAGACACAATGGTGTACTGGTGTAGCATTCCTCTGATGTTATCTTTCAATCTTGTTCTAGTTCTACTCTGTGTTCTATGTGCCTCTTCTCTGTCGGTGCATGCACTGTATGGTATAGGGTCACAAGGCATTCTCTCATATTAAAAGCTGTCTTTGTATGTAATTTGAATTTAGTACTGGTTCTGTGCCTATTTAATCTCTTATGAATTCTTGATTTTATCTGTTTACTACATGCTCAAAATGCTATTATGATTTGGAAATGAGGTCTGTCATCTTTTCTCTATTAAAACATTTACAGTGTTGCGAGTTCTGGTGTCTGGAGAGGGATAGTTTCTCCCATATTTGAAACTCCCCAAAACATAATACAACAGGATGATGCCCCAATGTTCTTTTAGTTTCCTGGAGAAAGTCATTAAAAATGTTTCTGTTGCGTGCTGATTTGGGAGAGTGTAATATTGTGTGAAGGGACAGAGTGGTATGTAAGGACTTTCTGTGTGTTCATAGGGAAATAGTGTCAACATGCGCCGAGTATTGAGAGGAGAGAATGTTAACCAGTGAAAATGGATTATCATGCACGAGGCGGGCACGCACAAGAGTTAGACGCGTTGGTTACGGTGTGGGGGCTGACAAGCATGGATAATGAGAATCACAGAGAGAAGGGTGTATTACGTGATAGCGTGATTCTCATGTGGCATCAGCCACTCACATAAGTGTAATCCTCGAGAACGCTCCCTTGAATGTGAGTCTCGAGAACACCCACATGAGCATGTCTCCCGAGAATGCTCACACGAGCGTGTTTCTCGTGTAATCCACATGAGTTTGACAGGGAAAAACTGAGGCTGAGGAGTCAGTCCGGGCAGTCTGAGTCCGCGAGTCAGAGCAAGACTGAGAGAGAGAGAGAGAGGGCCAGAGAGAGGGACCAAGTCAGGATCAGTGATTATCTCTCTCGAGTATAACAGACAGAGTACCGTACAACTATCAGGCATCAAAGCCTGAGTAAGGGTTGAAGTTGCGGTACTGGTTGAAGGTATAGTCCCGCTGGCTAAGTAAGTCAAAGGGGACGGGATGCTCCAATAGTAACTGTTCTGGGTGACGACGCAAGGAGACGTAGAGTCACTATGGAAATAGGACAGTGGGGGATGCTGACGAGAGCTGTGTGCTAGAGGGGACTTATGTTAGAAGTCCTGTTGGTCATCAGAGCCCTTCGACAGGATGACGAGAGCTGTGTGCTTTTGGAGAACGGCAGGGAAGTCCATGTCCAGTCAGCTGTGGCTGTCTGCTGAAAAAATATTAAGGTCCAGTGGATAGGAGAATTCGTCTTATTCAGCTGTATGGCGTGCCCAGAGTGGTGGACGCTGTAGGCCTTTGGAGCTGTAGGGGTCGAGGAAAGGCCGCTACAAGATTGAGAGAGAGCGAGTGCTGACTGAATGGACTAAGGGCGAATGTCAATGGGGATCAATAGCTACGTCCCTGCAGTTGTGTCATGTAACCTGTTGAATAAAATGTATGACGGAGTCATTGTCGTCGAGTTCTGTTTCTAAGAGAGGGAGCAAAAGTGTACCTGCTAGACGCTTGGTAGTGTGCTGGCTAGTTGTAGCTCAGTTAGCACACAACAGTTTCCAAGTAACTGTTTTTAAAACTCAGTTAAGTCCAACATAAATATTTCTAATGCCAAACGATTAAACATTTCATCAATTAAGGTCATAAATAAATGTACCTTCTTGAGTCTATTGTGGAGATACAGTGTGAGGTCTTTGATTCTGCCTCTGGTCAAGCCAATGTCTAATTCCAAAGAGAGCCCATCAAGTGGCATCTGTATGATGGATACAGTGTTATCAACACAAGAACATAGATCTACAACATAAAATACTTTATCTTATTGAACTATTTCATTATGACAGGAGAGCTAAATTAGCTTTAAATCAACATGCACTGTGTTCCTAGGTACCATAAGATTTAATGCGTGAAGGGACAGTGTGAGAAATAATGAGATTAGAAGAATTACTGGAGCAATAGGTTAGTTGCGTATCATTTACATGACGTTAAAGAACCAAACCCCAGCAGCCCCTGGCTGCTGTGTGGTTTCTTTTGGCAAATTTACGTCCAGTAGTCTACCATTGCTTTCTGGATGGTCAGCCCCCTGATACCGCTGTCGAAACAAACGCAAGGCGTATGGCTTGCAGCTGGGATCGAACCTGGCACCCCGGCATTACGAAGTGTTCCCATCGACTTAGCCACAAAGCCGATAAATAATGCTAGTGGAACTGGGAAAACATCTTAGGAATATATATACATATAGGCAAATTTACATTCAGTAGTTTGCGATTGCTTTCTGGACGGTCGGCCCCCTGATACCACTGTCGAAACCAACACAAGGCGCATGACCCGCAGCTGGGATCCAACCCAGCCTTACGAAGCATTTACATCGACTTAGCCACAGAGCCGGCTAGTTGCGTATCCTTTACAGGACATTGCAGAACCAACCCCAGCACTTTCTGGCTGTTGTTGTTTTTCTAGGCAACTTTACGTCCAGTAGTTTGCCATTGCTTTCTGCACGGTCGGCTCTTGGTACCACGGTCGAAACCAACACAAGACAAACCGTCCGCAGCAGGGATCGAACCTGGCACCCTGACATTACGCCTAAGCCACAGACGCCGACAATGGAGCAATACCCATCCTTAAATTCACTGAGAAACCTGAAACAAAGATTGAAATGGTTTGGCCACCTAGTGAGAATGAATCCAACAATGCCAGTAAAAAGAGTGTACTACATGAAAATGGAAACACCAAGAGGCAGAGGGAGACACAGAAGAAGCTGAAATGAAAAAGTCCTGGCAACTTAAGACTTCACAACATCATAGTATACCAAGTTGCCAAGCATGCCCTAGTTCGGCTACCTATCATCCATGAGACTGTGGTGATTAGTGGCACATAGTAGATACTGACAAAAGAAGAAGAAGAGTGTCTATCAAGCTATCCTGAAATACTCTACTCAACAGGGTTATTTCCCTGAACACTGTTAACAATTTAACTAAGGATCTAGGTCCATTATTGATTCTATGTAACTGCTAAAAGAAAGACTTAATGTTTTAGATACACCTTCATGAACACTGACTGTCATTCTGCAAAGAGGATAAGTCAGGTCTACTGCTGGTATCCCTTTAGCTATTAAATTACCAGTACATACATGGCAACATATAAAACAATAAAACACATCACCCCCCCCCCCCCCCCCCCACCCCCCCCAAAAGCTTAACTTTTAAAGGACATGAAGGTTTGGTATTTTTTATTCTTCTTTGTCTTCTTCTTCGCGTTCACTGGCTGTAAATTATGGCATAAACTTCTTGTTGTTCCTCAACTTCTGGATTTCAATCTTGTTCCAGAACCTGAGTTTTGCATGCACATCCATTGCACACATCTAGTTTATTTGCATGCAGACTGTTAGTTCCTTGCCTCTCAGATAGACGCACTCCGACTTCAAAGGAAACATCCCTATATAGTCAACACCTACGACATAATTGTCAGGGCACAGTGGGTTTATTCTTGTTTCCCCATAATGAGGCCTGGAACCCACAGGGTGTTTGATTTTCCTCAGTTTAAATTTAATGTTAAAGATCAGAGGGTTAATTACTTTCATGGCTTTCACCAGTACAGAGTCGACCTCATACACACAAAATAACAACACATACACACTTTAAACAGATGACATCTACGGACATTATTTGAAGTTTAGATTATATGATAGTATTAACACCTAGTCTTCTGATGCAGCAGCTATCCAAGGGTACCTCTTTGGATTGTTCCCATGAGAAGTTGGCTACAATGTTTCCCTTCTTGCCTCAAAGGTGGCACTGCCATGCTTCACTCCAAAGTCATATAATGGTGCTAGCATCAGAGATTCAGCAATATCTGGCTAGTCCGTCCATATAGTAATGATGATATCAGCTGTGTCCATTCTTCTTCCTGCAAGCAGTGTATAATGCTTCCAGTTGGTCTGCTCATTCATTACTTTTTAATCCAGCATGCCCAGGAATTCTGATAAAAATTAGTACCCAGGTGAGAGAGATTAAGGGAAACACAGGAAATGACAAGTGCAGCAATTCAACTGGACACTTTGACCAACACTGATGAAACAGTTTGAACCTTAAAATCAAGAGGGTAGATTTTTATTTCATTTGGCTTGGTCTCTGTCCAGCTAAATCCAGTCACCTAAATCATGAACCCCATGGCTCCAGTGATGATCTCTAGGATTCCTCGTTAACATTAGACTCATGAACTGAACAGCACCCTCCATGAAAGAAACAAAAAGCAAATGGCTCAACAATTAAAACATGGGGAACCTCCTCGAGCAGAGTTCACACTAATGATAAGTGTATGGGCGCTAATGGCAACAAGAATTGAATATTGGCTAAAATGAAAATAAGCTGACTCACCTCCCAGAGACGAGAGCACCGGCCAAGTTCATCAGGTAAGGTTGTCAACTGCCTGTTGTAACTGATGTCCAGTGACTGCAGGGCCAATAACTGTCCTATCTCCCTGGGCAGCTGTATAATGTTTGATTGAGCAAGCAGACAATTAGCTAAAGCTGTCATGAGAGAACAATACTGTAGTCTAGGGGTCAAATGTAGTTGTATAGAAGAATACTGTGACAACAGAGAAATGTACTGTGGCAACAGAGAAATGTACTGTAGCAAGAGAGACAAATACTGTGGCAACAGAGAAATGTACTGTAGCAAGAGAGACAAATACTGTGGCAATAGAGAAATGTACTGTAGCAAGAGAGACAAATACTGTGGCAATAGAGAAATGTACTGTAGCAAGAGAGACAAATACTGTGGCAATAGAGAAATGTACTGTAGCAACAGAGACAAATACTGTGGCAACAGAAAAATGTACTGTAGCAAGAGAGACAAATACTGTGGCAACAGAGAAATGTACTGTAGCAAGAGAGACAAATACTGTGGCAATAGAGAAATGTACTGTAGCAAGAGAGACAAATACTGTGTCAATAGAGAAATGTACTGTAGCAAAAGAGACAAATACTGTGGCAATAGAGAAATGTACTGTAGCAAGAGAGACAAATACTGTGGCAATAGAGAAATGTACTGTAGCAAGAGAGACAAATACTGTGGCAATAGAGAATAATACTGTGATAATAGAGAAAAATACGGTGGAAACAAAGAAAAATACTGTGGCTTGCAGAGGAAAATACTGTAGCAATAGAGACAAAATACTGTAGCAATAGAGTAAAACACTACAGAAATAGAGAGAAATACTGTAGCAATAGAGACAAAATACTGTAGCAATAGAGTAAAACACTACAGAAATAGAGAGAAATACTGTGGCAATAGAGACAATACTGTAGCAATAGAGTAAAACACTACAGAAATAGAGAGAAATACTGTGGCAATAGAGACAATACTGTAGCAATAGAGTAAAACACTACAGAAATAGAGAGAAATACTTTGGCAACAGAGAAAAACACTAGCAATAAAGAAAAACACTGTGGCAATAGAAAAAAAAACACTGTGGCACTACATAAAAATACCTTGGCAACAGAGAAAAACACTGTAACAATAGAGAAAAACACACTGTGGCAACAGAAAAAAATACTGTGGCAACAGAAAAAATAAATTTGGCAAAAGAGAAAAATATTGTGGCAACAGACAAAAACAGTATTTTTAGAGTGCATTGTAGCAGGACAGACAACATTTATAAAACAGGCATGCAAAGGTTTATCAACACATAATGAAATTAAAGACAGAAGCATTTCTTCTTCTTCATTCACCCTTAAAAGGTGGTTGGTAACGATTTTGTGGTTTACAGCTAGGTTGTGGTATCTATGTTTTTCAGCTCAGCACATCCGATTTAAGAAAATCCTTTATTAGTTGCCTTTTAGGATGTGCTTCGTCAAGGGGCAGTGGGTCTATCCCCCTTCCCCTCCCCCATAATGGAGCCCTAGAATCCACACAGAGAGGAGAGCAGCTTAAGACAGAAATTAACTGAATTGATAAGAAAACAGACTGAAACACATAGCAAGGGGAAGACAATGCAAAATATGGAACAACAGGATCAAGAACAGCCTTAGACAATTAAAGATGAACTTATAGAACACATCAGAAACAGCACACAGAAGATCCTTAATCTTCCCCCATCACCTCATAGCCATCTCAAGGGCTGAAGTACTTTAAAATATGATGAGGTGTACACACCCATTATCAAGATACTCAGACATTTTATCTTACCACTCACCTATTTCAAAATGATTCCATTTACCACGATGTCATGTTCTGGGTAATATTTTTACTCTGCTTTTCCTTTCACTGTTACCTCTATTTTTCTGCTGTTAAAATCCAGAACATAATTTGTACTCTCCTGTGCACACACGTCCCATAAATTTATCTTGGGCATCACTATGCAGACAATTAAAGAGCAACAGCTGAAATGGTATGACCATCTGACAAGAATGTCCTGGTACTAAAGCTGAAGAATCAGACTGAACACAGAGCAAGGAGAAGACAACATAAAATATGGAACAACAGCATCAAGAACAGTCTTACACAAATAAAGATGAACTTATTCAACACATCAGAAACAGCACACAGAAGATCCTTAATCTCCACCCAGCACTTCAATGGTTCAAGTTACCATGAAGACGTGCTCTGGGCAACATATTTCCCTTTGTTATTAATATAACTACTGGTTTTCTGCTATCAAGATATTCTTCATCTTCTTCTTCACGTTCAGCAGGTGTAAAATCCAGCAGAAAGTTCTGGTTGTTCGTCTACTTCTGGACTTTAGTCTTGTTCCAGAACTTGAATTTTGCACGACCAGACATTTAACACATTAGGCTTATTTGTATGCAGAATCTAGTTTCCTTGCCTCTCAAGTAGATTCACTCCGACTTTGAAGGAAAAGTTTATGCTATCTACACTGACTAGGAACCTAAGTTTGGAACCTATTTCTAGGATGACCATGAAGAGGTGTAGGCAGGTCAGCTCTAGTCCTGAGGCACCACCAGATGTGGTTCAAAAGCTCTGTATCACAGACAGCATAAATGTAACAATGAAATGTACGAAAGCTGACACTGTATGCAACTCTCACCTCAGAAATCTTGTTGTAAGACAAATGTAACTTCTCCAGTTTACTCCATTGCCGAGCCCCTTCCAAATTCAGCTGAGGACAACAGATTAGACAATTACAAACCACTGCTACACTGTTTCTGGCTTGACTGATTGAAAATCTAACAGGAAAATGAATTTTAAATCTTAAATCTGCTCATGGTATTCAGCTCATTGCACTGAAAAAAGCTTACATCTACAAGAATAGGGCTGGTGTAGCGACTACTTCCAATATGGCACAAAAAGTACCCACTCTACAGGGACTGCGTTATCAAACTTGCCTTCTCCAAACTTATAAACCATCAGAGAACCTCATATCTGCAGAGATAATGTTGTCCTTGGGATCTTAGCTTGATAGAAAACTAATCTATGGATAGTTCTCACAATAAAGAAGTTCTCACAGCCTTGGGCCAGAGTAAAAGAAGTAGGTGTAGATGTTATGTTGGCTGGAGAATTCTCACTGAGAATGCAGTGATTTTTCAGGATAAGACAACTGGTGCTGTCACATGAGTATGATAGTATGGCCGTGACAGATATAGCCACCTGTTATCTATTGTATCCTCTGATATCTAAATGCTTCTCTGTGTACCTCATGACTACCTCTCATTATCTCATTGTATTACAATATTACAAAGATATGGTAAATCAAGGTAAATAGATCATTATGTTCTGGAGAGAATAATATAATTAGGAATAACCAGGGGATCTTGATGACTGGGAGGACAAGCAAGATGGACAAATCAAACTACTTCTGACCTACTGGAATTAAAACTCTGCACTGGCTGCTGATAGTGATGATGGGGTGTTTATGGGAATGTCATGAATAGTATGACACTGATTCTTAACTGATGAGATTACAAAGAAACCCAATCCAAATAAGATAAGCTGTCCTACCTTGGTGATGTTGTTCTTGGATAGCATCAGCTCCTTCAGCATCTGTGTCTTCCACATGGAGGGCAGCGGACAGCCAACAAGACCATTACAGGAGAGGTCCACGGTCCGCACACTGAAAAAGAACCATATATTCATGATAAAGAAAACTGCCAATTCTGCATACAGACACATAGCAAGGACAACCAATAGAGGTCCACAGTCCATACACTGAAACTGAACCATGTTTTCACGATAGAAAGAAAACAATGACATACAAACAAATGGCAAGGAACTGCCAAGAGAGGTCTGCAGTACAGAGCCATGTATTCATTATAAAAATGTGGTAGTTCTGCAAAAAACAGCAATACAGTAAAAGTTTAACCAGGCCAGATATTGCAGCTGGGGAGTGATGTGTCAGACCTTCATATATTCTAGCCCAGGAAACTAGGTTGACTTCAGAGCAGTAAAAACAAATTTAAATAATCCTGCCACTGATAAGGTTTAAAACCAGACCACCACCTTGGTAAGCCAGTTAACTAACTACTATGGCACCCTGAGCCATGGTAGTTCAGTGACTAGATGCTTGGCTGCATTAGTGCAGATAAGACACGAGATTCCTGGAAGTTGTTTATAGATGTACAGTTTTCTGATCTTGCAGGATGAACAGCCAGTGAACAGACTGAGGGGGATCAATGGAGAGGGAGACAGACAAACAAATGCATTGACAGACAAAAGAATAAAAACTCTGTGCAGTGTAGTTGATCCTCTTGCTTCCTTCAAACTTAAATGCATTAAAAAAATTAATGCCGAAGGAAAACTGAAGAGCATTAACATCATGAAATGCATCTAGTGATTCCATCATTTCTTACTTTCACTACAAGGTTTTAATCTGATTATGTAACTGAGAACAGTTCAAACAGTCTTTATCTTAATGGAATTTAGCACCAGCTGCACCACTAAATAAGAGAAAACATTTATGTTTCCAGTTCAGATGAAGTCCTGTGAACTTGCAAACAGGTAGCTAAATGGTTAACTAGACAACAGTAAAGCTACAATCTGAGATTTTCAGACCAACTAGCAACTTACAATCAATCATGATTGCACGTCTCTATAAAGTCACACTGACAGTACAATCTGAAGAATATTTACAGGCATGGGTACACCAATATGCCGACCAAGTAATGTTGTATTATTATGGCAAAGTATGTAAACTCACAGGCTGAGACTTGGAAAATACAAGAGGAAGTAATTAAGTAAAGGCAACTACATTAATAATAAGTCTTTTTTTTTTTACAAGCAGCTGGGATAAACAAATGTATGTGTCCTATTTCATGACATAGTCTCCCTAATGTGAAACACACGTAGTTCATCAATCCAAGATTGTGGATGCCCGCTGGATAGAAGCTTTTAGGTGAGGTCAGTAACCAAGTTTGCACCAATGACATCACCTCATTATTATTTACAAATCTCTGACCCCCCCCCCCCCCCCCCCCCCCAATGGTTCTATCAATGAGCCAAACAAACAAAAGTCTGATAGTGCCAAGTGTGGGCTGCATATTTCAATACTTCACACCGTAGACTCTGTAGTGTATCCTCTGTATGTGCAGCCATGTGGTGGGGAGGTTGGGAGGGGAAGGATGGCATGCAGCAATAAAACTCTTTTTGAGAGAAGACGCTGGTGTTTCTATCGATTCTCTGGCTTCAGCTTGTTTGCCAACATGTCACTGCAAGTAGCACCAGTAACAACAGTTTCACCCCTTTCCCAGAAATGTGACAATACAGAGCCACTGACATCCCAAAAGAGGGTTAGCATGACCTTCCCAGCTGAAGCTTGAGTCTTGAATCTTTTTAGTGAAAGAAAGGTGGAAAAAAGAAAAATATTTTTTTAGAGCATTTACCTGAGAGGTCAGGAGGCAACAGTCTGCAAATAAATAAGCCAGATCTGTAAAATGGATAAGTATGCAAAACTCAAGTTCTGTAACAAGATTTTAGTCCAAAGGTGGATGAACAACCAGGACTTTCTGTCAGAGTTTACAGCCAGTGAAGCTGAAGAAGATAAGAGAAATGTCTGGACAACCACTAGTATAAACAGTTAAAAAACAAAAGAAGTTGGCAATATATGTGGCACATCCCGAGAAGAAGTGAACAGACAATCATTGAACAGGCACTGAAATAGAAACAGAGAAAACAATAATATTAAAGAGAAACCCTAAAATAAATACTGATGAGAGAGACCAAAGGTTCCAGACTGGATTCTATCCATGATATCAAATGAGAGAATCCAATGGAGGAATAGACTGCAAGCCGTATGTTGCATATAATGGCACATCAGAATTATGATGATGCTAAAGATGAAAGGTCTCGATCCTGATACTTACTTGGGAAGTTCTAGAATAAACTTGGGTATGTAGAAGGGCTCTCTCTCTGTGATGTTGTTGTTGCTGAGTTTGACTGTAGTCAGTCGAGGTAAACAGGAAGCAATTGACTCATTTGGCAAAACCTCTGATGAAAGGTAATTTAGTCAGTTCAACAGGCAACATGAGAAAACACTTCACTGCATCAGAGACAAAGTGCACATGTCAATAATATTTCACAGATGACAAACAGTCTGTATTCACACTATAATTAGTTTATGTTCATTACAATCAATCTATGTTCACACTACAATCAGTCTGAGTTCACTACAATCAGTCTATGTTCACTACAATCAGTTTGTGATCACTACATCACTACAATCATTCTGTAATCACCACATTTAATCATTCTCTATTCACATTATCATTATCTTGATATGCTAATATGTATCACACAGGGCTCCCAGTCTATTTCTTCATTCCATTCTATCTAATTTCGATATCATGGATAGAATCTAGTCTAGCACCTTTAGCTTCTCTCAACAATGATCATCTTAGGGTTTTTCTTTGAAGTCCTCATTTGCATTCACACAAGAACCAGTCTATATTCACAATAGAGTCAGTCTATTCACACTTTGACCCTATCTAGTCCATTGTTGACTGTAACTATCTCACACTAATGGGGAAAATAATGACCCTACTAATTCCACTGTTGACTGCATCTACCTCACACTAATGGGGAATATACTGACCTTGTCTAGTCCATTGTTGACCACATCTACCTCACACTAATGGGGAATATAATGACCCTACCTAGTCCATTGCTGACCACATCTACCTCACACTAATAAAGAAAACGATGGCCCTACGGTGTCCATTCACTGACCAGTCCCACTGTTGACTGCATCTACCTCACACTAATGGGGGAATATACTGACCTTATCTAGTCCATTGTTGACCACATCTACCTCACACTAATGGGGAATATAATGACCCTACCTAGTCCATTGCTGACCACATCTACCTCACACTAATAAAGAAAACGATGGCCCTACTGTGTCCATCACTGACCAGTCCACTGTTGACTGCATCTACCTCACACTAATGGGGAATATACTGACCTTATCTAGTCCATTGTTGACCACATCTACCTCACACTAATGGGGAATATAATGACCCTACCTAGTCCATTGCTGACCACATCTACCTCACACTAATAAAGAAAACGATGGCCCTACTGTGTCCATCACTGACCAGTCCACTGTTGACACAACTACCTAGCATTAAAAAGGAGACTAATGACTCGACTGGCCAAATTTTGATACTTATCATCATCAATTCCATTACAGAATGTCGCTTGAATAAAGGCACCCCTAAATGTCTTTCTTTCTCTAGTTAATTCTCTGGCCCTATGTGCTTCCATAGCCAAGGCATCTTCTATATCTTATTTCCACATTCACAGAGGTCAGCCTTGGCCTTGTTTTCAGCAAATTGTACCTTCCATCACTGTTCTCTACAAGTACCACTGCACTCAACATGGCCAAAATACCTCAGCTTTTAAGTTAAGTAAGGATGCTGTTTATGAGCCAATTCTCCTTGATGTTTAGGTCAGGCAGGATGTCAGTGCTTTTCTTCTTCTTGGTCATGGTTTTCTAAGAATTTTTCTGCAGCATTTCAGTTCCATGATTTATTTCTTCAAAGACACAGGGTATAGTAAGAGTCCATGAGTCATCTGATAGTACTGGGGAAAATAAGGGCCCTCTACCCAGCCTAATGCTGACCTAATATAAGTGACAGTAATGGAGAAAATAAGGGCCCTCTAAACAGTCTAATGCTGACCTAATATAAGTGACAGTAATGGAGAAAATAAGGGCCCTCTACACAGCCTAATGCTAATCTAATATAAGTGACAGTAATGGAGAAAATAAGGACCCTCTACACAGCCTAATGCTGATCTAATATAAGTGACAGTAATGGAGAAAATAAGGACCCTCTACACAGCCTAATGCTAATCTAATATAAGTGACAGTAATGGAGAAAATAAGGACCCTCTACACAGCCTAATGCTAATCTAATATAAGTGACAGTAATGGAGAAAATAAGGACCCTCTACACAGCCTAATGCTAACCAAATGTAATTGACAGCAATGGAGAAAATAATGACCCTCTACACAGCCTAATGCTAACCAAATGTAATTGACAGTAATGGAGAAAATAAGGACCCTCTACACAGCCTAATGCTGATCTAATATAAGTGACAGTAATGGAGAAAATAATGACCCTCTACACAGCCTAATGCTAACCAAATGTAATTGACAGCAATGGAGAAAATAATGACCCTCTACACAGCCTAATGCTGACCAAATGTAACTGACAGTAATGGAGAAAATAATGACCCTCTACACAGCCTAATGCTGACCAAATATACCTGACAACGATGGGGAAACAATGACCCTACCTAGTCCATTGTTGACCGCAATCAAAGTTTCCAGCCTGGGACAGTTTCTCAAAAAATCATCAGGCAGGACCTTGAAGGAATTGTGGGAAATATCCAGGCAACGGAGGTCTGTCAGGTTACATGGTTCAGAAGGCAGAGCTTGAATAAGGTTGCTAGACGATTAAACAATATTTGATGTTTCAAGTCAAACTGTAATAACAATTAAAAAAAATGAAAACTATTAAGGTTTCTATAGTTCCTTGACGTCACCATCATCATCATCATCATCATCATCATCATCATGACCTTTGAGTTATCTCTGTACTGAAGTCTGTGGTAACAAGTCCCCAGCTTGCCCTGTTCTGTACATTCATGCTGCATTTATTCAGGTTTCATGCAGTCTCAGCTCTTAATGTTCTTCTGGTCCAACTCTTAGTATTCTTGCGGTCCATCTCTTGATGTTTTGTTCTTCTGGTCCGTCTCTTTATGTTTCTTGAGGTCCATCTCTTGATGTTCTTCCAGTCCATCTCTTAATGTTTTTCTAGTCTGTCTCTTGATGTCCTTCTAGTCTGTCTCTTGATGTTTTGTTCTTCTGGTCCGTCTCTTTATGTTTGTTGAGGTCCATCTCTTGATGTTCTTCCAGTCGAACTCTTGATGTCCTTCTAGTCCGTCTCTTTATATTTATTTAAGTCCACCTCGAGATGCTCTGCTAGTCCATCTCGCTAATGTTAATCTGGTCCATCTCTTGATGTTCTTCCAGTCTATCTCTTGATGTCCTTCTGGTCTGTCTCTTCATGTTTCTTCAAGTCCATCTCGTTACATTATTCTAGTCCATCTCTTAATGTTCTTCCAGTTTATCTCTTGAGGTTCTCCTGGTACATCTCTTGATGTTCTTCCAGTCTATCTCTTGATGTTCTTCCAGTCCATTTCTTGATAGTCTTGACATTCTCCTAATACATCTCTTCACATTATCTTGATTTTCTTTCAGTTCATCTCTTGATGTTCTTTTTGTCCATCTCTTGATGATCTTCCCGTCCATTTTTTGATGTTGTTCTAGCCAGTCTATTGATGTTTTGCAAGTCCATCTCCTGATGTTCTCCCAGTCCATCTCTTGATGTTCTTTTAGTCTATCTCACTCCAAACACTGGCTTCCTAAGATAAATTACTGAAAACATCACCCCAAATACTGACTTCTCAAGATAAATTATTCTAAATATCTCTCCCAAATACTGGCTTCTCAAGATAAATTACTGAAAAAGTCAGCCCAAATACTGTCTACCCAATAGGAATAAACTCACAGGGAGCAAGTACAGCGGGGATCTACCAGTCGTCAGTAGAAATTATCCTCGTCGACACACGTTTCGGCCCACGATTCCTAGACGTATTCGGAGGTGGGCCCTCCTGAGTTCATTACGCTCAGGGCTGGTTCCCCGCTGCACGGAATTACCGGATGGTGTTATACTTTCGGCCAGAGACAAGACGACTTGGTGGTTTCGAAGGAGGTACTGTGAGATAAGAAGCCGCCACGGCAGCTTAATTAAAGCAGTCAGCGTGCCTGGACGACCGAGCGACAAGCTTACTTTGGTTTACCGGACACATGTTGGACTTTTAATAGCAGTTGGCAGAGGAACACTGGCAGACAATTCGGACACGATGGACTTTCAAAGGGATGAGAAACTCTTTTCCACTAGACACCCGGACCAGCTCACCGAGGCCCGTCCCCTACGTTGTTGCGCTGCGTCCAAAGCCAGCTAGAGGCCCTTTTGGCTGCCTCTCCTAGTTTTTTGAGTGTTCGTTTCCGTTCATTACCGCGCAATCCTAGTTCTTTCACCACATTGTAGAGCGAAGTGAAAACGAGGCCTCTCGCTCCCACTTCGACGGCAAAAACCCATACTGTGTAAGCCTCGTTTCTCCTCAAACCGGCTGCTAAATCACTGTACTTCTCAAGCTTGTACAAATGATTCTCCTCCATACGCGACTCAAACGGGACCGTCAACTCAATCAGGATGAGCTGCCGTTTTTGCGCAGAATGGAGAACGATGTCCGGTCGCAGGCCGGTTTTACGGATCAACTCGGGGTACCGTTCATGGCCTGGCAGATCAACCGCCAGTAACCAGTCCCTCGCAGAGTCTAGCACAGATGGAGCGAATGCGTTTTGGTTGACCTTCCCTTTTGGAACCTGCCCAGCCTTGAGGAAACGAATGGGGACGATACTAGAACTGGCTCTGGCATTAGCCCTCATTCTAGCCTGGTCGACAACGGCTGCTAACTCTTTTAGCACCTTGTTTTGGCGCCAGGTATATCGGCCTTGATCTAGAGCTTTCCTGCACGCAGACAGGACTTGCTCAAGAGTTTGCTTCGATTTGCACAACGGACAAGTCGGATCGTTGGTCGCAGACCATTTAACTATGTTAACACCGGACGGTAATACATCGTACGCCGAACGAACGATAAAGCTCAGTCGCAGCGGGGTCATCCGCCAGATCTCACCCCATGTGAGTATTCTTGGCAATGCGCTCTCCACCCTGACCCAATGGCCCTGCTGCGACTGTTGGGCTGCTTTCTGGACCCGAACCTCGTTTTCGTTGTCCCTCACCGTTTGTATTACCATGTCTCGGCGTTCTTTGGCTGAGGCCTTCGACCACCAATTGACCTTCTACCCAGGTTAAATTACTGAAAACAGCACCTCAAAATATTGGCTTCCCAAGATAAATCACTGAAAACATTACACCAAATAATGGCTTCCAAAGATAAACAAATTAATATTTTGCTACGAATACTGGCTTCATGTTCTTGAACTCTTTTGGCACCAATGAATGCAACGTACGAAGATTACAACTATTTAAACTGTCATCCAGAAATGAAAGAGTTAATAGACCTATCATCATGACAGTTTAAGTTGCTAATGTTACAAACAATCTGCATTGTGTAAATTCTGCTTCTCAGAGTAAAAATTAAAGAATTCGACTGACCTACTAATGTTCAGTTTGGACAGGTGAGGATATGCTTTTTCTATCCCCACAGGAAACTGGGTCAGCTTGTTCTTGGACACATTCAGTTCCACTAACAGCAAAGACTCCAGACAGCTGAAGGTCAGGGTTTCAATCTGCAGGCATTATTATCAACTATATTACATCTGTTGTTAGAACACATAAAACAAAACCTATGAAAATATACAGATGGATAGTATATTTTTTCATACAGGGGAGTTTTTGCTGAGGGTAGCCATCTGTTCTCCATAATTTCTCCAAGACTCGTCTTTAAAAGCTTTAATTTTTCGTTTTGCTTCTCTTTTTGCTAATCTGTAATGGACATAATCTCGATAGAATTTTGAGTTCAGCGATATTTTTTTGTACGCCTCCTTCTTTTTTGGATACATTTTAACTTCATTGTTCCACCGGATAGTTCTTAATCATTTTATACAACTACCGTTCTCATTCTGCATTTAGTTTCCAGAAGTTGATAACATCAGCAGTTACTATTTTATGTCTTGATTTTTCTGTACTAAGTTCTCTCTTTTTTTTTTTAAATTATAACTGATCAGTGTCAATGTTTGTGTTTTGAAGGACTCTTGAGTCTATTAACAGTCTTCGCTTTGTCTTCCTAAAAAGAATGAGGTCAACTTCAAATTGTCCTATTTATACCAGGTTTTGGTATGACTGCGTTGATGTTAAAAAAAACACTCTTTGTTACTATAAGACCTTGTTGTGATCACAAGTTAAGCAGATGCTCTCCATTGCTGTTACAATCTGTCTCTGCATCACTGAATGGCCCCGCCCCATCCATTCTTCCCATGGTGATCTTCTAGCACCTATTCTTCCATTGAAATCATCCATCACAATTAGATCCTCACTTTCACTGATGTTTAAAATGTCACAAAGTTTCTTGAAGTATTACTCCACATACTCCACTCAATGGACACCTAAACAGAATACAGCCACAACACTCCCCAGAGTGCCAGCTATGTAACTACCCCTACGAAACTGTTGAACACCATCTCTTTGAGTGCCCAAAACTCAGTGAGACAAGAAGAACGCTACTCCCTCCGAGACCAGACAAGTGGAACACCTTGTACGGAGGAAAAGAACAGCTTGTGAAAACATGCAAATTCCACTACATGGCATTGGGCCAAAGGGTGAAAGCTCATGCGCCACTGGATCGATAACAACAACAACAATAACAACAACTAGAAGTATTCTATTCTGTCTTCTTGGCTATAACTGTTGTTACAGGGAGCATAAGTCTGTACAATCAATGTTGTTCTAGAACTTTCTTTAATTTGGATTAGTATGATTATCTCTGATATATATCCAGTGTGGATGACTGTGTGGATTAGAAAGTTTGTATCTGAGGGAAAGACTGTATCACATAGAAATACCATAACACACAGAAAGACCTTGTTATATGAAAAAGACTGACAGAAAAAATGACTGTGTAAGAATGAAAAATTAGATACACAGACAGTAAAGACTTGCACAAATGTGGGGGAAAAAAATTGCCCTTAGATTTACAGACGGTGGACAGACAGACAGAACTGAGTTCGAAATAGTTATAAAGAAGAAAAAAAAATATTATGGAAAGAAAAACAACGTAAGATTAACAGATAATTCATAATGTATACATTAAAAATAAGTTGGATGGACATACAGTTTTAAACTTAACACAGAGTGATGATAGTGATAGTGATGATAGTGGACATACAACATCCGATGAATAGACAATATTGGGTGAAATTACAATTTAGGGTACATATTTAAGGTACAAACAGCATACCAAATTAGAAGCCAAGTTCAAACTGGCAAGTTTAGGACACGACCCTGTGAATACTGGGAATGCATTCAATCTGTTGTTATTGAGAGACAGACTTTTTAGAGATGACAATGCCTGAAACAAGCAAATATACCAACTGATAAACATTTGCAACACAAACTGAGGCATTAATTAACCTGATAGGATGTTTTTCATACCTTTGGGCCCATCAGGCGTTGAATAAAAGTACAAGTAAAGAACCCTTTTAACTCTGAGTCCCAAGGAACACATCACGCGCTAATTTTTAATTTACCACTTATCTGTAATTACATGCGAACCGCTCAATTTAAACTTCTTTTCACGTTCTCAAGTGTGTAGTGAACACACGTGGAGTGCATTCGTTTGGGTCTGGTTAGTTTTTAACACTATAAATCTATATTTGTGTGGTCTACTACCTTACCAAACAACTGTCTGTAAACAATATGTCCGATCAGTCGTCGTCTTCACACCCAGCAAAGCGATTTACTGCTTTAGAAGCATCAAAGTTGATAAAATAGTGGATTGATCAAAGTAATGTGGAGTTGGATAATGATGGTAGCGACGTGGAATTTCCCTAAACCGTTGACGGGTCAAGTTTTGATGAGGAATGTGAGCGTAATTTACCTCCTGCTAAGAGGAGAAAACTGACTAATTCTGCCATGGCAACACAAGAGAAGCACCTCGTAACGCGACACCAGCTATTCCAAATGTCAGCGCTTCTAGTACTACTATCCATATCATCTAAAACCATAGATATATATCTATGAACAGGTTGACATGTTTACAGTGCCTTTACAGTTTTTTCTATGTGAGGAATTCAATTGTTTTTAGAAAAGTCACTGTTTGTGCCACTGGAGAAAATATTTTGACGTGTTATGGTAGTGTTATTAAAATTGCTATGGAACAACAACTATTGCACATTTTGCTTTAATATTGGCTGTGCATACTTATAAGTGGTGTACCTTCCTTTGTGATGCATTTTGGATATACTATATCAAGAATTTTGGGATCAGCTTCTGGGTAAGTGGAAAAAACTTGTTCATAATTTACTCATCTCTCAAACTAAGTCACTGTTTTCTCTACTAAATACTAACTAACGGTATAATTGTTTGTTGTAGCAGTATGCTAATATTAATCCTTATCCATTAATGTTTATTTTCATGTATGATATGTGTATGTTGGACATCAGCTGCAGTTGTGTGGTTTGTTTTAAAGTGCTGCATTTGTTAAAAGTCAAAATCATATTACCCCCCCCCCCCTCCCTTGGGCATCTGGTGCAAAACCCCCTGGGACTCAAAGAGTTAAATGCCTTCAGGTATATAGGGTATACACAGCCAGGCTTGAATTTCACAGATCAATTGGCACTTGGTGGTTGATGTGGTCAGTATCATGCCGGATGTCTTTATTTCTCATGACTTTACCTGATAGCCATTAAGGCTCGGTCGACTGGGAAGCCAATGTCCACCTCCATCAGAACCTGAACTCATGACTTTCTGATCTGCAGGCGAGCGTCTAACCGCTACACCATAGCATACATACTCCTTAGGCATACAGTGCTAGACTTCTACTTGTATAGACCTATAGGCACTGGATCATGATGTGGTCAACATCAAATCAGTTACCTTTACCTCCCAGGACATTGTTTGTACCCATTTGAGGCTGTGACGACTTTGCAGCCAAGGCCAATTTTGACAGGAAAAAATCCTTGATGCAGATTTCAATTCTAGACATTCAGGCCAGCAGACGAGTTACTGCTTGGCTACCAAGTCTTAAAAGAAGACAACTTATGTATTTGTAAACTTGAAACAAATTTAACTCTTTCAGCCCAAGAAGATGACAGCTGTTGCCTGAATGAGAGGTATTGATGACAACACCAAACTCACAGTTGGGACAGACACACATTCCTTAAGAAAACAAAACTGTATAAGAATTCTTTACACCCCCCTATACAAAAGATGTGGAAACATACATAACATACTGATTGGCTTAGTATCATGTCAAACAAGATGTGTTGTGTGGGGCAGAATAAAAAAGATCATGATAAATTAGAAAGAGCACAATTCATGTTTTGGTAAACCTGAATATGTGTGTATAACATGGCAGTGCCGTCTTCAAGGTAAAGGCAGGAGATACTATAACCAGCTGCTTATAGGAACAATCAGTAGAAGTATCTTGGAGTAGCTGCTGCATTGGAGGACTGAGTACAGATGAGAATGCCCAATGTGTAGTGACGTTGACTGTGATAACATAAGATAAATGCTTTCAGTGCTTCAAAGCAGCCTGCCTTTACTTGTCAGGCACAATATTTAGATTCTGCATTTCTGTTTTGGTACTTTATTAATATCCTACCCCAGATGACATCACAGGACAGTCCAACATTTTAGAGGGTGGTAAGACTGGGTTTCCCAGCTTTTTAATGCTTCTAACGACCCCAAAACATATAGAACTGGCCCTAACCCCAACCCACCTACGTCCTACGAGACAGTGCAGTCTAGGTCCCATGACTGCATGCAGCCTATCTACCACCTCCTGATATATTAGACTGTCCCATGACCTGTGGATTTCCCCTGTTTGGGGTAAGATATTAATAAAGCACGTTCTTTTTTTTTTTTCAAGTACAACAAGTAGGAAAAGTACCTGCTGTGCCCCTGAGAGGTTAAACCTACTGTAACTGTTACAGGTTATACACAAAAGCCAACCTTGAAAACCTCCACAGGCACTTGTGTCAAATCATTGTCACTGAGATGAAGGTGCTCCAGCTTACACAAGTTGGGCAACACCTCCACTCTACTGGTCACCAGGTTCTCTAGGGTGGAGATGTGGTTGGATGATATGTCTAGGCTACAGATGTGGTGTTCCTGTGTCCTGGCAAACCTGGGCTCATCAACGCTCGCATCTATATCTGAAAGAGAAATGGATTTATGTCAGCAATACTGTATTCTCAAAAATAAAAAATCTGGTGGTAAGGACATCCTCTATGATAAGTTAGAGGTGGGTAGAAGGTGTTGAGGCTGGCCTTTCCTACAATATAAAGATGTGTACAAGCAGGACACCACTTCGTTTTCTGCGTTCATCCGAAGATGTAAATGCGCTGTGCTTGTTTACAATAGGGCTACGATATTTGTACCTCAAGGCCTACATGTCTGAGGTCTGCAGACATTTGTTGTCCAGGTTAGCCTATCCAGCTAACTGATTCCAGTTTTAAGGTGATTCACACGAACAGGATGCCATTGAAAGTTTTGTGTGCTGGGGGAAAATCAAGAAGATAGATACGATAAAGGAGAAAATGATCGCAGGCAGGATAGGAGCCATGTCTTTAATAAAAATACATTAAATACATGCTATGGCAAAAAATGTCCTGAAATCCCATGCTCTGATTGTGGAAAACTGTTCTTAATGCGAGTGGGTCTTTCTTGTCACACTCACTTTCACCACGGCCTGCAATTCCAAGTCCTCCCTACAGTATAATATAACACTATGGTCTGAAAAGTTGCCAACCAGTTTAGTAATGCGAAAAGTGACAGATTAAATGATCCACCCACATATTACAATAGGTCCATTAGGGACGCACAGTACTTATTCTTTCTTTTCTTCCTTCATCATCTCACCGATACAACACTGTAACCCAGTGTTGTGGTTTTCTGTATTTATCTTACACTACTCAGAGGGCTATGGTGATGGATTTGTTCACCTTTTGGCAAGCTTTTGGCTACACCATCTATCCACATCTTTCTTGGTCTCCCCATCGCCTTCCTCAGTGATGCTCTGCTGTAAACAAACTTTATATGGAGTCTGGTCTGCATTCTCACTAGATGGCCAAATTATTTCAGTCTTTGTCTGTCAATATAATTCAGACACAGTCTTATTCTGACTTTCTAATGCTGGTTTTCATAACCCTGAGCTTCTTGTAACTAACTAAATGACCCTTTTTCAAGCCAGTGGCACTTGAAACATGTAGTGCTAGACTTACATTTTTACAGACCAACTGTCACTTGATCGATGATGTGGTCAACATCATACTGGCCACCTTTACTTCCCAGGATATTTTCAATGCAGCTCTATGCAAAGTATAGAATCATGATAAAATACCATGTATATATACTGTAGGAGGCATCTAAGGAAGACTAGTATGAGACTAGACTGGATTACATAATTCTGCAAACTCACCTCAAAAATTAAAATTAAATCTATGAGATACTAGGTGTAAATTGGCTAAGGACCTCTGCTTCATTGGCAGATGGAGAAGAAGAAGCAGAAAATAGGTGGGGGGGGGGGGGGGGGGGGGGGGGGGGGGATTGGACAAAAGTATGAGAAGAAGATTTGACTGATTAATTAAATTAGGAGAGACACAGTACTCATGAGACACCTATATGTTCCCTGTCAGTGTAGAGATGGGAGAATTTATGTAGTTCCTGTAAACTTCAAATAGCACTGACAGACAAGAATCCCTGAACTATGAGAGAATGCAAAAAGGCCACGTACTACCTATGTGACACTGTAAACAGGTGATGCAGGCACACATATAACTTACACATCAGACATACAAACCTCAGTCCTCATGCATGAACACCTCCCATAAATTTCTCTCACCCAGCCAGTCACTGACAAACTCCCACTGCATCAGACACTAACAAATTTTTCCCATTGTGCCTTACAGTAACAAACTATTTCCACTATGTCAAACTGTAACTAACTCCTCCCACTGTGTCAGACAATAACAAACTCCACTCACTGTGTCAGACAGTAACAAACTTCTCCCACCCAACTGTGTCAGACATTGACAAACCCCTACTAGACAGTGACAGAAAAAAAACTCCAACATGTGCAATGACACTACAGACAAGATACCACCGACTCTACCATAATTACCTGTATCCTCTGCTGACATGACAGAGAAGAGAGAGCTCCTCCTGGAGGAGTAGCTAGCCTCTGTGTCAGATGACTGGTGAAAGAGAGAAACACATACAGGGGTTATTTCCACTGACTGGAGAAGTGAGAAACACATATAAGGGTTACTTACACTGACTGGATAAAAGGGAAACACACAGGGGTTACTTCCACTGATTGGAGAAAAGGGAAACACACAGGGGTTACTTCCACTGACTAGACAAAAGGAAAACACACAGGGGTTATTTCCACTGACTGGAGAAAAGGGAAACACACAGGGGTTACTTCCACTGACTGGAGAAAAGGGAAACACACAGGGGTTATTTCCACTGACTAGAGAAAAGGGAAACACACAGGGGTTATATTTCCACTGACTGGAGAAAAGGGAAACACACAGGGGTTATATTTCCACTGACTGGAGAAAAGGGAAACACACAGGGGTTATATTTCCACTGACTGGAGAAAAGGGAAACATACAGGGGTTATTTCCACTGACTGGAGAAAAGGGAAACACACAGGGGTTATATTTCCACTGATTTAGAGAAAAGGGAAACACACAGGGGTTATTTCCACTGACTGGAGAAAAGGGAAACACACAGGGGTTATTTCCACTGACTGGAGAAAAGGGAAACACACAGGGGTTACTTCCACTGACTGGAGAAAAGGGAAACACACAGGGGTTATATTTCCACTGACTAGAGAAAAGGGAAACACACAGGGGTTATATTTCCACTGACTGGAGAAAAGGGAAACACACAGGGGTTATATTTCCACTGACTTGAGAAAAGGGAAACACACAGGGGTTATATTTCCACTGACTGGAGAAAAGGGAAACATACAGGGGTTATTTCCACTGACTGGAGAAAAGGGAAACACACAGGGGTTATATTTCCACTGACTAGACAAAAGGGAAACACACAGGGGTTATTTCCAATGACTGGAGAAAAGGGAAACACACAGGGGTTATTTCCACTGACTGGAGAAAAGGGAAACACACAGGGGTTACTTCCACTGACTGGAGAAAAGGGAAACACACAGGAGTTATATTTCCACTGACTAGAGAAAAGGGAAACACACAGGGGTTATATTTCCACTGACTGGAGAAAAGGTAAACACACCGGGGTTATATTTCCACTGACTGGAGAAAAGGGAAACACACAGGGGTTATATTTCCACTGACTGGAGAAAAGGGAAACATACAGGGGTTATTTCCACTGACTGGAGAAAAGGGAAACACACAGGGGTTACTTCCACTGACTAGACAAAAGGGAAACACACAGGGGTTACTTCCACTGACTGGAGAAAACGGAAACACACAGGGGTTATATTTCCACTGACTGGAGAAAAGGGAAACACACAGGGGTTACTTCCACTGACTGGAGAAAAGGGAAACACACAGCGGTTATATTTCCACTGACTGGAGAAAGGGGAAACACACAGGGGTTACTTCCACTGACTGGAGAAAAGGGAAACACACAGGGGTTATTTCCACTGACTGGAGACAACAGAAACACCTACATGGTTATTTCCACTGAGTGGAAGAATACAGAAACACGGGGGTTATTTCGACTGACTGGAAAAAAAAGGGAACCATAGAAGCGTTATTTCAAATGTATGATGACTGGAGAAAGAGAGAAATACATAGAGGGGGTCAAATGTCTGAGAGCAAGTAGAAAAGAAAAACATAGACAGGAATTATGCTGTCATGATGTTGCTGAATTTACTTATGTGCATGAGTAAAAGTCATCATCACCAGGTGCCATGTTGACAGGCATGGGCAGTGATAGTTGGTGATTTCACATGATCACCATTCTAGGATCAAAATTTGTGTTCCAGTCCTGAATAAGGCATGTGGCCAAGCTGCCTAAGTGTTTATTTCTCTTTCCATGGCTCTTTTCCTAACAAACATGTCAGGTGCCACTAAGTTTACAAGCTTATTTCTTATGATAACACACTAAAACAATCTGTACGTTTAATTTCTCTACATAGTTAGGACTTAACCCATCTTTTTACAGATTTAATGGCACTTAGTGGCAAATGTTGCTGAAGATCACACTGGCTGCCTTTACTTCCCATAGCATTTCCTGGTATCTGTTATTATGCTGGGTCAACCTGGAAACTCCCTAAGTCATTTGTAAAAATCCACTTCAACAAGGTGAGCATGCTATCCACTGGAATTCCCAGCATCTGAATGTAGGAGAGGACAACTTCCCAATGAATGAAATATGAACGCAGTAACAGAAGAAAACATCTCCATCATGGATACATAGATACTGAAACTGGTGGAAGCCGTGACAATTAAAATGAACAATACTGCATTTTGCAAACAAAAAGAGCATGTGGTAGTTTTGAAATTGCCAGGATAATCACATGGTTAATTTTGAACTGTAGAGTGTAACTATATTTGTGTCCTACAGTGAAAAAGATACTTTTTTGTGTGCTTCCTTATGCTGATGTAGAAATGCAATTGAGTAGAAACAGCCAAATATTCCAGACAATAAACTGTGAAATGTTCACATTATAGGTCTTTAAATTCACTAAGAAAAACTTTATTTTGAAACACAGATTCATTTACATCTGGCTAACTCCACAGCGGATGTTGGCAGCAGTGGATATATGTATCCACTGCTGCTTTTAGAAATATTATGTGGTGAGGATTCCAATGTCTTTCATAGTGTGACTCACGTGCCACTGTCTGAAACCCATGAAAACTGTTTTATAAACACATTCTGCAGAAACGAAATCCTTCTATGTCTAGGATTGTGACAGTGAAATGAATTCATTAATCTCTAAACCACCGAGCCACACATGGATCTTTTTTTTTTATTCCCTTTCTCCAATTACCTCATCAAAGTGATAGGGGGAGATGCTGGATCTTTTTTTTCTTCCCTTTCTCCAATTACCTCATCGAAGTGATAGGGGGAGATGCTGGATCTTTTTTTTCTTCCCTTTCTCCAATTACCTCATCGAAGTGATAGGGGGAGATGCTGGATCTTTTTTTTCTTCCCTTTCTCCAATTACCTCATCGAAGTGATAGGGGGAGATGCTGGATCTTCTGTGTGTCTTCCCTTCCTCCAATTACCTCATCAAAGTGATAGGGGGAGATGCTGGATCTTTTTTTTTCTTCCCTTCCTCCAATTACCTCATCGAAGTGATAGGGGGAGATGCTGGATCTTCTGTTTATCTTCCCTTCCTCCAATTACCTCATCAAAGTGATAGGGGGAGATGCTGGATCTTCTGTTTGTCTTCCCTTCCTCCAATTACCTCATCAAAGTGATAGGGGAAGATGCTGGATCTTCTGTTTGTCTTCCCTTCCTCCAATTACCTCATCAAAGTGATAGGGGGAGATGCTGGATCTTCTGTTTGTCTTCCCTTCCTCCAATTACCTCATCAAAGTGATAGGGGGAGATGCTGGATCTTCTTGTGCGCTTTCTAATGCATTGCATAAGCTGATCTTCATTTCTTTCAAACTGTTATGGATACTGTTGTTCCATCTTCTGCGTTGTATTACCCTTGCTTTGTGTTCATTATATTTCTTCAGCATGGCTCTCTGTGGCAGTTGGTACCAAGGTATTATCAGATGACCAAACCATCTCACATCTTGCTTTTCTGTGTAGGACTGGTTTCAGTCCTAGTAAATTTCTCCAGTTTTAACACAATCTCTGCTTGTTATTTCGGCAACTCTTCTCTGTTATGGGTAAATCACTAAATGCATAATCAAAGGTTAAAGCGTTAACTCACTGACTACCACGAGCGCATGTTATGCCATTCGCCAATGTTTACGTCTGGCTACTATGATCATACCCCCTGGAAATTTAACTCTGGACGCTGGCAGCCATGTTAAAATTGCTACTTTTGTGATAAATGTAGTTGAAACCGTTAGTCCCTTTATTTCCCTATGGTTATTTAAGGGAAACAATTCGGTAGTGCTTAAAGTAGATTTTCTACAAATATTTTTGTTGAGCTCTGATACCGATGGTGTACAAACAGATGATTTGATAAAGACATCTGAACATTAGGGCTAGCATGGTGGAAGAGTCTGGGGATTACTGCTGATGATTAGGGATAATGTCATGATTGTTGTAAATCAGAAGGTGAAGGTGAAGATATGTTTGAACAGTTTCATGACTGTGACTCTGATAATTCTTACGAACTGCCACCAAAAACATTGTCAAAACTGGAATACAAGGTTTTGCTTACAGCAGTGGCATGGCAGTGGGAGGCAGGTGTGTTATGTTACATAAGATTGAGTAAACTGTTCTGTGTATATGCTTCAGGTGTGTATTACTAAATGTGTCTGTTAGTGTAGATTGTGTCCATTATGGCTGTGTGGCTTAGAGTTTAGTGAAAAATCATCTCACGATGGAATCTTCGATGTTCACCGAGATGCATTTTCCGCTGCATGCATTTTGGGGAAAGATGTTTTTTTGTGTGGTTCTTTGAGTTTTACAGTTCAGTCATATTTTACCAACGTTCTTGGTGCAAAATGGCAAACGACCAATGAATTTGCAGAATTTTATTTCACAGTTAGGCAGAGCTTTCACCCAAGATTATGTCAGAAGAAAAAAATGCTTTTATTGGTGTCAGAAAATGTTTTGGTTGCCATTTTTCCACCAAAGTAGTCACATGATGATGATTTCAAACAAGATTACACAGCACTTGTTCTTTATATTTGTTCTCCATTCAACTTGCAAAAGAACAAAATATTTTAAGTTTATGTTAAACTGTTGTGAAGCAACTGCATTTTTAATACACACAAAAATATGTTGTATCTGGGAAAGTTGAAGGGTTAACGGGTGTGGTACTCAGTGGGTTGACTCTAGTACCAAATGGTTTATCAGCAGATGCCCCCTATGTAATAATAACCAACAGGACAAACCGTGAGTATATTGCTTTCAAAGAAGCTAAATACTGTGGAAGCCAGATTTTCTTAGCATTCTCTGGCCAAATGTATTAAAAAAAAAAAAGAACATTCTGCTTGTTGGGTGGGATTCACAGAAGACCTACTCACTTATGATATGCTGCTCTGGACTGAGAGAGTTCAGGACCTACCTG